AAGGCCTTCAGCCAAAAATCAAACCTCACTGTGCATCAAAGGACACATACCAAGGAGAAGCCATACATGTGAGGGTAGTTTGGCAAGGCATTTAGCAAGAACTCCTCGTTCAGGCAGCACAGGCACCAGACACCAAGTAGTCCTGCCAGTGCTGCATCTGCCAGAAGGACTTCATGACACCCTCATCCCTACAGAATATCTTGACCAGCCACTCTGGAGAAGCTTTATAAGTGCGGCCAGTGCAGGAAAGCCTTCATCAGGAAACTTTTGCTCCCCGTTCACTGGAGGATTGTGTGGGAGATAAGCTCTACGAGTGTGGTGAGTGCAGGAAAATCTTTCGCAGGAATTTCTACCTCACATGACACATAGCGTGGAATTGGGGGATCTTAAAATCCAAACCTGACTGGTAGGTCCTGAGTGCATGGACCAGCGCCAGACTTCATATTAGAGCCTATGGATAGGACACAAGAGAAGTGCTGATCAGACGTGTCTTAGGAATATGGGTGGCGAGGACAGGCCACAGCATTCTCACCATATGCTTCCCCAGCATCCAAAGGGCCAGGTGCAAAGTAAGCCTCCCTACAGGTCTAGTATCTGGGAGCATGGCCGGGGCACTGGGGCTCCAGACCCAGCTGGAGTAAACTGTCCTGTAAGCTTGGACCACACATGTAGTCTGTAGGTATCCATCTCCTCAACAGGAAAACGCAAGAGTGGGAGGATAATGGAGGAGCTTGAGGTGGGCTCCATGGGGACATAGTCACTTTCACACATATGCCTGGATTTAGTCCAGAGGTCAGGTTGTCGCCATCTATGTGTATCTTGTTTTCCCAAAACGCAGCCCCTTCTTTCTGTGCAACACCAGCTGGAAGGCCCCAAGCTGATGAGCTGTATAAATTACCAGGTGGTTCACACAGAGAAAAAAATACTCTTTTTATGATTAGGAAGTAGCAGTCATCACTTCAGATACCAAAGTCTCTCGTAGTGCTCTTTAAAATATCTTTTTTTAAATAAAACTTTTAATTAAGTGAACTAAACATTGTCTTGTTTTCTAAAATTTTATTTATTTGCAGAAAGAAGGAACAAGAGGGGGAAAGATGGGAAAAGAAACATCAATGTGTGAGAAGGCCTGAAACCCAGGCATGTGCCCTCACTGGGAATCAAATCAGCAACCTTTCAGTTCACAGGCTGGCTTCCAGTCCACTGAGCCACACCATCCAGGGCCACCAACATCATTTAAAACAGTTGTCAGGTGCAAAAGAGGGAGTTACTGGTTGTTCCCACCAAATTGGGGGGAGGGAGCATGAGAACCCAAGAGCAGGTTGCAAACCACATGCTCCTTGTAGCCCTGGATTCCTGGCTTGGGAATGGTCACACCATGTCTGATGCCCATTATCAGAACAGGTTCCCTGGGGTTTGCTGGTCTCGCGTGATGATGGAGTAATATTAGGAGGAAATTACATTTGTCCATCTCCTCACTTCACACATATTAGGACCAGCAATATCCAGAGGTGAGTTATCTCTTACCTCCTTTATCATGGATGTTCATTTACCCAATGCACATTCCGCATGGAATGAATTTTTATAGGGGTATTTTCCAAAGATTTTATTTATTTTTAGAGAAGCGAAGGCGGAATAGAGGGAGAGAAACATCAATGTGTGGGTGCCTCTCACATGCCCCCTACTGTGGACCTGGCCTGCAACCCAGGCATGTTCCTGGGTCACTGGGAATCAAACCAGTGACCCTTTGGTTCACAGGCCACTCTAGGTCTCTTGCCTACCTGCCCACGATACTGAGAGTTGGACAGACTTTGTGTCCCTGGAGGAAACCTGGCTAACGTCAGAGCCAGCAGGTTCCGGGAGGAAACCTGAAACCAGAAAGCAGACACGGAGAAGCTAAGCTGCCAGGGTGACTGCTCAGCGATAAATGCGATTTCCACAAGATGGTATTTTGAAGCAAGACCTCCGGAACGGGCCTTCTGTTCTGGTCGGGTGAAGATGGCTGGGGTTTCCTCAGTTTTTCGGAGGGGATGGGCTTTGAGAGAATTACCTGCCATTCTCCCCAACCCTTCATTTGAGTGAAAAACCTCTTTCTCATCAGCCTCTGCCTCTAGAATTTGCCTATTGGGGGCAACAGACAGCAGAACCCCCACACTGGTTCTGTAACAGAACGAGAGCTGGCACTTAAGGCGAAGAGCCGATACTTACTTCGTGTTGAAGATCATTTGAACCTGGAGTCCCTGCACCCTCACACATTTTCTGCAAGTCAGCACGCCCATGCTGGCCTAAGGCCGGAGAGGAGGACTTCTCACGTGGGGCGGGGGGCGCTATAGCATCTTTCCCGTCTCCACACACGCCCCGCATTTTCTGCAATTTCCTTGTCTCTATTTCCACTCCCCCTGACTCAGCTCTCAGTTCTCGCATACCGCTATGAACCCCTCTGGCTCTCCTCCCACACTTACTGCTCCCCCCACTCCTTAGTGGGTCCAGTCCTTCTCTGTAGTTTCCTCCGGCTCCCAGACCCATTGTGATTTCTTCGCCCTGCAGCCCCACCTCCCTCGCGAACTCTGTCTTACTGTCTTTGTGTGGCGGGGTCTACTGGGGTAAGGAGCATCAGGTCTGCCACTCAGACTCGCGTCCCCTCTTCCGCACTTGCTCTGTGGGGAGCTTAAGAGGGGAGGACTTTATAGTGGCACAAGGCAGTTTGGGAAATGTAGTAGGCCGCTGGCGCAGGCGCAGTGCGGTCGGGGTTACGGGGGCGGGGGAGGGGGGGAGCGGCTCTGTCTCCCGAGGTAACCGCATGGTGGTGAGTTTTAGCGCAGACTGGGCAGGGGTTTGAGGAGACTGAGCTCGGCTCTGGGTGTGGTCGCACGGGTGAAGGGAATGCCTGTGGCTGGGAGTGTGCGTGTGCGTGTGTGTGTGTGGGGGGGGGGGGGGGGGCTGAGACTCCCGGGCGGTCTCTTCGTGTGCCTGTGTTTGTCACCGGGTGTGTGTCACCGCGTGTGTGCGCAAGGCCACTGGTGTTTTCCTTTGCTTGTCTGTGTGTGTGTGTGTGTGTGTGTGTGTGTGTGTGTGTGTGTGTTGCAGGTGTTTGTCTCTCCGGGGTCCTTCTTTGTTCCTCAGTGTGCGTGTCTGCCTTTATTTCAGTCTGTGGTGTCTCCATGTGAAGGCACCATCCCGATGTCTCTTCCCGTGCGTCTGTGTGTCTGGTGTGAGTGCGTCAGTGCATGTGGGGTGCGTCCCTCCTGACCGAGCCTTCCCCTGCCTGCGTGCATGTGCTTCTCTGTTTGTGGGCATTGCAGACATTTGTGAGTGGGTGCGTTAGAGATGCCCTCCCAGAGCGTGGAGAACACGGTCCTGCCGGACAGGCGGCCTGGCGGAGCTGCCTGCCTGCGGACCCCAGAGCCATCTCCTTCCCGCCCTCAGAGCCTCCCCTGCCCTGGGAGGACGGGGCCTGTGTAGTAGCCAGGTTTGGGGTCAAGAAAGAGGGTCAGAGACCTTACCCCATGCTGACCTGGGTGGATTCGTTCTGGGAGGGTGTGTTGGGTGCTGAGGGTATGGTTCTGGGCATTTTTCTTTTTTTGTTAGATTTCATATACTTTGTTTTAGAAAGAGGGGAAGAGAAGGCGAGAGAGAGAGGGGAAGAAACATCAGTGTGTGCCTGTCTCTGGCAGGGACCCACTGGGTACCTGTCAAGCAACCCAGGCATGTACCCGGACTAGGGATCTACCCAACTAGGAATCAACTGGAGATCCTTCAGTTCCCGGTCCAGCACTCGATCCACTGCCTACACCAGGCAGTGCATGTTCTGGGCATTTTATAGGCCACCTGGTGACTCTGAGATAGGGACCCTCACCATGTGCAAAATGGGAAGCTGAGGCTCAGAGAGTGTTAAGTAAATCACCCAACTCCACACCCAGGCATCCAGGTACCAGAACACCCATACTAAACACCCCACAGTGGGATATGTTGTTTCTCCTAAGAACCATGGATGGCAGGCAATGCCAGAAAGCTTGGTCAGAGGAGGAGGAAGAGGAGCAGCGGCCACCCCTGGCTCTGCAGCCACATATCTGGGACCACTCTGGGTTCGTTCAGGGATCAGCAGCCCCATGTACATGTTATTTCCAGGACCACTGTGCCTTCATGGCCTTTTAAATAAAGTAAACTTGGAGCAGTGATTGTATTGCTGTAAGGACAAAAATAGTCTACATTAGATATGCATTTAAGAAATGATGATGCATTTAAAAAAATTTAAACATTTTATGTTTAATTTTAGGGAGAGGGTGAGGGAAGTAAAAGGAAAGGGCGAGAATCATCAGTGCCTCTAGCCATCAGGCTCTCCCTACTTGGCACCTGGCTTGTAATCCCGGCATGTGCCCTAGTCTGGGAATCAAACTGGGGACCCTTTGATCGGTAGGCTGGCACTCAGTCCACCGAGCCACACCAGACAGTGCTAAAATTGATGACATTTTCAAGGGCCCCTACTGCTGTCAGCTGCCCTGTGCCCTGTACCTCCTGGATAAGTCAGACCCAGTGGGAAGGGGCCAGAGGGTCCTATTCCTCCCTCCAGGATTGGGACTGGCTGTGTGGGCATTGCCTGTGTGTTGGGGGAGTATATGTGTGTGGGTATGACATGTGGACAATCACATGGATGCTGATACACTAGCTCAACCCAAATCCCACCCTTATCTTCTTGGGTTCCTGACTTATCTTTTTGTGCCTCAGTTTCCTGATCTGTGAAATGGGATGAGTGACAGTAGCCCCAACAATGTAGGATGTCAGGAGGATCAAGTCAGGGACATGAGTCAAGGACCTTGGATGCCATAGGCCCCCTGCACGCATTCACTGTTACCATGTGTGCCTGTCCTTGTCTGCCTGTCTCCTAGTGGGCGTATTTGTCATGTCTGCATTGTGGATCACACCTTTACCTCATCTCTTACTGTGCCTTTTTCTCTCTCTCCCTGTGTACGGTCTGCCTGTTCCCAGGTCACCATAGGCGCTGGAAGGATGGCCACCCAGCTTCGGACCAAGGAGACCCTGGTAAGTCATGTCACCCTTTGGCTCCTCCTTAGGGTCATGCTTTTGGACAGGAATGATCCTTCACCACCCCAACCCCCATCAGGCCACAGGCCTCTCTTCTCCTCTCCTGGGGTTTTGTCCACCCTTAGTTGATAGAGTACTGTTCTGACCCTAGAGGTTCTCTTTCTTTCCCTCCTTCCCTCCTTCCTTGCCTCCTCCCTCCCTCCCTCCCTCCCTCCCTCCCTCCCTTTTTTTAGATTTTTATTTATTTTTAGAGAGAGGGGAAGGGAAGGAGAAAGAGAGGGAGAGAAACATACCTGTGTGGTTGCCTCTTGCTCACCCCTTGGTGGGGACTGGTCTGCAACCTAGGCATGTGCCTGACTGGGAATCAAACCGCATCCCTTTGATTTGCACGCTGAATCCCCTGAGCTACACCAGTCAGGGCTGACCCTGGTGTTTTTCAACTGCAGGGGTAAGGATGGCTCAGCAGTGAGCTGTCCTACTCTGAGGGATCTCAGGAGACACCTGTAGGGACCTGGGATGTGGCCACTTAAACATATTCAGTGAAGCACGACAGAGTCCTCAGGTGGAAAGTGCTGGATGAGGCACCTTCAGAAGTATGCAGGGGCACTACATGCCCAGGAGAATGGAGGGGGATGGGAGGAGGACATCTGATATGTGGGACTGGTGAATACCTGTCTGTCATTGTGGTGTTTCATGATGTTTTAGTGGATGGAAATTTGTCGTATTTTTCTCTAAATGTCCTTCTATGAAAAGAAACTTTACAATAAAAAAATGTTCAGTTGGTTACAGGATTGTTTTGATATACCAAGGTTTGGGTTCAATCCCTGGTCAGGGCACTTTTGAGAAATAACCAATGAAATCATCAAGAATTAGAACAACATCTTTTTCTCTGAAATCACCAATTTATATTTATACATGTCTGGAGGTAAATGTATTTTTTTTTTGTCATCAATACAGGATATCTTCTTTGAGTTGTAGGCAGAGAAAGGGAGGGAAAGAGACACAGATGTGAGAGAGAAATTTTGATGGGTTGTCTCCCACATGTGCTACAGCCTGGTACAGAATATGCAATTATTTTATGTCTAGGACATTGTTCCAACCAACTGAACCATCCGATCAGGGCCTGACATAAATATTTGCCCTTCCGGTGTACTTAGGCAATGAGGACTGAATGGTGAGGCCCTTCAGAGTTCTGCACCTTGTTGACATCAATCAGATGCATCATCCTGTGTGTCTTCTGATCCTCTCAGCCCTTCTGGTCACGTCTCTTGAACACTGTGAGGAGGGCCTTGCAGTGAGTAATGTGTCCTCTTACAGGGGTCGGTGGCATTCAGGGATGTGATTGTAGACTTCACCCAGGAGGAGTGGCAGCTGCTGAAGCCTGCGCAGAAGGACCTGTACAGGGATGTGATGATGGAGATCTACTGGAACTTGGTCTCGCTGGGTAAGGGGACAGCTTCCCTGTGTTACTCACCATGTGCCTGTCACCTCAGGATGACACAGAAATAAAAAAGATGGGACAGATGCAGACATGTCTGTTAGCCCAAATAGTTTATCTTTCCTTTAACCCACCCTCCATTCCATACAACCATTGTGGTGTAGTTTACCTGTTCTAGAATTTTGTATCTATGTAAACATATTGCAGGAAGTCTTTTTTTTTTAAGATTTTATTTATTTATTTGTAGAGAGAGGGGAAGGGAGAGAGAAAGAAGGGAGAGAAACATCAATGTGTGGTTGTTTCTCCCCTGTCCTGGACAGGGAACCTGCCCCGCAACCTAGGCATGTGCCCTGAGTGGCAATCAAAGTTTAAAGCCTTTGGTTCACAGGCCACCACTTAAGCCACCGAGCCACAGCAACTGGGGCCTCTTTCTTTTTTCTTTAATTACCTGAGTTTTTACCCTTGGCATTATTTCTTGCAGTTTACCCACATTATCTGTATATATGAATAGTTACCTTTATTATCTATACATTTTTAAAAGTCATCACCTGATGATATTTCCATTGATTTGAAAGAGAAGGAGATACTTCAATCAGTTGCCTCCTATACAGGCTCGTATTGGGGATCAAAACATATTGGGGAGTCTTTTGGTGCCCACTCCAAACCAGGTGACACTCCAACCACCTGAATCATATAACCAGGACAAAGTATACTCTTTGTATTGCTGGGCAACGTTCTACTTCATGGATAGAACACCTTTTATTTATCCACTGACTTGATGACAAACATTTGAATTGTTTCCACATTTGGATGTCTGTCTTTTTTGTTCGTTTGTTTTAATTTTACTTATTTATTTTTAGGGGGGGGAGGAGGGAGAAAGAGAGGGAGAGAAACATCAATGTGTGGTTGCCTCTCACATGATGCCCCTCTGGGGACCTGCCCTGCAACCCTGGCATGTCCTCTGACTGGGGACTGATACAGTGACTCTTTGGTTCATAAGCCCACACTCAATCCACTGAGCTACACCAGCCAGGGCTGAATGTCTTTCTGTAGAGATACAATGTTCTTCCTGTTTGGAAAGGTTGAGTTATACATAAGTGTATATTTAACTTTCAGAATCTGTCAAATTTTTCCCCAAAGCAGTTGCTTCATTTTTCATTCCCATCAGCAAGTGCTGGGTGTTGCATTGCTCCATGTGCCTGTCAAAACTGAACATCCTCACGCTTTCTAATTTTAGCCTTTCTAATGGATGTACAGTCTTACCCTCTTTATCTATGAGTCTGTTTCTGTTCTCGTTGTTTGCTTAGTTGGGTTTTCATATTCAGTTGTTGATAGCTGTGAATTTGTTTCATATTGATATTCATAGGTTTGATCTTCTTAAAGAAGTCCTTTTCATATTTTGTGTAATAATGGCTTGGTGGTGATGAACTCCTTTAGCTTTGCCTTGCCTGGAAGCAGTTTCTTTGCACTTTGATTCTAAATGAGAGCTTTGATGGCTAGAGTATAGTAGGCTATAGGACCTTACTTTTCATCACTTTGAATACTTCTTGCCAGTCTCTTTTTGCCTGTAATGTTTCTTTTGAGAAATCAGCTGGAGGTCTTATAAGAACTCCTTTGTAGCCCTGGCTGTTGTAGCTCAATGGATTAAGCACCGGCCTGCGAACCAAAAGATCTCCTTTGTAAGTTAACTCTCTGCTTTTTTCTTGCTGCTTTAAGATTTTCCATCTGTATCTTTAACCTTTGGCATTTTAATTATAATGTGTGTTGGTGTGGTCCTGTTTGGGTCCAAGTTCTTTGGGCATCTCTGTGCTTCCTGGACTTGTATGTCTATTTCTTTCACCAAATTAGGGAAGTTTCCTTTCAGTATTTTTCCAGATAAGTGTTCGATTTCTTGCTCTTCCTGTTGCCCTATGGCAGCCTTATGATTCGAATGTTGGTACATTTGGATATGTCCCAGGGGCTATTTATGCTACCCTCATATTTTCAAATAACTTTTTTCTTCACGCTGCTTTGGTTACTTATTTTTATATATTCTTCCTTATGTTCCAAATCCTTGAATTGAATCTCATGTTCATCCCCTCCAGTGTTAGTTCCCTGTAGACTTCTGTTGTTTTCACTTGTTGTGTCCTTCATTTCTTCCTGGGTCTTTTTATTCTGTTTCTGAATTGATGAGTTTTGAGCATCCTGATAACCAGTTTTTGAACTTTGCATCTGATAGGTTGGTTTCCATTTTGTTTAGTTCTTTTCCTGTGGTTTTGTTCTATTCTTTCGTTTGGGGCATGTTTGTTTGTGTCCTGAATTTGGCAGCCTCCCTGTGTTTGTTTCTGTGTATTAGGTAGAGCTCCTTTGACTCCCTGAGTTGTGTGGACTGTTGTAGAAGAGGCACATGTAAATTGTGGGGGGCGAAGCCTTAGGTAGTTGCCAGGGTAGGGCAACCAGCTTCACCACTTTTTGGCTCTGTGTCAGGGGAGGGCTCAAGAGAGGGAATAATGCTGCCACTTGGCTTCTGGAGGTTTGTGGGGAAAGAAGTTGTCTCCCAGCACTTGCCCTGTTTCCAGACACTTTTACCAGTGGTGCCCTTCCAGCTGTTGCCCTGGTGCTGAGCCCACAGTGGGTGGGGCTGGGAAGTCCTAAGTCTGTGGGGAGGCTTTTAGAGGAGTCTACTGAAAATCTGGCAGTATCTTCTTCCACCCCAAACCCTGCTGATATTTACAGCCAGAAGTTATGGGGATGTGTCTTCCTGGCCTTGAACAATAGGCTGTGTGGTCTGGCCTGGGGGTGAGATTCTTCATTCCTGAGGTCTTCCTCCCAGTTTTTGTCTACCACATGGGTGTGTGGGACTACTCTTTCCTCCACCTGTCCACGCCATGCCACATCTCTACTCTTCTGCACTCATGTCTGTCACTCTGCCCCTCCAAACCTTCTGGATGAATATGGATTTCGTATGTTCAGGGCTGTCGGATGTCAATAGTACTCCATTTTCTGACAGTTCTGTGTGATATATTTTATTGTCTAGTTTTAACTTCATCTGCAGTTGTGCCAAGAGGCAAAATGTGTTTACATGTGGCTCCGTCTTGATAGAAATTTCCCTGCTTTTTCGTAGGAAGAAAAATGAAGAGAAATGACCTAGATATTCACCAAGAGACTAAAAGAATAAAACATGATGGAAATCAGAAAACTCTTCAAAGATGAGCACTTTTTGGTTTTCACTGACAAAAAAAGGATAATATTCTTTCTTGGATAATGTTCTTAAGGAAAAACACTAACTTTCTGACTTAGTGTACAGTCCCATTTCTTTAACAGATTTTTCTGGTGGTTTTACTGACCTACTATTAACTGCACATAGATAAAGCAAATGATTTGACGCATTTTGACATTTGTGTCCAACCAGAAATTATCATTGTGATGCAGATACACGGATTAGCCTGAAAAGTTTTTCTTTCTTTTTGTCCATGCACAATCCTTTAGTGACAAAAGGGGTTTAGTTTTTCTATTCTAGAATTTTATATGTATGGAATTATATAGCACATATTTTTAATTTTTCATCTGATTTGTTACACTTCACATCATTTTGTTGAGGTTCACTCAATGTCAACTGTATGTACGAATCATTCCCTCATTTTTTTCCTTTCTTATTTTTTAAAATTGATTTTAAAGAAAGAAGGATTGTGTGTGAGAAAAATCAATCCATTCTCTTCTGTATAAGCCTTGTACTTAGATCCAACACACAGTCCTTTGGTGGACTTGACAACTCTAACCAGCTGAGCTAGGTGTCCAGTGCAATAGGTGACTTCTTTTTATTGCAGAGTAATATTCTACTTCCGGGATAGATCACCATGTGTTTATCCTTTTACTTGATGATCAATATTAGGATTGTTTCCATTCTACACTCAAGGGAAGGGTCTGAATCTCAGGTTTTGTGTGGCCAATAAGTGCTTTAATGGGGGTATGAGACAGCTGCTTACCACTCTTGCTTTCTTTGTTACGTCCTAGGAAAGAGGGCTACATGTGACAGGATATTCCCTTTTTTAATGAGATTTTCGTGTAAGATGCCATAGTTTTTAAATGTGTGAATGAACCTTAAAGTGCATATGCAGAGTCTGGACCTCAGGACAGTCACCTTGTCTGGAAACAGGTTGAAGAATCAATGGGACAAGGCATAACAGACTGGGAGGCTGTGTGGTTCGCAGGGGTGGATTAGTGCACTGAGTGGAGGGGTGAGGAGCCAGGCCAAAGGGCGGGCCACTCAGGGGCAGTGTGGACCTGTGGGAGCTTCACTGGCATGTGGGGAGACAGAAGACAACCAGCACAACAGCATGAGAATCAGCTCTTAACTGTATCATTAGTAGTAACAGGCGATGCTTTGAGAAGCACAGCTGTCTGGAGATGTGCACAAAAAGGCTTGGAAAGCAAGGAACCGGGTGCAGTGAACCCTCCCTGGGTGCGTGGGGTCAATAGATGCACTCCTCCAAACCTGTTTTCTTCCTAGTTCTCTTCTTGGTCTTTCCTGCCAGGTCTGAGCAGTGCAGGCCATGTTTGCATCTATTTCCATCAGGCTTTTCTTGCTGTGTTTTCACATCCTTAAAACTCATTGTCTCACTCACCTGCACCCTCCTTCCTGTGTACCTACTGCAGGCTGTCCTCTGCTGTCAGAATGTGCCTTGTCATGTCTTGGGAAGATCCTCCCTCCAAGTGTGGTTAACTACATGAGTGTTGTCATCTCTTTTCCCCTCCCCTCAGACTTGGAGACTGGACAGAACATGAATGAACTGGACCCAGAGAAGGAATCTTTGGAAGACAGCCCATCCATTGTAATGGTGGTGGAAGGACTCATGAAGAATGGGGCCCAGGATTATGCCTGTGAAAAAGTGGGGATACAGGGGGACAGGGAGGGGCAGCAACACAGAAGCACAGGGACCTGTCTAGTGCCTCTGGACATGTCCCAAGTGTTAGCTCCTGAGTGTTGTGAATTTAAGACATTGATCCACCAGAGCTATATGCAGAACCCACCAAGACTGGAAGGACCGAGAGGGCCAGGGATGTACTGTTTCACCATGGGTGGGAAGAACTCAGATACTTCAAGCCCCAGTCCTGCCTCCCAACTTTGTGCAGAGAAGAAGACATACAAGTGCAGACACTGTGGGAAGACTTTAAGCTCAAAGTCATCCTTGAGGAAGCACCAACGGAACCATTCCTTAGAGAAGCCATATGTATGTAGGGATTGTGGTAAGGCCTTCAGCCGGAAGGATAAAATCACCCTACACCAGAGGACACACACCGGGGAGAAACCTTACATGTGTGTGGACTGTGGCAAGTCTTTCAGCCAGAAGGGTAACATCATCCTACATAAGAGAACGCACACTGGGGAGAAGCCATATGTGTGCGGGAACTGTGGCAAAGCCTTCAGCCACAAATCAACCCTCAATGTGCATCAGAGGACTCACACCAGGGAAAAGCCTTATTCTTGTGGGGACTGCAACAAGGCCTTCAGAGACAATAGGCGCCTCATCGAGCATCAGAGGATACATACTGGGGAAAAGCCATACCTGTGTGGGGACTGTGGCAAAGCCTTCAGCCATAAATCGAGCTTCTATGTGCATCACAAGACACACACTGGGGAGAAACCTTACGTGTGTGGGGACTGTGGCAAGTCCTTCAGCAAGAAGGGTTATATCACCCTACACCAGAGAACACACACCGGGGTGAAACCATATGTGTGCAGGGACTGCGGCAAGACCTTCAGAGATAATTGGATCCTCATCCAGCATCAGAGGATGCACACCGGGGAGAAGCCATACACGTGTGGGTACTGTGACAAGGCCTTTAGCAAGAAAAGGTATCGCGTCCTACATGAGAAAACACATACTGGAGAGAAGGTTCATTTGTGCAGGGACTGCGGCAAAGCCTTCATCCACAAGTGGAGTCTCATTGTGCATCAAAGGACACACACAGGGGAGAAGCCTTATGTGTGTGGGGACTGTGGCAAGGCCTTCAGAGAGAATAGGCGCCGCATCGAACATCAGAGGATACACACAGGGGAGAAGCCTTATGTGTGTGGGGACTGTGGCAAGGCCTTCAGAGAGAATAGGCGCCTCATCGATCATCACAGGACACACACTGGGGAAAAGCCATACATGTGCGGGAAGTGTGGCAAGGCCTTCAGCAACAAAAGGTGCCTCATCCTACATGAGAAGACACACACTGGGGAGAAGCTGCACTCGTGTGGGGACTGTGGCAAAGCCTTCATCCACAGATGGAGTCTCATTGTGCATCAGAGGACCCACACAGGGGAGAAGCCTTATGTGTGTGGGGACTGTGGAAAGGCCTTCAGAGAGAATAGGCGCCTCATGGAGCATAAGAGGATGCACACCGGGGAGAAGCTGCACTCATGTGGGGACTGTGGCAAAGCCTTCAGCCAGAAATGGATGCTCATTGTGCATCAGAGGTCACACACCGGAGAGAAGCCGTATGTGTGCAGTGACTGTGCAAAGGCCTTCAGCACGAAAGGTCAGCTCATTCTGCATCAGAGGACGCACACGGGGGAGAAGCTGCACTCCTGTGGGGACTGTGGAAAAGCCTTCAGCCAGAAATCCGGCTTCATTGTGCATCAGAGAACACACACTGGAGAGAAGCCGTATGTGTGTGGTGACTGTGGCAAGGCCTTCAGTCAGAAATCCAGCCTCCTTGTGCATCAAAGGACTCACACAGGGGAGAAGCCATACCTGTGTGGGGACTGCGGCAAGTCATTCAGAGTGAAGAAGAGCCTCACTGAGCATCAGAGGACACACATTGGGCAAATGTCGTATGTGGGCAAGGACTCCAGCCAGGCCTTCACAGAGAATAGGTGCCTCATCGAGCACCAGAAGATGCACACCGGGTAGAAGCCATATGTATGCAGGGGTTGTGGCAGGGCTTGTAGCTAGAACAGGAACTTCACTGACCATCAAAGAGTGCAGATTTCGTCCCTGGCTGGTGTGGTTTTGTGGATTGAGTGCTGGACTGCGAATCAAAGGGTCTCTGGTTCAATTCCCACTCAGGGCACATGCCTGGGTTTAAGGCCAGGTCCACAGTAGGGGGGTGCTCCAGAGGCAACCATATATTGACGTTTTCTCTCATTCTTCCTTCTCTTTCTAAAAGTAAATAATTTTTTTTTAAAAACTAGGAAAATAAAACAATGTACCCTCAGGAGAAGGTATACATGTTAGGCTATTACAGACTTTAGCAAGAGCTCCTCATTCAGGAAGTACAAACCAGTGCACACTGGGCAGTCCCCTGCCAGTGCTCCACGTGCCAGAAGGACTTAATGACATGCTTATCCTTACAGAATTCTCTAACTAGCCCCACCTTGGAAAATTGTGGCAAAACCTTCATCAGGAACTTTTTGCTCCCCATCCGCTGGGTGATTTCTGTGGGAGACAAGCTCTACCACAGTGGCAAGTGCAGGGAAACCTTCAGGAATTTCTACCTCATGTGATACATAGCAGGGAATTGGGGGCTTTTAGAATCCACACCTGGTAGGTCCCGAGCCCATGGGTCAGTGCCAGACTTGGTATTGGAGCCCACAGATAGGAAGCAAGAGAAGTCCTGATCAGACCTGTCTTAGAAGTATTGGTGTTGAGGACACACCAAGGCATTCTCGCCATTTGCTTCCCCAGCATCCACAGGGCCAGGTGCAAAGCAAGCCCCACTTGAGGTCTCGTATCTGGAAATGTTGCCAGGCGTCCTGTGGCTCCAGACCCAGATCTAGTAAACTTTGGGAGCTTGGACAACACATTCAGTGTCTCTGGTCTCCATCTACTGTATAGCAAAGTGGAGGGGAGAAAGGAGAAAGGAAGATGTGGAGGTGGGCTCCATGGGGGCATTGTCACTTTGTGACACATGTCTGGATCTTGTCTAGAGGCCAGGTTATCACATCTGTGGCTGTCTTCATTTACTCCATACCCATCCTCCGTATCCTTCCAACAGTAGAAGTGCCAGGTATTTTATGAGGAGAAGGACATTTCTTTCAGCCTGGGAACTAACAATAATTGCATCAGGTGCCATCGTTTCTCATAGGGATGTATAAATTTTTAAAAAATAGAACTTAAAGGGAGACTAATGTCATTGTAAACAATCAGGTGCAAAATGTACACGTACGGGACATTTTGCCCTGTCAAAATGAGTGTGAACACTTTGGGGGGGCGGTGATCCAAATACCCTACAGGAACCTTAGGAACTCAGCAAACCTGCCCAAGGTATGAGGCCACCTGTCCCTCCCAGCCCTACATTCCTGGCTTGGGAATGGTCAGATCAGGTGGCAGGACCCAGACCTTCAGTAGCAGAGATGGAGAAAGTGCCTGTTGTGCTGAAACACACCCTTTTGGCCTCCTCCCCACAGGGCCATTTAAGTTACAGGAGAAAAATTCTCATAATACAGTGTCCTGACCCACCCCTTGCAACCAGAATTTCTGAGAAAATAAAGTGCCTTCAGTTAGGCTGTAGCATTACCTAATCTATGCCTCACCCACAGCCTAGGTCACGTTTTACTTAATATTTTATTACTGATATGGATAGCAACCTCTTACCAATAATAAATAGCAAGTGATATGAAAATGGTGTTCTGTTAACAATAAAGCAATACCTAAAGCTTTTATTAATAAGTGGGAAACTATTAACTATTTTGTATAGGTTGTTATTTGGGATGATTCTGTGAATGGCTGCTGATGGTGCTGCAGCCTAGTACCCTCCTCATCACCAAACGTGTACGACCTGGTGGTGATCAATACTTAGACTGGCTCCCACTTCTGTACAGTTGCCAATTTACTGAAGTGCTCCAGTGGGACAGACACAGCACAGTGTGCTTATCCACCTGGCCTGAAACGGAGTCCCTGCTGGTGGCTCAGTGAAGCATTGCTTGTGTATGTGAAGGTTGCAGGTTCTGTCACTGGTCAGGTGCCTACAAGAAAAAAAAGAACAATCTGATGAGTGGGACGAAAACATCAATGTGTCTCTTTCTCTCAAATAAATAGAATTTTAAAAAGTGAAGTAGATTCTTCTACTTGTAGGGTGATCCTTACAAGAGTCTCGGTGAAACAGTCACATTTGGGGCCACTGCTGAAGTCCCAGAGGGAACAACATTCCCCGCCCATGGTGAGGTCTGGCCAAGTCTTAACCAACAGGGAGTCCATGATCATGGGTGACTCAACAGGGCACACTGTGGACTGCACCCAGACAGCAGATGGACTTGATTGAGCTCACTCAGTTTATTTTCAGTGTAATGAGTTTTCCTCATTAAATCATTATAATTTACATTTACAGGCATCACACTTCATTCATTTAACTCTTCAGGAAAATATAGACTATCTCATTGCCCTAGCTGGTGTGGTTCAGTGGATGGAACATCAGCCAGCTAACTGAAAGAGCTCCAGTTCAATTCTTGGTCAGGGCACATGTTTGGGTCATGGGCCTGGTCAACCCTGGCCATGTGGCTCACATAGGTGGAATATTGTCCCTTGTACCCAAAGGTTGCAGATCACAACAAATGGATTTTTGTCTCACATGGATTTCTCTCTCTCCATTTGTAAAATCAAGTACATATCCTCCAATGAAGAATGAAAAAGAATAAGAGAATGGAAACAAAGTCATTAATCACCACCTAAGGAAGCTGCAGTCAGCACTTTTGCAGTCACTGAGGCATTCAGTGAATGCTTTTGGACTTGGCATTGCAGTTTATAGTTAAAAGGGCCTTGGGCTAAGGACCTGTTGCTCCAATTTTTCCATTTTGGATGGCTGGTGGATTGGTGGATGACTGGTTAGCCAATGATTGGTAAGATTCCTCAAGGGAGGGACAACCTAAGACAGGCATGGTCACAAACGGGACCTCAGGGAAGGACTTGGGGGGCTATAGAGAAAGGGGGTGATGGACCCTCACCCCTCAGCTTTGACATAGCCTGAGTTCTCATTCTGTCTGCAAGAAGTCTCATAATATCTTGGCTGCCTTACTTCCCCCACCTGATTTAAGCCTGAAACAATGACTTAAGCCTAAAACAATGCTGGAGGTGGGTGCAGCCTTGGGGGGGCCGGGGAGGGTTGGGTTCCCTAGGGCAATCAGGCCTGAGAAAAATGTATAAAATCCTATGAAACCTACTTTGCTAATACCCTCAAATACCCTCAATTTAAATGATAAGGGTGTAAGCAGGAAGTTAGTTTGTTCCCCAAAGTTTTATGGCCCTTTAACTATCTGACCCTGACTCAGAATAAGCCAGGGTTATTCGGAATAAACGTCCTTGAGTTTATTGAATGTTATTTGAGAGTTCTTTGAATGTTATCTGTTGTTTAATCATTTCAGCCTAAAAATGATTGATGAGGTTTATGTATACACCCTGTATTCCTGTGTAAATGGAACCCAATAAAAAGTCTCTGAAGGTAAGAGTTGAGGCGCTGTCCTTGTGAGAGAGTGGCTGAGGTTCTCTGAGCACTCTCCTCTTGACAGAAAAGCTGCACTGTCCCTTTTCCTCCACAGAACTTGGTAGTCCATGTGAATTTGTCTTGTCTCATCCATAACACCCCAGACCCCAGGAGATGGGATCAGCCTCATTTTTTTTCTAAAATTTTATTTATTTTCAGAAAGAGTGAACAAGAGGAAGAAATACGGAGAAACACTGATGTGTGAGAAGGCCTGAAACCCAAACATGTGCCCTTACTGGGAATCAAATCAGCAACCTTTCAGTTCACAGGCTGGCTTCCAGTCCACTGAGCCATACCATCCAGGGCCACCAACATCATTTAAAACAGTTGTCAGGTGCAACAGAGGGACTTACTGGTTGTCCCGACCAAATGAGTGTGAACCATTGTGGGGAGGGAGCACAAATACCCCAGAAGAACTCAGCAGCAGGTTGCAAACCACGTGTTCCTCATAGCCCTGGATTCCTGGCTTGGGAATGGTTACACCATGTCTGATGTCCATTATGAGAACAGTTTCCCTGGGGGTTTGCTGGTCTCGCATGATGATGGAGAAATATTAGGAGGAAATTACATTTGTCCATCTCCCCACCTCACACATATTAGGACCAGCAATATCCAGAGGTCAGTTATTTTTCATCTCCTTTATCCTGGATGCTCATTTACCCAATACACATTCTGCATGGAATGAATTTTTATAGGGGTATTTTCCTTTGCTCCAAGTTTTTTTTTTTTTTTTAAGATTTTATTTATATTTAGAGGAGAAGGGAGGGAGGAATAGAGGGAGAGAAACATCAGTGTGTGGTTGCCTCTCACATGCCCCCTTACTATGGACCTGGCCTGCAACCCAGGCATGTTCCTGGGTCACTGGGAATCAAACCAGTGACCCTTTGGTTTACAGGCTGGGCTCGGTCTCTTGCCCACCTGGCTATGATGGTGGGCAGGGTACTACCCTGCGAGTTGGCCGGACTTTGTGGTCCTGGAAGAGACTTGGCTAACATCGGAGCCTGCAGGTTCCAGGAGGAAGTATGAAACCAGACAGCAGCCCCGGACCAGCTGAGCTGCCTGGATGACTGGTCAGCGACAACAGCGGTTCCCACAAGATGGTACTTTGAAGCAGGACCTCTGGACTCTGCCTTCTGATCTGGTTGTGTTGAAGACGGCTGCGGTTTTCCTCAGTTTTTCGGAGGGAATGGGCTTTGAGACAAGTATCTGCCATTCTCCCCGACTCTGCATTTGAGTGAAAAACCTCTTTCTCATCAGCCTGTGCCTCTAGAGCTTTCCTATTTAGGGAAACAGGCAGGAGAACCCCCGCTTTGGTTCTGTAACATTAACACGCCCTGAACAGGAGTTGGCTGTTAAGGCGAAGAGCTGATACTTTTTTGTGTTGAAGATCATTTGCTTCTTGGCGTCTCCGCACGCTTTACAAATTGTCTGCAACTCAGCACGCCCATGCGGGCCCAAGGCCAAAGAAAAAGAGGTCTGAGGGGGCGGAGACTCCAGAGTCTTTTTTGCGTCCACACGCCCCGCCTTTTCTTCAATTTCCCTGGCTCTATTTCCATTCCAGCTCACTCCGCTCTCATTCCCTCGCTGCGTAGGGCCAGGAACCCCTCTGTCGCTCTCCTCCCACAGTCACAGCTCGCCCCGATCCTCCCCGGGCCCTGTGCTCTTCGGTAGTTTCCTCCCGCTCCCTAACCCTGCAGCCCCAGCTCCCTCAGGAACACGGTCTTACTGACCGTGTCGCGGGGGACTTCTGGGACGTGGAGTCTCGCGTCCACTGCTGAGACTCGGGTCGGCTCGGCCGCGCTCGCCGGAGACGCGCAGTGATTCGGGAAATGTAGTAGGGCCGCTGGGCGCAGGCGCAGTGCGGTCGGGGTGCCCAGCGGAAGCCGCTCTGTCTCCTGAGGTAACCGCGTGTTGGTGAGTTTGAGCGCGGGCTGGGCAGGGGTTTGAGGAGACTGAGCGCGGCTCTGGGTGTGGTCGCACGGGTGAAGGCAGTGCCTGTGGCTGGGAGTGTGCGTGTGTGTGGGGCTGAGACTCCCGGGCGGTCTCTTCGTGTGCCTGTGTCACCGGGTGTGTGTCACCGCGAGTGTGCGCGAGGCCACCTGTGTTTTCCTTTGCTCGTGTGTGTGTGTGTGTGTGTGTGTGTGTGTTGCAGGTGTTTGTCTCTCCGGGGCCCTTCTTTGTTCCTCAGTGTGCGTGTCTGCCTTTATTTCAATCTGTGGTGTCACCATGTGAAGGCACCATCCCGATGTCTCTTCCTGTGCGTCTGTGTGTCTGGTGTGAGTGCGTGTGCGTGTGGGGTGCGTCCCTCCTGCCCGAGCCTTCCCCTGCCGGCGTGCGTGTGCTTCTCTGTTTCTGGGCATTGCAGACATTTGTGAATGAGTGCGTTAGAGATGCCCTCCCAGAGCGTGGAGAACACGGTCCTGCCGGACAGGCGGCCTGGCGGAGCTGCCTGCCTGCGGGCCCCAGAGCCTTCTCCTTCCCGCCCTCAGAGCCTCCCCTGGCCCTGGGAGGACGGGGCCTGTGTAGTAGCCAGGTTTGGGGTCAAGAAAGAGAGTCAGAGACCTTACCCCATGCTGACCCGGGTGGATTTGTTCATGGAGTGTGTGTTGGGTGCTGAAGGTATGGTTCTGGGCATTTTTCTTTAGATATTTATATATTTTGTTTTAGAGAGAGGGGAAGAGAAGGCGAGAGAGAGAGGGGAAGAAACATCAGTGTGTGCCTGTTTCTGGCAGGGACCCACTGGGTACCTGTCAGGCAACCCAGGCATGTACCCGGACTAGGGATCTACCCAACTAGGAATCAACTGGAGATCCTTCACTTCTCAGTCCTGCACTCGATCCACTGCCTACACCAGGCAGTGCTAGTTGTGGGCATTTTATAGGCCACCTGGTGACTCTGAGATAGGGACCCTCACCATGTGCAAAATGGGAAGCTGAGGCTCAGAAAATGTTAAGTAAATCACCCAACTCCACACCCAGGCATCCAGGTACCAGAACACCCATACTAAACACCCCACAGTGGGAAATCGTTGTTTCTCCTAAGAACAATGGATGGCAGGAAATGCCAGAAAGCTTGGTCAGAGGAGGAGGAAGAGGAGCAGCGGCCACCCCTGGCTCTGCAGCCACATATCTGGGACCACTCTGGGTTCAGCGATCAGCAGTCCCATGTACATGCTATTTCCAGGACCACTGTGCCTTGATGGCCTCCTTTTAAATAAAGTAACCTTGGAGTAGTGATTGTATTGCTGTAAGGACAAAAATAGTCTACATTAGATATGCATTTAAGAAATGATGATACATTTTTTATTTCAAAACTTTATGTGTTTATTTTTAGAGAGAGGGTAAGGGAAATAAAAAGAAAGGGAGAGAAACATCAGTGTGTGGTTGCCCTCGAGCTCCCCCTAGTGGGAACCTGGTCTGCAATCCCAGCATGTGCCCTAGTCTGAGAATCAAACTGGAGACCCTTTGAGTGGGAGGCTGCCACTCAGTCCACTAACCACACCAGCCAGTGCCGAAATAATGACATTTTCAAGGGTTCCTGTTGCTGTCAGCTGCCTGGGCCCACTACCTCTCCTGGGTAAGTTAGACCCAGGGGAGATGGGCCAGAGGGTCTTGTTCCTCCCTCCAGGATTGGGACTGGCTGTGTGAACATGCCTGTGTTGGGGGGGAGTGTATGTGTGTGGGTATGACATGTGCACAAAGCACATGAACCCTGAAGTGCTCAACCCAACCCTAATCCCACAATTACCTTCTTGGGTTCCTGGGTTATCTTTTTATGCCTCAGTTTCATCATCTTTGAAATGAGGTGAGTGAAAATAGCCTGAATAATGCAGGATATTAGGAGGATCAAGTCAGGGATGGTAGTGGAGGACCTTAGATGCCATAAGCTGTTGGGAGCCATCCTGCCTGGTTTCACGGACTGTAGCTTCATTAATGGACAATAAGGGTCCCAGGGCTAGCGCTGAGTGGAAAGGCCTTGAGGACATGAGCCACTAAGGAGACAGAACATTTCCTCCTGGCAGGAGCATAGCCCCTGCTTCCCCCACTTCACCCTGCTTCCCCCACCCAGATTACCAGTCAGCCAGTGGCCAGTAAGACCCCTCATTTAAAGGGGAAGAGTAACTGAAGACAGGCACCGTTGCAATGGCCCATCAAGAAGGACTTAGGGGTCTTCAGAGAAGGGTCAGAAGAACCCTCACCCCCTGGCTTTGTCATAGCCGGAATCCTCAGTCTTTCTGTAAAAGTCTCCTAGTCTCTTGGCTGCTTTGCTCTCCCCACCTGATTTAGCCTGGGAACTATGCCAGAGGCAGCTGTGACCTTGTACAGGAACAGACCACTCCCTGGGGCGGAGTCTGGCCAGAGAAAGAATATACATTGTTTCCTTTGAGGCTTGCCCTGCCCTGTTGGTATGAAACAGACACTTGAGCTAAAGCCAGCCCTGACCAGAGACAATCCCTATGTTTCTTCAACTATTATGTATAAATGATGTCAGTTTTTCATGACTAGCTTTTTGAACATTGGTGGATGAGCTTTATGTGCATACTATGTATTACTGTGTGAGCTGAACTCAAGACAGAGAAGGAGATGGTTGGGACCCTTCTTAAGAGACTGGTCACTCTTCCTCCCCGGGTAGGTGGGAGGTTTATTCTCATCTGGGAATAGGTTTATTCCTATTGGTAGGTTTATTCTCATCTGGGACAGCCTAGGGAAGCTCTGCATGTGGATCCCCCTGACAATAGGTCCCGTGTATGCATTCACTGTTAATGTATGTGCATGTCCTTGTCTGCCTGTCTTCTAGTGGGTGTGTCTGCATTGTGGGTTGGGCCTGGACCTGATGTCTCACTCTGCCTTTTTCTTTCTCTCCTTGAGTACAGCCTGCCCGTGCCCGGAACACCATAGGCACTGAAAGGATGGCCACCCAGCTGCGGACCAAGGAGGCCCTGGTGAGTCATGTCACCCTCTGGCTCCTCCTTCCATAGGGTCATGCTCTGAACAGGGATGACCCCTAGCTCCCCCCAAACCCCATCAGGCCCCAGGCCCTCTCCCTGTCTCCTGGGGTATTGTCCACCCTGAGTTGAGGGAGTACTCTCCTGACCATGGCATTTTTCAACCACAGGGGACAGGATGGCTCAGGAGTGAGTTTTCCTACCCTGAGTGCTCTCAGAAGACACCTGTGGGCACCTGGGATGTGGCCGCTTAAACATATTCAGTGAAGTGTGACAGAGGCCTTGGGCGGGAAGTACTGGATGAGGCACCTTCAGAAGTATGCAGGGGCACTACATTTCCAGGAGAATGGAGGGGGATGGGAGGAGGACGTCTGACGTCAGGGACTGGTGAATGTCCCTGTCTGTCATCGTGATGTTCTAGTGGATAGAAATTCGTCGTATATTTCTGTAAATTTTCTTCTACGAAAGAAAAACTTTATAATAAAAAATGTACAGATGTGGTTCAGTTGATTAGAGGATCATTTTGATTTGCCATAGTTTGGGTTCGATTGCTGGTCAGGGCACTTTCAAGAAGCAACCAATGAAATCATCAAGAATTGGAACAACCTCTCTTTCTCTCTGTCTCTGAAATCAGTAATTTTATATATACACATCTCGAGGTAAGTGTGCTGAGACCAGCTTGGGGAGGAAGTCCCTGAGGGGGTGGGCAACAGCAGATTAAGAAAGACACAGACAATTTAAAGAAAAGTGGGGGCCAGGTGGGGCATTGTCCTCTGATGGAGAGACAATGACCCTGAACATGGTCTCTGCATTTGTTTTATAAGGGTTGGTTAGGTAAAGCTCAAGGGTGTTCTACAGACTCAGGGAAAAACTGCAGGCATGATTGCTATGTTCCCAGAGTATCTAAATGATATTTCTTCTACAAAAGTTACAGCTGCATTCAGTTGAAGCTTGTGGTCAACTATCTCCTTCTTAACCCCTGAGGATCCTGGCTGTTGTTACTGCTGTCTTGATCCACCTTGCAGATGCAAACAGTCAAGTGCAGTCTTGCCAAGCACTCAGACTCAGATTTGATGCCAGCCTTCACCGTTCTCCACATAAGTGCATTTTTTTAAATCATCAGTAGAGGATATGTTCATCGACTTGTAGGCAGAGAGAGAAAGAGAGGGACAGAGACAAAGATGTGAGAGAAATTTTGATGGGTTGTCTCCCACATGTGCTACAACCTGATATAGAATCTCCAATTATTTTGTGTCTAGGACATTGTTCCAACCAACTGAACCCTCTGATCAGGGCCCGGCATAAATATTTGCCCTTCATCTTGTATGATTTTTCATTTCATTTTTTAAAATTATTCAAGTGGAGCAACTGTGTAAAGATTTTACTATTTTTTAGAGAGAGCAGAAGGGAGGGAGAAATATAGGAAGAAAATCATTGGTGGGCGACATAAACATTCATGGGTTTCCTCTTACAACCCCCCAACATGGCACCAAGCCTGCAGCCCAGGCGTGTGAACCAACTCGGAATCAAATAGGAGACATTTCATTTATGGACTGGTGCTCATTCCACTGAGCCACAACAGCCAGGGCTTTTTATGATTTCTTCTTTTTCTTTTTTTTTTTGTCTTTAATGTTACTTCAGAGAAAGGAAGGAAGAGAAACATCAATGTGTGTTTGGCTCTCGCACGCCCTCAACTGGGGGCCTGGCCTGCCACACAGGCATGTGCCCTGACTAGGGATCCAACCAGAGACTTTTACGTTGAAAGGCCGATGTTCAATCCAGTGATCCACGCCAGCTAGCATTGTGAGGCTTGACTTTTAGGAAATGTTCATTCGCTTTTTATGTGGGAAAATTGTTTTTATTTCATTAAGATTCTATTTACTTATTTTTAGAGAGAAGGGAAGGAAGCAAGAAAGAGTAGGAAAAAAAAATCAATGTAAAACATCAACCGTTTATCTCCCATATGAGCCCTAACTGGGACCATACCCTTAACCTTTGGTTGTTCACACAACTCTGCACCCAGCTGATTTACCTAGTCAGGGCTGCACATTTCTATAAGTGGAATCACACAACGTGTTTTTTTGTATCGGGCTGCTTTCACTGAGCACCATGTGTTCCATGTACATCTGTGTTGTGGTAGGTGTCCTCTTTCATAGCTGTAGACTATTCCATTAAGCAGGTATTCCCTGTCTATGCATTTATCAGGTGGTATACATTGGGGTTGTTTCCACTTTTTGGTTTTATTAGTCATGCTGCTGTGAACTATCATGTACAGTTTTTTGTTTGCTCTCATTTCCCTTAAGTGCAGGAGAGGAAAGAGTGGGTCCTTTGGTATCATTATATTTAACCATTTAAGAAACAATGACTGTTTTCCTGTGTGGTTTCACCATGAGATCTCCACTTTGACCTTCTCTGTAATCATTCCCTTAGTTTCCTCTTTTACCAATATTGTTTACGATTTCCCGGTGGTTATCTCTCTGACCCCACCTTCCTCTCCCTCCAAAATCAATATGTATGTCCTGTAGTGAGTATTTAAATAAAAAAAGTAGAGCCTGATTTCAGCTCTTTAGGACTAGGTGAGGTTTTTCTTGTGGCAAAGAGGTTTCTGCCATTAGACAAGAATCCCAAAGAGATGGAGCCCTGGAATGAGTGGCCTCAGTCATGTTCCCATAGAGTGCTCAGAGGACTTTAGTTCACTTGGAGGTCAGCCCCATTTCTAGGGGAATCTCCCAACCCTGTGTCTCACCTCCGACACTTTTGCTGTAGAGTGTGGGCACCCAGATGCCCAGGACCCACTCGGATTTTCAGTCTGTCCCAGCCTGGGCTGAGTGCATGGAGCCTGCTGGGTAAAAATTTCATTGAGTGAGTTTATTCAAGCGGGTGGACATAGGTATAATTTTCACCAGGAGTTATATTTAAAAATTTAAAATGAAATAAATACAATAATAAAGGGGGTCAGGAGGAAACTTTTGGAGGTGGTCGGTTTGTTTGTGACCTTGATGGTAATTTCAGTAGATTGTACTTATTGGGTTGGCAAAAATATCCGTTATATTCTTTTCTGCAAAGTAAAAGACATTTCTCATTTTCACCAGTAACTGTTGGTTTGGATATTTTGGTGACAGCCTCCTTGGCGTTCCTGTGTGTCATTTAAACTTGAGGTTCTGACCCAGCAGTCCCACCCAGAATCTCCCTCCATGGACCCAACCTCATATCACCCCTTCCCCTTTCCCGGACACCTCAGAGAGTTGCTGCTGCCCAGGCACCTGTCTTGATGGTTTTGAGAAGTTAAGGGTCCATCATGGGGGTTTTTGTCTAACATGTATAAGGTAATATGTCATTGTGGTTTTAGTTTGCAGCTCTCTGATGATAAGTGACATTGAGCATTTTCTTGTATGTGTAGTGGCCATCTGCATGTCCTCTTTGGAGTAGTGTCTGTTCAGGTTTTTTGCCCTTTTTTGAATTGTGTTGTTGTTTGCCTTTCTGTGAACAGCCCTGTAGTTTTATTTGCCAGTCCAAGGGCCATCCAGTGTACTTAGGCACCAAGGACTATGAGTGGTCAGGCCCTTCAGAGCTCCACACCTTGTTGACATCAATCAGATGTATCCTGTGTGCCTTCCTGACCCTCTCAGCCCTTCTCTGGCCACGTCTCTCGAACACTGTGAGGAGGGCCCTGCAGTGAGTAGTGTGTGTTTCCTCTTAACAGGGGTCGGTGTCGTTCAGAGATCTGATTGTAGACTTCACCCAGGAGGAGTGGCAGCAACTGAAGCCTGCGCAGAAGGACCTGTACAGGGATGTGATGATGGAGACCTACTGGAACCTGGTCTCGCTGGGTAAGGGGACAGCTTTCCTGTGTTACTCACCATGTGCCTGTCACCTCAGGATGACAGAGAAATAAGAAAGGTGGACAGATGCAAATATGTCCATTGGCCCAGATAGTTTATCTTTCCTTTCACTCACCCTCCATTCCACACAACTATTGTGGTGTAGTTTACCTGTTCTAGAATTTTATAGCTATGCAGCCATATTGCAGGAAGTCTTTTGTTGTTGTTGTTTATTTGTTTTTAAGATTGTATTTATTTATTTATAGAGAGAGGGGCAGGGAGAAAGAAACAGAGGGAGAGAAGCATCAATGTGTGGTTGTTTCTCACCCACTCACTAAGGGAACCTGACCAGCATCCTAGGCATGGGCCCTGAGTGGGAATCGAACTTCGCAGGCCAGCACTGAAGCCACTGAGCCACAGCAGCTGGGGCATCTTCTTTTTTTCTAATCTGAGTTCTTACACTTGGCATCATTTCTTGCGGTTTTCCCACATTGTCTGTGTGTATGAATAGTTCCCCCCATCCTTTTCTTAATGCGTTGTTTATTTTTAGAGAGGGAGAGAAATGTCAATGTGTGGTTGCCTCTGACATGGTCCCCAGCTGGGGACCTGCCCCACAAACCTGGCATGTGCTCTGATGGGAATTGATGCAGTAACTCTTTGGTTCACAGGACTGTGCTCAATCCATTGAGCTACACCAGCCAGGGCTGGATGTCCTTATGTAGAGACATGATGTCCTTTCTGTTTGGAAAGGCTGAATTATACATAGGTGTATATTTAACTTTTTCAGAAACTGCCAAATTTTTCTCCAAAGCAGTTGCTTCATTTTTCATTCCCACCAGCAAGTTCTGGGTGTTGCATTGCTCCATGTGATTGTCAGAACTGAACATGCTCAGTCTCTCTCATTGTAGCCATTCTCGTGGGTGTGCAGTCTTACCACAATCTAGCTTCCAGCTGGTACTGAGAACCTTTGCAGGTGCTTATTTCCCATAGGTATGTTCTCTTTGGTGAAGTGTCTCATTCAAGTCTTTTGACTCTTTTTTAATTGGGTTGTTTGGTTCTTTATCATTCAGCTTGGACATTTCCTTGGATATCCTCTTGTTGTTAATTTTTGGTCCAAGACCTTTATGAGATGTGTGGTTTGTAACAGCTTCTCCCATCTTCTGAGTGCTCTTTTCACTTTCTCAATGGCATCATTTGGATCATACTTGTTTTCAATGTAGATGGGGTCCAATTTACTTACTTTCTTACTCCTTGTGCTTTTGGTGTCATATCTGAAGGACCATCGCCTAACCAGAGTCCTCAGAGATTTACTCTTGTGTTATCTACAACTTTTAGAATTTTATCTCTTTCATTACGTCTTTTTCCCAGTTTGAGTTAATTGTTTTGAATGCTATAAAAAGGGGCTAACGTCACTTTTTTTTTAACTTAATTTTTTTGTGGTGACATTAGCTAATAGGATGACATAAGTTTCAATTTTACATGTCTTTTTTTAAGTATATTTTATTGATTATGCTCTAATGCTTGTCCCAGTGTTTCCCCTTTGTCTTCCTCTACTAGTCAGCCCCCTTGCCTCCAGCAACCCCCAACCCACTTAGTTCATGTCCAAGGGTCATACATGTAAGGTTTTTAGCTTCTCCATTTCCCATACTATTGTTAACATCCCCCTATTCTGTACCTACCAATTTATGCTGTTTAACCCCCACCTTTTATGCCATATCCCCTTCCTTCCCCTCCTACTCCCAACTGATAAGCCTCCAGCATCCCCTTCAAGATCCCCTTATCTATGATTCAGTTTCTCTTGTTTGTGTAGTTTGATTTTTAGATTCAGTTTTTGATACTTGTGAATGTGTCTCATATTAATGTTCATAGGTTTGATCTTTTTCATTCATTCATTCATTCATTCATTCATTCTTAGAGAGGGGAGGAAGGAGAGAGAGAAAGAAACATCACTATGTGCTTGCCTCTCACATACCCACTACTGGAGGCCTTCCTGCAACCCAGGCATGTGCCCTTACTGGGAAATGAACCCATAAATCTTTGGTTTGTAGCCTGGCACTCAATCCAATGAGCCACACCAGCCAGGGCTGATCTTCTTAAATAAGTCCTTTTCACATTTCATGTAATAATGGGTTGGTCGTGATGGACTTTAGCTTTACCTTGTCTGGAAGCAGTTTTTCTGTGCTTTGATTCTAAATGATTGCTTTGATGGCTAGATCGTAGTAGGTTGTAGGACCTTATTTTTCATCCTTTGAATACTTCTTGCCAGTCCCTCCTTGCCTGTAAAGTTCCTTGTGAGAAATCAGCTGGCAGTATTTATGAGAACTCCTTTGTAAGTTAACTCTGATTTTCTCTTGCTGCTTTAAGATTCTCTATCTGTATCTTTAACCTTTGGCATTTTAATTATAATGTGTGTTGGTGTGGTCCTGTTTGGGTCCAAGTTCTTTGGGCATCTCTGTGCTTCCTGGACTTGTATGTCTATTTCTTTCACCATATTAGGGAAGTTTTCTATCCATTATTTTTTCAGATAAATGTTCAATTTCTTGCTCTTCCTGTTCCCCTTATGGCAGCCTTATGATTCAGATGTTGGTATGTTTGGATATGTCCTAGGGGCTATTTATGCTATCCTCCTAATACCAAATTCTTTTTTTCTTCATGCTGCTTTGTTTAAATGCTTATTTCTTCCTTATGTTCCAAGTCCTTGAATTGAATCTCATCTTCATCCCTTCCATTGTTAGTTCCCTGTAGATTTCTGTTTATTTCACTTGTTATGTTCTTCATTTCTTCCAGCATCTTTTTTATTCTGTTTCTGAATTGATGAGTTTTGAGCATCCTGATAACCAGATCTTGAACTCTCTATCTGATAGGTTGGTTATCTTCATTTTGTTTATTTCTTTTCCTATGGTTTTGTTCTGTTCTTTCATTTGGGGCATGTTTGTGTCCTGAATTTGGCAGCCTCCCTGTGTTTGTTTACTCCCTGTCTGAGTTGTGTGGCCTGTTGTAGAAGAGGCACATGTAAATTGTGTGGGGCGGAGCCTTAGGTAGTTGCCAAGGTAGGGTAACCAGCTTCACCACTTTTTGGCTCTGTGTCAGGGGAGGGCTCAGAGAGGGGATAATGCTGCCACTTGGCTTCTGGAGGTTTGTGGGGAAAGAAGTTGTCTCCCAGCACTTGCCCTGTTTCCAGACACTTTTACCACTGGTGCCCTTCCAGCTGTTGCCCTGGTGCTGAGCCCACAGTGGGTGGGGCTGGGAAGTCCTAAGTCTGTGGGGAGGCTTTTAGAGGAGTCTACTGAAAATCTGGCAGTATCTTCTTCCACCCCAACCCTGCTGATATTTACAGCCAGAAGTTATGGGGATGTGTCTTCCTGGCCTGGAACAGTAGGCTATATGGTCTGGCCTGGGGGTGGGATTCTTCATTCCTGAGGTATTACTCCCACTTTGTATCCACCACATGGGTGTGTGGGATCACTCTTTCCACTACCTGTCCACGTCATGCCACATCTCTACTCTTCTGCACTCATGTCTGTCACTCTGCCCCTCCAAACTTTCTGGATCACTGTGGGTTCTGTAGTCCATGGTCGTCGGATGTCAGTAGCACTCCATTTTCTGACACTTCTGTGTGATATATTTTATGGTCTAGTTGTAACTTTTTCTGTAGTTGTGCCAGGAAGCAAAATGTGTTTACAAATGACTACAACTTTATAGAAATTTCCCTGCTTTTTCATAAGAAGAAAAATGAAGAGAAATGACCTAGATATTCACCAAGAGACTAAATGAATAAATCAGGATGTAGAAATATGATGGAAATCATAACATTCTTCAAAGATGAGCACTTTTTGTCCTCACTGACAAGCTGTCCCTGGATAATATTTTTAAATTAATTAATTCAGTAATTTTTCAAGAGGGGGAAGGGTAGGGAGAAAGAGAGGGAGAGAGACATCAATGTGTGGTTGTCTCTCACATGGCCCCCACTGGAGACCTGGCCCGCAACCCAGGCTAGTGCCCTGACTGGGAATCAAACTGGCAATCTTTTGATTCTTAGCCCGTGCTCAATCCATTGAGCTACACCAGTTAGGGCCCTGGATAATATTTTGAAGGAGAAACACTAACTTGCAGACTTAGTGTACAGTCCCATTTCTATAATAGTTTTTCTGGTGGTTTCACTTACCTACTATTAACTGCACATAGTTAAAGCGAATGGTGTGATGCATTTTGACATTTGTATTCAATCAGAAATCATTATTGTGATGCAGATACATCCATTAGCCCCAACAGTTATTCTTTTTGCTCACTCCCCGTCCTTCAGCGACCATTGTTGTGTAGTTTGCCTATTCTACAATACTATATTTATAAAATCATATGGCACATGTTGTTTATCTTTTATCTCATTTCTTACACTTCACATCATTTCTCTCAGATTCACTCAGTATCAACTGTATGTATGAATCATTCCTTAATTTTTTTCCTTTGTTATTTTTTTTTTTTTGATTTGCGACACAGAAGGAAAGTATGTGAAAAAAATCAGTCCATTCCCTCCTCTACAAGCCCTGAACTTGGATCTACCCACAGTCTTTGGCGGCCTTGATGACTCTGTAACCGGCTGAGCGGGGCATCCAGTGCAATAGCTGACTTCTTTTTATTGCAGTGATATTCTACTTCTGGGATAGATCACCATGTGTTTATCCTGTCACTTGATGAACATTAGGATTGTTTCCATTCTACACTCAAGGGAAGGGTCTGAATCTCAGGTTTTGTGTGGCCAATAAGTGCTTTAATGGGGGTATGAGACAGCTGCTTCCCATTCCTGCTTTCTTTGTTACCTCCTAGGAAAGAGGGCTACATGTGGCAGGATCTTCCTTTCTCAATGAGATTTTCGTGTAGGATGTCATAGTTTTTAAATGTGTGAATGGACCTTAAAGTGCATATGCAGAGTCTGGACCTCAGGACAGCCACCTTGTCTGGAATCAGAGATTGAAGAATCAGTGAGACAAGGCATAACAGACTGGGAGGCAGTGTGGTTCGCAGGGGTGGATTAGTGCACTGAGTGGAGGGGTGAGGAGCCAGGCCAAACACCGGGCCACTCATGGGCAGTGTGGACCTGTGGGAGCTTCACTGGCATGTGGGGAGACAGAAGACAACCAGCACAACAGCGTGAGAATCGGCTCTTACTGTATCATTAGTACAGTAACGAAGCACAGCTGTCAGGGGATGTGCACATCCCCTCCTTAAAGGAGGCTTGGAAGCAAGGAGCCGGGTGCAGTGAACCCTCCCTGGGTGTGTGGGGTCATTTGATGCGCTCTTCCTTGCCCGTTTTTTTCCTAGTTCTCTTCTTGGTCTTTCCTGCCAGGTCTGAACAGTGCAGGCCGTGTTTGCATCTACTCCCATCAGGCCTTTCTTGCTCTGTTTTCACATCCTTACAACTCACCATCTCACATCACGGCTTCTCTCCTTCCTCTGAACCCAGTACAGGCTGTCCTCTGCTGTCAGGATGTGCCTTGTCATGTCTTGGGAAGATCCTCCCAGTGTGGTTAACTACATGCGTGTCGTCATCTCTTTTCCCCTCCCCTCAGACTTGGAGACTGAATGGAACGTGAATGAACCGGATTCAGAGAAGGAGCTTTGGGCAGACAGACCATCCACTGCAGTGGTGGAGGAAGGACTCATGAAGAATGGAGCCTGGGGTTATGCCCGTGAAAAAGTGGGGATACAGGGGGACAGGGTGGGGCAGCAACACAGAAACACAGGGACCCATCTGGTGCCTTTGGACATGTCCCAAGTGTTAGCTCCTGAGTGTTGTGAATTTAAGACACTGATCCACCAGAGCTATATGCGGAACCCACCAAGACTGGAAGGACCGAGAGGGCCAGGTACTTCAAGCCTCAGTCCTGCCTCCCAACTTTGTGCAGAGAAGAAGACATACAAGTGCAAACACTGTGGGAAGACTTTAAGCTCAAAGTCATCCTTGAGAAAGCACCAACGAACCCATTCCTCGGTGAAGCCATATGTGTGTGGGGATTGCGGTAAGGCCTTCAGCCGGAAGGATAAGATCACCCTACACCAGAGGACACACACCGGGGAGAAACCTTATGTGTGCGGAGACTGCGGCAAGTCCTTCAGGCAGAAGAGTAATATCATCCTACACCAGAGAACGCACACCGGGGAGCAGCCATATGTGTGTCAGGACTGCGGCAAAGGCTTCAGCCGGAAATCAACCCTAGATGTGCATCAGAGGACACACACTGGGGAGAAGCCTTACTTGTGCGGGGATTGTGGCAAGGCCTTCAGAGACAATAGGCATCTCATCCAGCATCAGAGGATACACACCGGAAAGAACCTGCACTCCTGCGGAGACTGCGGCAAAGCCTTCATCTACAAACGAAGTCTCATTGTCCATCAGAGGATGCACACAGGGGAGAAGCCTTATGTGTGTGAGGAGTGCGGCCAGGCCTTCAGACAGAATAGGCGCCTCGTGGAGCATCAGAGGAAGCACACTGGGGAGAAGCTGCACTTGTGCATGGATTGCGGCAAAGCCTTCAGCCAGAAATCTGACTTCCTTGTGCATCGGAGGACGCACACCGGAGAGAAGCCGTATGTGTGTGGTTACTGTGGCAAGGCCTTCAGGCATAAGGGTAACATCTTCCTACACCAGAGAACGCACACTGGGGAGAAGCCATATGGGTGCAGTTATTGTGGCAAGGCCTTTAGCCAGAAATGCAGCCTCCTTGTACATGAAAGGATGCACACTGGGGAGAAGCCATTCTTATGTGCGGAGTGTGGCAAGGCCTTCAGCCAGAAATCCAGTCTCCGTGTGCATTCAAGGACGCACACTGGGGAGAAGCCATATGTGTGTGAGTACTGTGGCAAGGCCTTCAGAGAGAATAGGCGCCGCATGAAGCATCAGAATACGCACACTGGGGAGAAGCCGTAGGTGTGTGAGGACTGTGGGAAGGCCTTCAGAAGGTATGGACACCTTATCAATCCCACAAGACACACAGCCAAGAAAAGCCATACACGTGGGGGAAGTATGGCAAGGCCTTCATCCACTCACTAATGGAGTCTCAATGTGCATCAGATGATGCACACAGGGAAGAAGACTTATGTGCGTGGTAGTGGCAAGGCCTTCAGCTAGAAATCCAGCCTGCTTGTGCATTCAAGGACTCACAGAGGGAGAAGCCATAGGTGTGTGTGGACTGAGACTAGCTCTACCATCAGAGTGAACAGGAGCCTTGTTGAGCATCAGAGGACACACACTGGCGGACACCACGTGTGTGCTAGGACTCTAGCCAGTCCTTCAGAGAATTGGTGCCTCACTGAGCATCACAAGATGCACACTAGGTAGGAGCTGTACATATGTAGGGATTGTGGCGAGGCCTTCAGTAGAACAGGAACCTCACTGAGCATCAGAGAATTCAGATTTTGTCCCTGGCTGGTGTGGCTTTGTGGATTAAGAACTGGACTGTGAATCAAGGGTCTCCGGTTCCCAGTCAGGGCACGTGTCTGAGTTCAGGTCAGGTCCCCAATAGGGGGCGCTCGAGAAGTAACCACATATTAACGTTTCTCTACCTCTCCCTCTTTAAAAAATAAAAATTTTATGCCCTGGCTGGTGTGGCTCAGTGGATTGAGCATGGGCCTGCGAACCAAAGGATCGTGGTTCAATTCCCCATTAGGGCACATGCCTGGGTTGCAGGCCAGTTCCCAGCAGGGGACACACAACAGGCAACCATACACTTATATATCTCTCCCTCTCTCCTTCCCTCCCCCTCTAAAGATAAATTAAAAATTAAAAAACCTAAAAGAGAGGGAAAAAACCAATGCACCCTAAGGAGGAGGCATACATAGTAGACACTTTAGCAAGAACCCCTCGTTCAGGAAGCACAATCCAGTGCCCACTGGGGAGTCCCCTGCCAGTGCTCCACCTGCCAGAAGGATTCATGATATGCTCATCTCTACAGAATCGTCTGACTAGCCCCACCTTAAGAAGTGCAGCAAAACCTTCATCTGGAACTTTTTGTTCCCCGTCCACCAGGTGGGTCTATGGAAGACAAGCCCTACTACAGTGGCAAGTGCAGGGAAGCCTTCAGCAGGAATTTCTACCTCATGTTGTACATAGTAGGGAATTAGGGGCTTTTAGAATCCACACCTGACTGGTAGGTCAGCCTATGGGCCAGTGGCAGACGATATTGGAGCCTACGAGTGGGATGCAAGAGAAGTCCTGATCAGACCTGTCTTAGAAATAAGGGTGTTGAGGACACACCAAGGCATTCTCACCATATGCTCCCCCACCATCCGCAGGGCCAGGTGTAAAGCCAGCTCCCTACAGGTCTAGTATCTGGGAATGAGGCCAGGGGTCCTGTCACTCCAGACCCAGATCGACTAAACTTGTAGGAGCTTGGACAATACATTCAGTGTCTCTGGTCTCCACCTCCTGAGTAGTAAAGTGGAGGACGGATGGGAGGAGGTGGAGGTGGTCTCCATGGGGGCATTGTTACTGACATATGCCTGGATCTTGTCTAGAGGTCAGGTTGTCACATCTGTGAGTGTCCTTGTTTGCCCCACTCCCAGCCCCCAGTTTTCCTGCAACAGTAGAAGGTGCCAGGTATTTTATGAAGGGAAGAAAAATGTTTTTCAGCCTGGGAACTAACAGTCGCATCAGATGCCATAGTTTCTCAAAGGGGTCTGTTAGTTTTTTAAAATAAAACTTTAAGGGGAACCAATGTTATTTTAAATAATCATCATGCAAAAGGTACACATACAGGTTGTTGCGTGCTGTCCTGCCTGGTTTCAGGGACTGTAGCCTCGTTAATGGACAAAAATGTCCCATGGCTCTGCTGAGGGAAAAGGAGTTATGGACATGAGCCACTAAGGAGACAGAAAATTTCCTCCTGGCAGGAGCGCATCCCCTGTCTCCCTCACTTTCCCCTGCTTGGCCTGGAGTGGTGGCTACTTAGCCAATGAACTGTAAGACCCCCTAAAAGGGGATGGGTAACCTAAGACAGGCACAGTTGCGATGGGCCAGCAGGGAAGGACTTGGGGGTCTACAGAGAAGGGGCAGAAAGATCCTCACCCCCTTGGCTTTGTCATAGCCTGAGTCCTCAGTCTTTGTGTAAGTCTCCTAGTCTCTTGGCTGCTTTGCTCTCCCTGCCTGACTTAGACCGCTCAGGGAAGGGTGGGGGCTGAATCTGGCCAGAGAAAGAATAGACATTGTTTCCTTTGAGACTTGCTCTGCCATGTTGCTATAAAACAGACAGGAGCTAAAACCAACCCTGACTAGAGAGAATTCCTGTGTTTCTTCAACTATTATCTGTGATGTCAGTTTTTCATGACTGTAACTTTTTGAATATTGGTGAATGAGCTTTATGTGCATACTATGTATATCTGTGTTATTTGAACTCAATAAAAACGCAGAAAAGGAAATGTCTAGGAATCTTCTCTTCTGAAAGATTGGTCATCTCACCTCCCCAAGCAGATCAAATCTTGGGAGATTTATTCTCATCTGCGTCATCGGAGGAGCTGTGTGGGCAGAGCCCCACTTATCTGGTGCCGGAACAGGGACAGGCTACGAGCCGTTTGTCGTGGACAGCACACCTAAATCAGCATTAAGCATCCCAAGAGTGACAGCCGTACCACATTGGTGTTTGGTAAGGCGGCCAGGCGTGTTCAAGAGGAAAGGTTTATCTCTTGCCACCCCTTAAGCTGTTTTCAATTCTGTTCTCTGCACCCTCTTGTGAGTGGGAGTCTTGCTCTCTCTCAAGCATTTGCTGCATCTCGTGAGCACGGGTCGAGCAGTTAAAAGCCACTGTGGTGCTCGCCGCTAGATGACACCATTGAAAGGATAAGCTAGAAACGTGAACTGGGACAGACCACTAGGTTTCCCACCAGCTGCAAGCAAATGTCCATGCTACAAGAGGCACACTGCAAGAACACTCACCAGCCCATCCCTGTGGCACAATCCCCACCTAGGTTTTAGGCTTGGGAGAAAGAGCAAAGACTTTAATTTTGTTCAGTTTTAAAAAGTGTAACTAGTTGCAGGGTTCTTTATGAGTGTCTCTTCTTGCTGAGTGCTGAAGAAAAGAGGCACTTCTCCCTCCAGCTCGAATTCTCAGGCTTCCCTACATGAGTGGGGGCCTTGAGGTGACTGGGGTCAATCCCTAAGACATGCAGGGGCTTCATAGGGAAGTTCAATGATGGTGATTCAATTTTGGCTTGTCGGGAGAAATGCACGCGAGGTTTGGTCAGCCGTCACTCTGAGCTCCCCTGGCTGTTTCAGACAACCATGAGAGAAACCGAGGCATGTAAGAGAGACAGGGATGACTGTAACAGCCTTGGGAACCCTCAGAAGCAGCACACTTTTGACCCACTACATTCTCATTCATTAGTAAGAAGTAGGATCTGAGGGTACAGATGGAGTGAAGGCAAAAGTCAAACTAGATTCATAATTCCCACGCTTGCGGTGGGAGACATTTCTGGAATGGTTCTTTTATAATTGGTTATGCAATTATTTTAAAGGTTTTTTTTTTTTTTACAAGCCCCTTGATCATAGTAAATGGGCTCTCTAAGGAACAAGAGCAATATTTCAGGGAAATACAGCAGCTCTTTAAGGCTTCAGGCTGTCAGGTCAAAGAGCAGAATTTAATTAATTTGCTTCAAGTTGTTAAGGAGTACTGCCTCTGGTTCCCCAATAAGGGATCTTTAGACTTAGCTATTTAGGGAAAGGTTGGGCAGAATTTGAAATGGCGCCAGGAAACTGGGACCCCCTATTGGTCATCAAACACTCCTTATTTGGGGGATGGTCAGGACTGCCCTGATGCCTATTCATATGTCCAACTCAGATATGAAGATGAATAAGGCAGGGGAGAATCGTTATGGTATGAAAGCAGGAGAGTCCACTTCAATTGCCTCTGATCCAGGACTTACATCCGCTCCCTGGGGAAAACGGAGAACTTTTACCCCATTCATCTCCTCCCTCTGCTCCTAAACGGGAGGAAAGTTTTAAGGGTCAACATCATATCATTAATTTTCAGGCCCCTCTGCCAGTAACTACTGCCACGTATCTATGTCTTAGAGATGCAGGCAGGGAGGGGGACTAGCAAGTTTTTACTGCCTTCCTTGTCCTCACCTGTCAGGGCAGACAAAATCCATAACATGAGCCTCTACCTTATGAAGTGTTCAAGGACTTAAAAAGAAGTATGAAGGAAAATGGGCTCCAATCCTCTTACACAGCGGGTTTGTTAACAGCATTAACAGAAGCATTTCGAATAGCTCCATGTGACTGGGTGGCCAGAATAACTTTTAAGTCCTGCACAGTTTCCTGCTTGGCATTCTGAATATATGGTAAGATGTCGCCTTCAGGCAGATAAAAATGTCAGGACAGGGAATCCAGTCACTCATGACACTGGGCCAGACCAGCAGGCACACATCGATCCTCAGACTTTTCTCCAATGTTCTGTAGCGGCTCTCTGAGCCTTTAAGGCTGTAACCGAAGCCCAGCCACACAGTTCAGGGTCCCTTATCAATATTAGACAAGGAGCCAAGGAAGCTTATTTAGACTTTGTTGACAGACTACAAGAGGCAATTCAAAGACAAATTGAAAATCAAGATGTTGCAGATGTCCTCTTGTTGCAGTTAGCTTTTGAGAATGTCAATAATGATTGCAAAGCTCTCCTTCAACCCATTCGTTCAACCTCTACCGCATAAGTCAGTTTATCAAAGCCTGTCAAAAATGCTGGAATAGAACAACGTAAGGCTAAGGCGATGTTACTTGCTGAGTCCTTAAAAGGCAAGATTAAATGCTTTAATTGCTGCAATGCAGGACACATTTGGAAAGAGTGTAAGAATAAAAAACTCCCAGTGAAGGAGTGCCCTTGATGCTGTAAAGGCAAACATTGGGCCAATCAATGCAGATCTATCCATGACATGGATGGGAAATTACTGCCTCCCCTGCAGGGAACTGAGAAGAGGGATGCGACCTCCAGTGCCCCAAACCCACACAGGAGCCCCAACAAGCAGCTGTTCTGGGCTCAGGAAAATGTCGGGTTTCCGACCTCCACGCTGCCACTAGGGGGAGCGCAGCGCTGGACCTGGTCACCTCCACAGAACTCATCTTAAAGGAATAAGATGAGGTAGTCACTGCTCCAAGCACCCAGGACTAGTAGGACTAATTTTAGGACCGTCTAGTATGACCACCAAGGGCATCTTTGTCCGACCTGGAGTTATTGATTCTGACTATCAAGGAGAAATAAAAATAATGCTTCGAACACTTGGGTATTTTATTATTCCAGCTCAGACCTGCACTGCACAGCTCCCCCTCATACCTTACGAGGTGCCGAATACTCAACAAGTAACTAGAGAAAATAAGGGCTTTGGAAGCACTAACAACCAGTGCATATTCTGGACAGCTTCCATGAGTCTAAAAAAAGCCTGTGTTAAAGATAAAAATAAAAGACAAAGAATTCCATGGTCTGTTACACACAGGAGCTGGTGTGTCTGTTATTTCTAGCCAGCATTGGCCCCCAGAGTGGCTGTGAATTGAAACAGATATTTCTACAACTGGAATGGGGGGTGTTTCTCAAGGCCAGAAAAGTATGTGGTCTCTCAAATGTTTTGGTCTGGACGGTCAAGTCAGACGAATGCAGCCTTATGTCCTTCCCACTCTGCTTAATAATTGGGACAGAGATCTCCTCACTCATTTGGGGATTCAGGTCTCCCTGCTGCCTTTTTCCTAATGGCCACTGTCCAAACTTCTTCCCTACACCTCACATGGCTGCCTCACATGGCTACCTGACGTGCCTGTGTGGGTTGACCAGTGGCCACTACACAGGGAGAAACTAGAAAAGCTCCAGGATCTTGTACAGCAGCAACTGGAGGCAGGACACAGACAGCCATCCAGCAGTTCATGAAACACTCCCATTTTTAGAGTCCCAAAGAAATCAGGAAAATGGACTTGTTCATGACCTCAGAAAGATTAATGAAATATTACAACCCATGGGGGCTTTACAACTGGGAGTCCCAAACCCGGCACACATACCAAAAGATTGGTCCCTCGTTACTTGTTGTAGACAGTTCTCTCTGGTTCTAGGAATTGTATCTCAACCCCTTGTGGCTAAGGGCGAGGGTCGACCTTTGGAATTCAAGCTGCAGGAGACAAAGCTTTGTCTCTAATAGCAAATACTGCCTCAGTTTCCTCTCCCTGCCCCCACAGCTTGGTCGGAAGTCAATGACGGGCAAGATCCCTCACAGCGGGGGGCAACCTAAGCCAGACTCGATCACTTGGGAGGCCTTTACGGAAGGACTGGGGGGGGGGGCTGCAACAAAGGGGGAGCAATGGACTCCGGACTCTCACACCCCCCCACCCTGACAAAGCCCGAGTTTCCAAGTTCTCTGGGATAAGTGCTTCCTGGCTCTAATCCCCTTAACCCTGAATACCTGATGGGGAGAGGTGCAGCTCCTTGCCTTGCTAGAGCACATCCTGGAGAAATATCTGGTATCACAAAGATTTCCTAATAAACCTGTGACATCTGCTCTGCTAAGCTTGCTTTCATTCATATGTTAAGGGTTCAAGCAGGAAACCCTAAAACTCTGTTCCTGACAGACTTCGACTCATACTAAGCCCTCAGATTTCTTTGAAATGTTATCTACTGTTTGATCCTTGCTGCCCCGTATTCCTGTGTATTACAACCCAATAAAAGGCCCTGGAGGAGGGGGCTCAAGGCCTTTTTCTCTTCTTAAAGACATTGTGTCTTCAGCAGGATTATTTATAGCCCCAGAAATTTGAAATCATTGAATGGTTTTTCCTCCCTCCCTCAATGACCACAAAGAAACTGCTGATTTACTAACGTGGGGAAGAGGGTGTGCTTCTGCTTCTTCTCCAGAGGGACCTTTGGAGCTGCCAGCAAAGATCACTCCCCTGAACTGGAACTCCAGTCAGCATGCATGGGAGGAAGTCCAACATCGCTTGTGTGGGGCCTTTTCCTCCAATCTCAAAGGGCAAATTGATGCAGCTTCAGGACATTAAACGAATTACTGAACTAGAGATCTTTCAGATCCTGCATTATAATATTACAATAGCTCAATCCAAAGACTTGGTTTGAAGAGGTGGAGGAAGGTGATGGAGGGAAGAAGTGATTGGAAGAAGCGATTGGTCGTGGGTACACCACAGAGGGGGAAGTTGGAAAGTTTGTTCATTGTTCCTATAATGATATAAAGGCAGGGTAAGAAAGGTCCATTCTCTTGCCCATGGAGCATCGTGTATCCAAGCTTTACAAAATTTCCCCCCCTCGAATTTTTTAGACAGAGGTGATGGGAGGAAGACAGGGAGAGAAATATCGTGTGGTTGCTTTTCACGTGCCCCCACCAGGAAGCTAGCTCGCAACCCACAATCTGAACATGTGCCCTGACTGAAAATGAAACCAGTGACCCTTCAGTTTGCAGACCAGCAGTCTATGCACGGAGCCACACCAGCCAGGGCTACAAATTTCCTGCAAATCAGCACAACTATCAGTACCCTCCTTGGACGCCGGAGGTCTGTAGAGGGTCTACAGCGTCTTTTACTGCCACCCAAGCCCCTACATTCCTCAATTTCCCTCTCACCTCTCCAGCCCGCTGAGCTCCCGGTTCCTCCCGCGTACCAACACGCACCCCTGTCTAGCTTTCCTCCCACCCATCCCCTCCACACTCCACTCCTACCTGGCCCTGTCCTGGTCCATACTTTTCCGTCCACTCCCCATCCAATGAGCTTTCTTCGCTCAGAGGCCCCACCCCTGTGGGAACCTCACCTTCTTGCCTTGTGCTGCAGTGGCTTCTGGGACAAGGAGCCTCTGGACCGCCCCTCAGGCTTGGGTGGGGTAGCTCGCCCGCTCACCGGGAAGGGAGCCTGGTGAGGACCTGACTTCGGCGCAGGGGGTTATGGGAACTGTAGCGGACTGGCGCGCAGGCGCAGTACTATCAGTATGTTCTAGCTGGCGCCAGTCACTTTCCAGGGGTAGCCGGGTGCTCTTTGTAGCGACCAGGTTAAGGCGTGAGGACACTGGGTGTGGATCTGGGTGGGGTGGTGGGGTTGAAGGTGTGTCTGTGGCTGTGTGTGTGTCTGTGTGTTGGACTGAGACTCCTGGGCAGTCTCTTTGTGTCTCTTTGTGTAACACCGTGTGTGTCTGGGAGATTACAGTTTTTCGCTTTTGTTCCTATGTGTGTCAGCTGCCTGTCTTGGCCTCTCCGGGGTCCTTACTGTCCACATCTGTGTGCATGTCAGCCTTCGTTTCCGTCCGTGGTGTCTCCCTGTGAGGGCGCCATCCAGGTCTCCACCTGTGTCTGGTCTCTTCCTCTGAGCCTGCCTATGTTTCTGGTGTGAAGGTGTGTGCGTGTGGGGGTGTGTCTGTTCTGTCTGAGCCTTTCCCTGTTCGTGTGCACCTGGGCCTCTGTCTCTGGGCGTGGCTGACATGTGTGTGTGCGCATCAGGGGTGACCTGCTGGACAGGCGGGGCCAGAGCCATTTCCTTCCTCTGCCAGAGTCCAGCCTCCGCAGGGTTCAGGGTCCCCGAAGGATGGACGGCGTAGTTGACGAATGGTGAGTCAGACACCCGATTGGATGCCGGAGAACAGCCAGCCTCTGTGGGTCTGACTGAACTCATAGAGTTTGATTTAGGCTTTATTTTTATAGAGATTGTTGTATAACATTAAAGGAACAGGTGCATGGCATGATCAGTTAAGCAGAAAAAACCAATACAGAGGTAACCAGGAAAAGTACAAGAATTTCCATAGTTTCAGTTATGTTAAACAAAAGTTGTTTTGACCAGGAGAACCATCAATCAGACAATTTGAAATAGCTCTATGCACAGGGTTTGAATGTCTTATTGTTTATTTAAGGTCTTAGAATTTGACATGGGGCAAAAGGTACGCTAGACCGAGCAGAGGTTAGGAAATTCATTATAAGGCCTTTGTGATGTCTAACTTAGTTATCTATCCTGTCTAAAATATTTCTTTATGTAACATGGACTCTAACTCCTTGGTAATTGTTTCTACGTGCGTAGTTTGTAGTAGCTAAGTAGCGTCTCCTGTTTCTTTGCCTGTCTCATTCTTTTTTTTTTTTTTAAGATTTTATTTATTTATCTTTAGAGGGAAAGGAGAAAGGGAGAGAAACTTCAAAGTATGGTTGCCTTTCGTGCGTCCTCTGATGGGAACTAGCCTGCAGGGAACCGGCCTGCAACCCAGGCATGTGCCCTGACTGCGAATCGAACAGCGATCCTTTGCTTCCCAGGCCCGTGCTCAATCCACTGAGCTACACCAGCCAGGGCCTCTTCTAATTTCTAAGACAACCCTGAGAGGTGCTACTGCTCAGGCCCCTGTTACGTTGGTGTTGACTGCTTGAGGGTCTATAGTCGGTGTTGGACCTCTGCGGTTGACCTCTCCCCTACGTCTGTTTCGGACCACCCAGTGTACTCAGACAACCTTAGAGTGCATATGCAGAGTCTGGACCTCAGGGCAGCCACCTTGTCTGGAAACAGAGATTGAGGAACCCAGGGAACAAGGCACAAGAGGATGGGAGCTGGTGTGGTCCACAGGGAAGGGTTAGTGCACTGCATGGCAGGGTGAGGGGGCAGCCCAAGGGCCAGGTCACTGGTGGGCAGAGTGGGCATGTGGGAGCTTCCTTGGCATGTGGGAAGGCAGGGAACCACCAGCACAGCCACATGAGAATCAACTCTTATTTTATCCTTAGTAATAACAGGCGATGCTTTGAGAAGCACAGCTGTCTGGGGATGTGCAGGACGAGGCTTGGAAGAAAGGAGCCAGGTACAGTGAACCAACCCTGGGTGTGTGGGGTCATTACATGCTCTCCTCCAAGCCTGTTTTCTTCCTGTGTCTCTTCTGGATCTTTCTTCACAGCTCTGAGCTGTGGTGGCTGCTTTCGCACCCACTGCTAATCAAGCCTTTCTTGATCTGTGCTCACCGCCCTGTAACTCACTGTCTCCGATCACAGCTTCCGTTCTCCTTCTGTCCTTATGACTGGCTGCCCCCTACTCTGAAGCAGTATCTTGTCATATCTTGGGAACATCCTCCCTCCCAGTGTGGTTAACTGAATGGGTTTCGTCACCTCTTTCCCCTTCCTCTCAGATGTGGAGACTTGAACAGAACATCGGTGAACCAGACCCAGACAAAGACTCTTGGGAAGACAGACCATCATTTGCGGTGGTGGTGGAAGGACTCATAAAGAATGGAGCTCAGGGTTATGCCTGTGAAAAAGCAGGGATACAGGGGGACAGGGTGGGGCAGCTGCACAGGAGCACGGGGACCTGTCAGAGGCATTTGGACATGTCTCCAGTGTTAGCCCCTGAATGTTGTGAATTTAAAACGTTCATCCACCAAAGCCCCGTGCCGGCTCCACCAAGAGTGGAACGACTGGGAGGAGAGGGGACACACTGTTTCACCATGTGTGGGAAGAACTCAGGTACTTCCAGCCTCGGTCCTCCCTCCCAGCTTTGTTCAGCGAAGACATACAAGTGTGGACAGTGTGAGAAGGGTTTCAGCTAATAGTCCATCCCTGTGGAAACACCAATAAATCCACACTGGGGAGAAGCCATGAATGCGTGGGTCATGCAACAAGTCCTTTAGCCAGGAGGAAAACCTCATCCTACACCAGAGGACACACACCAGGGGGAGGCCATATGTGTGCAGGGAGTGGGGAAAGGTGTTCAGATGGAATAGTCACTTCATCAAGCATCTGAGGACGCACTCTGGGGAGATGCAGTACACATGCGGGGTTTGTGGCAAGGCCTTCAGGAAGAGAAAATATCTCGTCCAGCATGAGAGGACACACACTGGGGAGAAGCCATATGTATGCGGGGACTGTGGGAAGACCTTCAGTAAGAAATCGAGCCTCAGTTTGCAGGAGAGGACACACACTGGGGAGAAGCCACATGCGTGCAGCATCTTTGGTAAGGCCTTCAGGGAAAATAGGCACCTCACTGAGCATCAGAGGTAGCAGAACGGAGAGAAGCCATGCATGTACGGGGACTGTGGGAAGGCCTTCACTGTGAATGGCAGCCTCATGGTGCATCAGAGGACGCACACCGGGGAGAAGCCGTACATGTGTGGTGATTGCACCAAGGCCTTCAGAGATAATAGGTACCTCATGGAGCATCAGAGGATGCACAGTGTGGAGAAGCCTTATGTGTGCAGAGACTGCGGCAGGGCCTTCAAAGAGAATAGGTGCCTCACTGACCATCAGAGGATGCACACCGGGGAAAAGCCATACATGGGTGTGGACTGTGGCAAGGCTTTCAGTCAAAAAGGAAACCTCACTGTGCATCAAAGGACACATACCAAGGAGAAGCCATACACGTGAGGGTAGTTTGGCAAGGCATTTAGCAAGAACTCCTCGTTCAGACAGCAAAGACACCAGACCCCAGGAAGTAGTCCTGTCAGCGCTCCATCTGAAAGAAGGACTCCATGACACCCTCATCCCTACAGAATATCCTCACCAGACCCCTGTGGAGAAGCTTTATCAGTGCAGCCAGTGTGGAAAAGCCTTCATGAGGAACCTTTGCTCCCTGTCCACTGGAGGATTGTTTGGGAGACAAGCCCTACCACAGTGGCAAGTACTGGAAAACCTTCAGCAGGAATATCTACCTCACATGACACATAGCAGGGAACTGGGGGATCTCAGAATCCAAACCCGACTGGTAGGTCCTGTGCCCGTGGGCCAGTGCCAGGCTTGATATTGGAGCCTACGGGTGGGATGCAAGAGAAGTCCTGATCAGACTTGTCCTAGGAATATGGGTGGTAAGGATGTTGCCAGGGGAGCCGAGGGGCCTGTCTGGTGCGTTTGGACATGTACCAAGCATTAGCCCCTGAATGTTGTGAATTTAAGGCATTTGTTTGACAAAGCCCCATGCTGGCCCCAGCAAAATCAGAAGAATGGAGCGGACCAGGAATGCACCCGTTCACCATGTGTAGGAAGGACTCAGGGCCTTCAAGCCTCTGTCCTCCCTCAAAACCTATTGTAGAGAAAAAGCCCTATGAATGAGCAGACTGTGAGAAGGCTTTCAGATGTTGCTGGTCTCCAAAGGAGAAGCAAGGAATCCATACCAGGGAGCAACCCTAATGCTGCAACACGAGTGGAAAGCAGTTCAGTTTTCAGTTGTATATCACCATCCACCAGCAGGTACACACCACAGAAAAGCCATACGGGAGTGGGGACTTTGGCAAGGACTTCGCACATAAAAAAAGCCTCATCAGACACCAGAGGACTCACACTGGGGAGAAGCCATATGTGTGCCAGGACTGTGGCAAGGCCTTTACCCACAAACTGTACCTCATCACACACCAGAGGACACTGGGGAGAGGCTGTATTTGTAGCAAGGCCTGTAGCAAGGCTTCACCCAGAACAGGAGCCTTATTGTACATCAGAGGACACACACCAGAGTGAAACCTTATGCACGTGGGGACTGTGGTAAAGCCTTTCAGACTAAACAGGAGCCTCATCATGCACCAGAGGACGCACATGGGGGAGAAGCCATATTCATGCGGGGTCTGTGGCAAAACTTTTACCCAGAAAGAATATCTAATCACACACCAAAGAACACATACTGGGCAAAATCCCTGCACATGTGGCCAGTGTGGAAAGGCCTTCAGCCAAAACATGTCTCTCAGGAAGCACCAACACATGGACACTGGGGAGAACCCCCTACAAGTACAGCCAGTGTTGCAGAGCCTTTAGCAAGAACCACTCTCTCAGGAGGCACAGGCATGTGCACACAGGAATACCCTACCAGTGCTCCATCATCCAGAAGTGCTTCATGAGTGCTCATCCCTGCAAGAGCAGCAGAATGACAACACATTAGAGAAGCCCTATAAGGGTCGTCAGTGCTGCAAAGCCTTCGTCAAGAACATCTTGCTCTCCATGCACCAGAGGTTCCATGTGAGAGACAAGCTCTACGAGTGTGGCAAGTGTGAGAAAACTTTCAACAGGAACTTCCACCTCACATGACACCAGAGGAGGATGCGCACATAGCAGATGTGCATGAGAGAGATCTCAGAATCCGCACCCATCAGACAGCTCATGAACCTGTGGGCCTTGACATTGGAGCCCATAGGTAGACGCCAGGGAAGCCCTGCCCAGACAGATCTGAGGACTGTGGGCTGTGGGGTCAGTCCACGCCATGCTCATCAACTGCTTCCAGAGCATGTGTAGGGCTGTGTGGAAAGCAAGTCCCCATACAGGTCTAGTATCTGGGAGCATGGCCAGGGGCACCGTGGCTCCAGAATGAACTGGAATAAATACTCCTGAGATTGGACAAGGCATTTAGTGTTCTGGATCTTCACCTCTTCAATAGTAAAGTGGGAGAGGGAGTAGAAAAGAAGAGGGGGAGGTGGGTTCCATGGGGACACTGTCAGTTTGTCACACATGCCTGGATGTAGTCCAGAGATCAGATCGTTGCCATCTGTGTGTTTCCTTGTTTTCCCCAAACACAACCCTGTTTCCCTGCAACAGCAGCTGGAAGGCCCCAAGCTCATGAGCTGTAGAAGTTACCAGGTGGTTCATGAGGAGGAAAAATATTCATGATTAGGAAGTAACAGTTGTTGCTTCAGATACCAAAGTCTCTCACAGTGGTCTTTAAAATAAAAATAAAACTGTTAATTAAGTGTCATGAACATCATCTTTTTTTCTAAAATTTTATTTGTTTTCAGAAAGAAGGTACAGGAGGGACAAAGACAGGAAGAGAACACCAATGTGTGAGAAGGCCTGAAACCCAGGCATGTGCCCTTACTGGGAATCGAATCAGCAACCTTTCAGTTCACAGGCTGGCTTCCAGTCCACTGAGCCACACCATCCAGGGCCACCAACATCATTTAAAACAGTTGTCAGGTGCAACAGAGGGAGTTACTGGTTGTCCCGACCAAATGAGTGTGAACCATTGTGGGGAGCGAGCACATACCCCACAAGAACCCAGCAGCAGGTTGCAAACCACGTGTTCCTCATAGCTCTGGATTCCTGGCTTGGGAATGGTTACACCATGTCTGATGTCCATTATGAGAACAGTTTCCCCGAGGGATTGCTGGTCTTGCATGATGATGGAGAAATATTAGGAGGAAATTACATTTGTCCATCTCCCCACCTCACACATATTAGGACCAGCAATATCCAGAGGTCAGTTATTTTTCATCTCCTTTATCCTGGATGCTCATTTACCCGTGCACATTCTGCATGGAATGAATTTTTATAGGGGTGTTTTCCTTTACCCCAAGTTTTTTTTTAAAAGATTTTATTTATATTTAAAGAAGGGAGGGAGAAATAGAGGGAGAGAAACATCAATGTGTGGTTGCCTCTCATGTGCCCCCTACTGTGCATCCGGCCTGGAACCCTGGCATGTGCCCTAGACTGTGAATCAAACCAGTGACCTTTTGGTTCACAGGCTTGGCTCGGTCTCTTCTTGCCCACCTGCCTATGATACTACCCTGTCAATTGGCTGGAGTTTGTGGCCCTGGAACAGACCTGGTTAACGTCAGAGCCTGCAGGTTCCAGGAGGAAGTATAAAACCAGACAGCAACCTCGGAGAAGCTGAGCTGCCTGGGTGACTGCTCAGCGACAACTGCGGTTCCCACAAGATGGTACTTTAAAGCAGGACCTCTGGACAAGGACTTCTGGTTGGGCTGAGGACAGGTGGGGTTTTCCTCGGTTTTCCGGAGGAGATACGAGGCTTTGAGACAAGTTCCTGCCATTCTCCTCAACCCTGCATTTTAGTGAAAAACCTCTTTCTCATCAGCCTCCGCCCCTAGAACTTTCCTATTGTGGGCGACGGGCAGCAGAACCCCCACACTGGTTCTGTAACAATAACACACCCTGAACGGGAGCTGGCACTTAAGGCGAAGAGCCGATACTTCGTGTTTAAGATCATTTGCTCCCTGGCATCCCTGCACCCTTACACATTTTCTGCAAGTCAGCACGCCCATGCTGGCTGAAGGCCAGAGAACAGGACTTCTGGGGGGTGGGGAGGTCTTATAGCGTCTTTCCCTCCCCCACCAATGCCCCGCCTTTTCTTCAATTGCCCTGGCTCTATTTCCATTCCAGCTCACTCCGCTCTCCTTCCCTCGCTGCGTAGGACCAGGAACCCCTCTGTCGCTCTCCTCCCACAGTCACAGCTCGCCCCGCTCCTCCCCGGGCCCTGTGCTCTTCGGTAGTTTCCTCCCGCTCCCTAGTCCTGCAGCCCCAGCTCCCTCAGAAACCCCGTCTTACTGACCGTCTCGCGTCCACTGCTGAGACTCGGGTCAGCTCGGCCGCGCTCGCCTGGCGACGCGCAGTGATTCGGGAAATGTAGTAGGGCCGCTGGGCGCAGGCGCAGTGCGGTCGGGGTGCCCAGCGGAAGCCGCTCTGTCTCCTGAGGTAACCGCGTGTGGGTGAGTTTGAGCGCGGACTGGGCAGGGGTTTGAGGAGACTGAGCGCGGGTCTGGGTGTGGTCGCACGGGTGAAGGCCATGCCTGTGGCTGGGAGTGTGCGTGTGTGTGGGGCTGAGAGTCCCGGGCGGTCTCTTCGTGTGCCTGTGTTTGTCACCGGGTGTGTGTCGCCGCGAGTGTGCGCGAGGCCACCTGTGTTTTCCTTTGCTCGTGTGTGTGTGTGTGTGTGTGTGTGTGTGTGTGTGTGTGTGTGTGTTGCAGGTGTTTGTCTCTCCGGGGTCCTCCTTTGTTCCTCAGTGTGCGTGTCTGCCTTTATTTCAGTCTGCGGTGTCCTCGTGTGAAGGCGCCATTCTTCACACGAGAACAGATGTCTCTTCCTGTGCGTCTGTGCGTCTGGGTGTGAGTGCGTCAGTGCGTGTGTGGTGCGTCCCTCCTGACCGAGCCTTCCCCTGCCTGCGTGCATCTGCTTTTCAGTTTCTGGGCATTGCAGACATTTGTGAATGAGTGCGTTAGAGGTGCCCTCCCAGAGCGTGGAGAACACGGTCCTGCCGGACAGGCGGCCTGGCGGAGCTGCCTGCCTGCGGGCCCCAGAGCCTTCTCCTTCCCGCCCTCAGAGCCTCCCCTGGCCCTGGGAGGGCGGGGCCTAGGTTTGGGGTCAAGAAAGAGGGTCAGAGACCTTACCCCACGCTGACCCGGGTGGATTTGTTCAGGGAGTGTGTGTTGGGTGCTGAGGGTATGGTTCTGGGCGTTTTACAGGCCTCCTGGTGACTGAAGTAGGGACCCTCACCATGGGCAAAGTGGGAAACTAAGGCTCAGAGACTGTTAATTGAATCACCCAACTCCACACCCAGGCATCCAGATACCATACTAAACACCCCACAGCGGGAAATCTTTGTTTGTCCGTAGAACAATGGATGGCAGGAAATGGCAGAGAACTTGAACCCAGGAAGAGGGGGAGGAACAGGAGCAGCGGCCACCCCTGGCTCTGCAGCCACATATCTGGGGCCACTCTGGGTTCAGCGATCAGCAGCCCCATGTACATGCCATTTCCAGGACCACTGTGCCTTCATGGCCTCCTTTTAAATAAACTTGAAGTAGTGATTGCATTGCTGTAAGGACAAAAACAGTCCAGGCTGCATTAAATTCGCACTTAAGAAATGATGATACATTCTTTTTAAATTTATTTTATTTATTTGATTACTGTTCAAGTACAGTTTTCTGTCTTTTCCTCCCATCCCAGCCCACCCTTCAGTGCTCCCCACCTCCCTCCCATTTCCATCCCCCTTAGTTGTTGTGCATGTGTCCTTTATACTAATTTCCTGTAAATCCTTCCCGTTTTTCCCCTGAAATTCCCTCCTTTCTCCCCTCTGGTCACTGTCTCCTTGTTCTCTATTTCACTGTCTTTGTTTTTATTTTGCTTGCTTGTTTGTTTTGTTGTTTAGTCTTTTCTATTTTTTGTTTAAACATTTTATATGTTTATTTTTCCAGAGAGGGTAAGGGAAGTACAAAGAAAGGGGGAGAAACATCAGTGTGTGGTTGCCTCTCAGGCTCCCCCTACTGGGCACCTTGCCTATAATCCCAGCATGTGCCCTAGTCTTGCATGTGTCCTAATCTGGGAATCAAACTGGGGACCCTTTGGTTGATAGGCTGGCACTCAGTCCACTGAGCCACACCAGCCAGTGCTGAAATGATGACATTTTCAAGGGTTCCTACTGCTGTCAGCTGCCTGGGCCCATTGTGCCTCCTACGTAAGTCAGACCCAGTGGGATGGGGCCAGAGGGTCCTATTCCTCCCTCCAGGATTGGGACTGGCTGTGTGGGCATTGCCTGTGTGTTGGAGAAATATATGTATATGAGTATGACATGTGCACCAAGTACATGGATCCTGATACACTAGCTCAACCCAAATGCCACCCTTATCTTCTTGGATTCCTGACTTATCTTTCTGTACCTCAGTTTCCTGATCTGCAAAATGGGGTGAGTGAAAATAGCCCCAACAATGCAGCATGTCAGGAGGATCAAATCAGGGACATGAGTCAAGGACCTTGGATGCCATAGGCCCCCTGCACCCATTCACTGTTACAGTGTATCCTTGTCCTTGTCTGCCTTTCTCCTAGTGGGCATGTTTGTCGTGTCTGCATTGTGGATCACACCTTTACCTCATCTCTTACTGTGCCTTTTTCTCTCTCTGCCTGTGTATAGTGTGCCTGTGCCCAGGTCACCATAGGCGCTGGAAGGATGGCCACCCAGCTTCGGACCAAGGAGTCCCTGGTAAGTCATGTCACCCTCTGGCTTCTCCTTCCTGAGGGTCATGCTTCTGGGCAGGGATGACCCTTTACCCCCTGCAAACCCCATCAGGCCTCAGGACCCTCTGTCCATCTCCTAGGGTTTTGTCCACCCTCAGTTGAGAGAGTACTGTCCTGACCATGGTGTTTCTTTTTTCTTTCTTCTTCTTTTTTTTTAGATTTTTATTCATTTTTAGAGAAAGGGGTAGGGAAGGAGAAAGGGAGAGAAACATACCTGTGTGGTTGCCTCTTGCTCACCCCTTGATGGGGACCTGGCCTGAAACTCGGGCATGTACCCTAACTGGGAATTGAACTGCAACCCTTTGATTTGCACATTGAATCCCCTGAGCTACACCAGTCAGGGCTGCCCCTGGTGTTTTTCAACCACAGGGGACAGGATGGCTCAGGAGTGAGCCGCCCTACCCTGAGGGATCTCAGGAGACACCTGTAGGCATTTGGGAAGTGGCAGCTTAAACATATTCAGTGAAGTGTGACAGGCAGGAAATGCTAGATGTGGCACCTTCAGAAGTATGCAGGGGCACTACATGCCTGGGAGAATGGAGGGGGACGGAAGGAGATACCTGACAAGAGGGATTGGTGAGCATCCCTGGCTGTCATTGTGATGTTTCATGATATTTTAGTGGATGGCAGTTTGTCATGTTTTTCTGTAAATTTCCTTCCATGAAATAAAAACTTTACAATAAGAAATGTACGGCTGTGGCTCATTTGGTTAGAGGATCATTTTGATATGCCATGGTTTGGGTTCAATTCCTGTTCAGGGTACTTTTGAGAAGCAACCAATGAAATCATCAGTAAGTGGAACATATCTTTCTATCTTTAAAATCAGTAATTTGTATATATACGTGTCAGGAAGTGTATTTTTTTATCATCAGTAAAGGATATGTTCATTGAGTTGTAGGCAGAGAAAGGAAAAGGAGTGAGATACAGATGTGAGAGAAAATTTAAGATTTTATTCATTTATCTTTAGAGGGGAAGGGAAGGAGATAGGGAGAGAAATATCAATGTATGTCTGCCTCTCATGCATCCCCTGCTGGGAACTGGCCTGCAAGCCAGGCATATGCCCTGACTAGGAATCCAACCAGAGATTTTTACCTTCAAAGGGCGCTGCTCAATCCAATGATCCACACCAGCTAGCATTGTGAGGCTTGACTTTCAGGAAATGTTCATTCGCTTTTTATGTGGGAAAATAGTTTTTATTTCATTAAGATTCTATTTACTTATTTTTAGAGAGAAAGGAAGGAAGCAAGAAAGGTTAGGAAAGAAACATCTATACGAGTAAAACACTGATCGTTTAGGTCCTGTATGAGCCCTAATTGGGACCATACCCTTAACCTTTGGTTGTTCACACCACTCTGCACCCAGCTGAGTTACCCAGTCAGGGCTGCACATTTCTATAAGTGGAATCACACAACACGTGTTTTTTTGTATCTGGCTGCTTTCACTGAGCACCATGTGTTTGATGTACATCTGTGTTGTAGTAGGTGTCCTCTTTCATAGCTGTATACTATTCCATTAAGCAGGTATTCCCTGTCTATGCATTTATCAGGTGGTATACATTGGGGTTGTTTTCACTTTTTGGTTTTACTAGTCATGCTGCTGTGAACTATCATTTACAGTTTTTTGTTTGATCTCATTTCCCTTGAGTGTAGGAGAAGAAATAGTGGGTCTTTTGATATCAGTATATTTAACCATTTAAGGAACAATTCTCCTGTTTTCCAGTGTGGCTGCACCATGATATCTCTACTTTGACCTCTGTAATCATTGCCTTAGTTTCCTTTTTTACCAACATTGTTTACGATTTCCTGGTGGTTGTCTCTCTGACCTTGCCTTCCTCTCCCTCCAAAATCAATATGTATGTCCTGTAGTGAGTATTTAAATAGAAAAAGTAGAGCCTGATTTCAGCTCTTTAGGACTAGGTGAGGTTTTTCTTGTGGCAAAGAGGTTTCTGCCATTAGACAAGAATCCCAAAGAGATGGAGCCCTGGAATGAGTGGCCTCAGTCATGTTCCCATAGAGTGCTCAGAGGACTTTAGTTCACTTGGAGGTCAGCCCCATTTCTAGGGGAATCTCCCAACCCTTCTCATGAGGGACCCTGTGTCTCACCTCCGACACTTTTGCTGTAGAGTGTGGGCACCCAGATGCCCAGGACCCACTCGGATTTTCAGTCTGTCCCAGCCTGGGCTGAGTGCATGGAGCCTGCTGGGTAAAAATTTTATTGAGTGAGTTTATTCAAGTGGGTGGACATAGGTACAACTTTCAGCAGGAGTTATATTTAAAAACTTAAAATGAAATAAATACAATAATAAAGGGGGACAGGAGGAAACTTTTGGAGATGGTGGATCTGTTTGTGACCTTGATGGTAATTTCAGTAGATTGTACTTGCTGGGTTGGCAGAAATATCCGTTACATTCTTTTCTGCAAAGTAAAAGACATTTTTCATTTTCACCAGTAACTGTTGGTTTGGATATTTTGGTGACAGCCTCCTTGGCGTTCCTGTGTGTCATTTAAACTTGAGGTTCTGACCCAGCAGTCCCACCCAGAATCTCCCTCCATGGACCCAACCTCATATCACCCCTTCCCCTTTCCCGGACACCTCAGAGAGTGCTGCTGCCCAGGCACCTGTCTCAATGGTTTTGAGAAGTTAAGGGTCCATCATGGGGGTTTTTGTCTAACATGTGTAAGGTAATATGTCATTGTGGTTTTAGTTTGCAGCTCTCTGATGACAAGTGACATTGACCATTTTTTTGTATGTGTAGTGGCAATCTGAATGTCCTCTGTGGAGAAGTATCTGTTCAGGTTTTTTGCCCATTTTTGAATTGTGTTGTTTGCCTTCCTGTGAACAGCTCCATAGTTTTATTTGCCAGTCCAAGGACCATCCTGTTACCTAGGCACCAAGGACTATGAGTGGTCAGGCCCTTCAGAGCTCCACACCTTGTTGACATCAATCAGATGTATCCTGTGTGCCTTCCTGATCCTCTCAGCCCTTCTCTGGCCACGTCTCTCGAACACTGTGAGGAGGGCCCTGCAGTGAGTAGTGTGTGTTTCCTCTTGACAGGGGTCGGTGTCGTTCAGAGATTTGATTGTAGACTTCACCCAGGAGGAGTGGCAGCAACTGAAGCCTGCGCAGAAGGACCTGTACAGGGACGTGATGATGGAGACCTACTGGAACTTGGTCTCGCTGGGTAAGGGGACAGCTTTCCTGTGTTACTCACCATGTGCCTGTCATCTCAGGATGACATAGAAATAAGAAAGGTGGACAGATGCAGATATATCCGTTAACCCAAATAGTTTATCTTTTCTTTCACTCAGCATCCCATACAACTGTGGTGTAGTTTACCTGTTCTGGGTTTTATAGCTATGGAATGATATTACACAGTCTTTTTTTAAAGATTTTATTTATTTATTTGTAGAGAGAGAGAGAGAGGGAGAGAAGCATTGGTATGTGGTTGCCTCTCACATGGCCACAACTGGGGACCTGGCCTGCAACCCAGGCATTCTTTCTGACTGGGTATCGAACTGGTAACCCTTTGGTTCACAGCTGGCACTCAGTCCACTGATCTATACCAGTCAGGTCCCCTGTTTTTATATATATATATATATATATATATATATATATATATATATATATATATATATATTTATTTATTTATTTTATTTAATTTATTATTTTTTTTAGGGCAGCACTCAAGGAAATTTTCATTGATTTGAAAGAGAGAGATATTTCAGTCAGTTTCCTTCTATACAGTTTTATATTAGAGATTGAAATGGCAGCCATTTGGTGCTTGTGGTGACACTCCAGCCACCTGAGTCACCTAACCAGGGCAAAGCTCACTCTTTGGTATTGGTGAGTAATATTCTGCTTCATAGGTAGAATACCTTGTAATTATCCATTCACTTGATGACAAACATCTGGATTATTTTCATATCTGGATGTCTTGTCTTTTTCTTTTTTTAAAATTTTACTTATTTTTTTGAGAGGGGAAGGGAACAGGAAAAAGAGGGAGAGAAATGTCAATGTGTAGTTGCCTCTCACATGGTCCCCAGCTAGGGACCTGCCCCACAAACCTGGCATGTGCTCTGATGGAAATTGATGCAGTAACTCTTTGGTTCACAGGCCCACACTCAATCCATTGAGCTACACCAGCCAGGGCTGGATGTCCTTATGTAGAGACATGATGTCCTTTCTGTTTGGAAAGGTTGAGTTATACATAGGTATGTATTTAACTTTTTCAGAAACTGCCAAATTTTTGTCCAAAGCAGTTGCTTTATTTTTCATTCCCACCAGCAAGTTCTGGGTGTTGCATTGCTCCATGTGATTGTCAGAACTGAACATGCTCAGTCTCTCTCATTGTAGCCATTCTCGTGGGCGTGCAGTCTTACCACAATCTAGCTTCCAGCTGGTACTGAGAACCTTTGCAGGTGCTTATTTCCCATCGGTATATTCTCTTTGGTGAAGTATCTCGTTCAAGTCTTTTGACTCTTTTTTAATTGGGTTGTTTGGTTATCATTCAACTTGGACATTTCCTTGGATATCCTCTTGTTGTTAATTTTTGGTCCAAGACCTTTATGAGATGTGTGCTTTGCAACTGCTTCTTCCATCCTCTTGGTACTCTTTTCTGTTTCTCAGTGGCATCATTTGGAACACACTTGTTTTCAATATAGATGGGGTGTGATTTATTTACTTTCTTACTCCTTGTGTTTTTGGTGTCATATCTGAAGGACCATCACCTAACCAGAGTCCTCAACATCCCCTTATCTATGATTCAGTTTCTCTTCCCTCCTGTACCAGCCCTGAACTTGGATCCACCTGCAATCTTTGGTGGCCTTGATGACTCTGACCAGCTGAGCTAAGCATCCAGTGCAATAGCTGACTTCTTTTTATTGCAGTGATATTCTACTTCCAGGATAGATCACCATGTGTTTATTCTTTTACTTGATGATCAACATTAGGATTGTTTCCATTCTACACTCAAGGGAAGCGTCTGAATCTCAGGTTTTATGTGGCCAGTGACTGCTTTAATGGGGATAGGGAGACAGCTGCTTACCATTCCTGCTTTCTTTGTTACCTCCTAGGAAGGAGGGCTACATGTGGCAGGATCTTCCCTTTTTCAATGAGATTTTCATGTAAGATTGCACAGTTTTTAAGTGTTTGCATGAATTTTAAAGTGCATATGCAGAGGTCCAGTGCGTATGCATGTCCTGAGGTCCAGGACAACCACCTTGTCTGGAAACAGGTTGAAGAATCAATGGGACAAGGCATAACAGACTGGGAGGCAGTGTGGTTCGCAGGGGTGGATTAGTGCACTGAGTGGAGGGGTGAGGAGCCAGGCCAAAGGGCAGGCCACTCAGGGGCAGTGTGGACCTGTGGGAGCTTCACTGGCATGTGGGGAGACAGAATATAACCAGCACAACAACGTGAGAATCAGCTCTTACTGTATCATTAGTAATAACAGGCGATGCTTTGAGAAGCACAGCTGTCTGGGGATGTGCACAAGGAGGCTTGGAAGCAAGGAGCCGGGTGCAGTGAACCCTCCCTGGGTGTGTGGGGTCATTTGATGCTCCCTTCCTTTCCCGTTTTTCCCCTAGTTTTCTTCTCAGTCTTTCTTGCCAGGTCTGAACAGTGCAGGCCGTGTTTGCATCCACTCCCCATCAGGCCTTTCTTGCTGTTTTCACATCCTTACATCTCACCATCTCACATCACGGCTTCTCTCCTTCCTCTGAACCCACTACAGGCTGTCCTCTGCTGTCAGGATGTGCCTTGTCATGTCTTGGGAAGATCCTCCCTCCCAGTGTGGTTAACTACATGCATGTTGTCATCTCTTTCCCCTCCCCTCAGACTTGGAGACTGAATGGAACATGAATGAACCGTGCGCAGAGAAGGAGTCTTGGGAAGACAGACCATCCATTGCAATGGTGGAGGAAGGACTCATGAAGAATGGAGCCCATGGTTACTCCTGTGAAAAAGCGGAGATACAGGGTGACATGGAGGGTCAGCAACACAGAAGCACAGGGACCCATCTGGCGCCTTTGCACATGTCCCAAGTGTTAGCTCCTGAGTGTTGTGAATTTAAGACATTGATCTACCAGAGCTACGTGCTGGCCCCATCAAGATTGGAAGGACTGAGAGGGCCAGGGATGTACTGTTTCATCATTTGTGGGAAGAACTCAAGTACTTCAAGCCCCAATCTTCCCTCCCAAATTTGTGCAGAGAAGACACACAAGTGCACACACTGTGGCAAGACTTTCAGCTCAAAGTCATCCCTGTGGAAGCACAAACGAACCCATTCCTTGGTGAAGCCATATGTGTGTGGGGATTGCGGTAAGGGCTTCATCCGGAGGGACAGGATCATCCTACACCAGAGGACGCACACTGGGGAGAAGCCATTTGTTTGCGGGGACTGTGGCAAAGCGTTCAGCCGGAAACCAGCCCTTGATGTGCATCAGAGGACACACACTGGGGAAAAGCCGTATGTGTGCGGGGATTGTGGCAAGGCCTTCAGAGACAACAGGCATCTCATCCAGCATCAGAGGATACATACCGGGGAGAAGCTGCATGCCTGTGGGGACTGTGGCAAAGTCTTCATCCAAAAATGGAGTCTCATTGTCCATCAGAGGACACACACAGGGGAGAAGCCTTATGTGTGTGGGGAGTGTGGCCAGGCCTTCAGACAGAATAGGCGCCTCATGGAGCATCAGAGGATGCACACAGGGGAGAAGGTGCACTTGTGCATGGATTGCGGCAAAGTCTTCAGCCACAAATGTGACTTCCTTGTGCATCGGAGGACGCACACCGGAGAGAGGCCATATGTGTGCAGTTATTGTGGCAAGGCCTTCAAGCATAAGGGTAACGTCTTCCTACACCAGAGAACGCACACTGGGGAGAAGCCATATGGGTGCAGTTACTGTGGCAAGGCCTTTAGCCAGAAATGCAGTCTCCTTGTGCATGAAAGGATTCACACTGGGGAGAAGCCATTCATTTGTAGCGAGTGTGGCAAGGCCTTCAGCCAGAAATGCAGCCTCCGCGTGCATTCAAGGACACACACTGGGGAGAAGCCATATGTGTGTGAGCACTGTGGCAAGGCCTTCAGTGAGAATAGGCGCCGCATGGAGCATCAGAAGACACACACTGGGGAGAAGCCGTAGGTGTGTGAGGACTGTGGGAAGGCCTTCAGAAGGTATGGACACCTTACCAACCACCACAGGACTCACAGCCAGCAAAAGCTATACAGGTGCGGCAAAGTATGGCAAATCCTTCAGAAACAAAAGGTGCCTTGTCTACCATGAGGAGGCACACATAGCAGAGAGGCTGCACTTGGGTGGCAAAGCCTTCATCCACTAATGGAGTCTCAATGTGCATCAGATGATGGACACAGGGGAGAAGCCTTATGTGTGTGGTGACTGGCAAAGCCTTCAGCTAGAATCCAGCCTGCTGGTGCATCAAAGGCCACACAGGGGAGAAGCCATAGGTGTGTGGGGACTGCAGCTAGTCGTTCAGAGTGAACGAGAGCTTCATCGCGCATCAGAGGACGCAGAATGAGCAGATACTGTATGTGGGCAAGGACTGCAGCCAGGCCTTCAGAGAGAATAGGTGTCTCACTGAGCATCAAAGAATGCAGATTTTCTCCCCGGCTGGTATGGCTTTGTGGATTGAGAGCTGGACTGTGAATCATAGGGTCTCTGGTTCCCAGTCAGGACATATGCCTGGATTCGGGCCAGGTCCCCAATAGGGGGCGCTCAAGAAGTAACCACATACTGACATTTCTCTCCCTCTCTTTTTCCCTCTCTCTTCAAAAATAAATTTAAAAATTCACAATCTAAAAAGGGGGAGATGCACCCTAAGGAGACGGTATACATGTTAGGCTAGTAGAGACTTTAGCAAGAACCTGTTCAGGAAGCACAGACCAGTGCCCACTGGGGAGTGCCCTGCCAGTGCTCCACCTGCCAGAAGGATAAATGACATGCCTACCCTTACAGAATCGTCTGACTAGCCCCACCTTGGACAATTGTGTCAAAACCTTCATCTGCAACTTTTTGCTCCCCGTCCACCGGGTGGATGCTGTGAGTGACAATCCCTACTACAGCGGCAAGTGCAGGGAAACCTTCAGCAGGGATTTCTACCTCACGTGGTGCATAGCAGGGAATTGGGGGCTTTTAGAATCCACACCTGACTGGTAGGTCCTGAGCCCATGGGCCAGTGCTAGACTTGGTATTGGAGCCCACAGGTAGGAAACAAGAGAAGTCCTGATCAGACCTGTCTTAGAAATATTGGTATTGAAGATACACCAAGGCATTCTCACTATTTGCTTCCCCAGCATCTGCAGGGCCAGGTGCAAAAGCAAGCCTCATACAAGTCTAGTATCTGGGAATGAGGCCAGGTGTCCTGTGGCTCCAGATCCAGATCCAATAAACTTTTGTAAGAGCTTGGACAACACAGTGTCTCTGGTCACCATCTCCTGGATGGTAAAGTGGAGGATGGATAGGAGAAAGGAAGATGTGGAGGTGGGCTCCATGGGGACATTGTCGCTTTGTGACATATGCCTGGATCTTTTCTAGAGATCATGTTGTCACATCTGTGGGTGTCCTTGTTTGCCCCACTCCCAGCCCCCAGTTTTCCTGCAACAGTAGAAGGTACCAGGTATTTTGTGAAGGGAAGAAAAATATTTTTTCTGGTTGGATACCTGGTGCGGGTGGCACAGGAACTAACAATTACATCAGATGCCATAGTTTCTCATAGGGTTCTGTGAGGTTTTTAAAAATAAAGGGTTTTTTTAAAATAAAACTTTACCAGTGTCATTTTAAACAATCATCACGCAAAAGGTACACATACAAGTTGTTGGGTGCTGTCCTGCTTGGTTTCAGGGACTGTAGCCTTGTTAACAGACAAAAAGGTTCCATGGGTTGGGCTGAGTGAAAAGGACTTGGGGACATGAGCCAGTAAGGAGACAACATTTCCTGGCAAGAGCACAGCCCCTATCTCCCTCACTTTTCTCTGCTTGGCCTGGGTGGATAGCTAGTTAGCCCATGACCTCTAAGACCCCTCAAAATGGGAGGGGTAACCTAAGACAGGCACAGTGTGTGATGGGCCATCAGGGAAGGACTTAGCGATCTACAGAGAAGGTGCAGAAAGATCTTCACCCTTTGGCTTTGTCATAGCCTGAGTCTTCAGTCTTTGTGCTCTGGGCAATGGTGAGGATGCAAGAGTGGGGGCATTGCCTTAGGTATAGAGCCTCTGCCTGTTTTCACGTGGAGCATCCTATGTTGGAGGCAGATACCCTCCCCAGGCAACAGGGCTGCAAGACGAAGTATTGAACTGAACAGGCCCAAGTAGGTTCAGGTAGCAAGGTAAGTGATAGGGGAAAAGTCATTTTTTACTGATGGTTGGATACCTGGTGGGGATGGGACTAGAGCAAAATGGGCTGGAACATTGCAAAAGTTAGCATGGCCACAGGAAGAAGGTGGTAGAGGGAAGAAGCTATTGGTTGTGGGTATGCTGTACCCTCCCAACACGCAGGACGTTTAGGGACGTTAATTGGTCGTTCCTATACAGGCAAGGCAGGGTAAGAAGTTGCATTCCCTTGCATGCATACATATCTAAGAGCATCTGCATGCTTTTTAAAAATTATTTACTTTTAGAAATGGGAAGGGAAGAAGATAGGGAGAGAAACATAAACGTGTGGTTGCCTTTCCTGTGCCCAGGAACCTGCAACATAGGGATGTGCCCTCGCTGGGAACTGAACCAGTGACCCTTCAGGCCGCTGGCCAGCGGACTGTACACTGAGCCACACCAGCCAAGGCTACAAGGTTTCTGCAAATCAGTACGACTATCAGTACCCCTCGTTGGACGCTGGAGGTCAGTAGAGGGGCTAGAGCGTCTTTTACTGCCTCCGCCCACGCCTCTACATTCCTCAATTTTCCTCTCACCTCTCCACCAGGCTCCTTCCTGGAGCACCCTTCCTGCTCCACGTTTTCCTTCCGCTCCCCATCTACTGGGCTTTCTTCGCTCCTATGCCCCACAGCCCCACAGGAACCCCGCCTTCTTGCCCTTGTGCCGCAGGGGCTTCTGGGACAAGGAGCCTCTGGACTGCCCCACAGGCCCTGGTAGCTCCGCACTGCCACTCTTTCTGAGGGCAGCTAAGTGAGGACACGAAGTTGGAGCGCTGAGATCTGCGAAGAGTAGCAGGACTCCCCGCTCAGGCACAGTACTATCTGTGTTCTAGCTGGCTCTGGTCACTTACTAGCGGTAGCCCGGTGCTCTTTGTGGGGATCAGGACGAGGGGTAAGGACACTGGGTGCGGATCTGGGCGGGGTGGTGAGGTTGAAGGTGTGTCTGTGTCTGTGTGTCTGTCTTACGTGTTGGATTGAGACTCCCGAGCGGTCTCTTTGTTTCTCGTTGTGTAACACCGTCTGTGTCTGGCAGGTTACAGATTTTCTCCTTTGCTCGTGCGTGTGTCGGTTGCCTGTCTCGGCCTCTCCTGGGCCCTCAGTCACCACATCTGTATGCGTGTCAGCCTTTTCCATCTGCGGTGTCTCAGCGTGCGAGCGCCATCCAGTGTCCACCTGTGTCTGGTCGCTTCCTCTGAGCCTGCCAGTGTTTTTGGTGTGTCTGTGCATGTGGGGTTGCGCCTGTTCTGTCCGAGCCTTTCCCTGTCTGTGTGTACCTGGGACTCTGTCTCTGAGCGTGGCTGACGTGTGTGTGTGTGTGTGTGTGTGTGTGTGTGTGTGTGTGCGCGCGCGCACGGGGTGCCCTACCTAGAGCATGGAGAGGGCAGCCCTGCTAGACGGGCAGGGCCAGAGCCATTTCCTTCCTCGGAGCTTCCCCTGGCCCTGGGAGGGCAGGATGTGTGTGGTAGCTGGGTGTGAGGTCAAGAAAGAGGGTCGGAGACCCTACTCAATGCTGATGGGGGCGGATTTGTTCAGGGAGGGTGTGTCGGGTGCTTGGAGTATCATTCTGGGCATTACACAGGCCTCCCAGTGACCATTCTTCGGATGGGAACACTGAGGTTCAGAGTCTTTTAAGTGAATCACCCAACTCCACACCCAGGCGTCCAGGTACCAGAGCCATCTCCCTAAACACCCCACACTGGGGAATTCTCGTTTCCCCTTAGAAACAGTGGATGGCAGGAAATGTCAGAAAGCTAGGACAGAAGAGGAGGAGCAGGCGCAGCTGCCGCCCATGTGTCTGCAGCCACGTATCTGGGCCACTCTGGGTTCAGTGGTCACCAGCCCTGTGCACATGCTATTTCCAGGGCCACTGTGCCTTCATGGCCTCCTTTTAAATAAAGTAAACTTGGAGTAGTGATTGTATTGCCATAAGGACAAAAAATAGTCCAGGCTGCATTAGATTTGCATTTTCTCTTACATTATCAAAAGAAATGATATTTAAGAGCTCTTAGTGGTGTAAACTGCTGGGTAAGTCAGACCCAGGGTCAGGGGCTAGAGGGTAGAGGGTCCCTTTCCTCTCTACAGGCTATTGGATTGGGGGTGTGCACAGGTGTGTGCCTTGGGGGAATGTATGTGTGCGGGTATGACATGTGCACCAAGCACATGGACCCTGATGTACTCAGCCCAACCCCAATCCCACCCTTATCTTCTTGGGACCACAGCTTACTTTTTTGGGCCTCAGTTTCCTCATCTGTGAAATGGGTGAGTGAAAATAGGCCCAACCATGCAGGACGTCAGGAGGATTAAATCAGGAACGTTGGTTGAGGACATAGGATGCCATGGGCCCCCTGCACGCGTTCATTATGAATGTGTGTGGCTATCCTTGTCTGCCCATCTTGCAGTGGATGCATCTGTCATGTCTGCATTGTGGGTCACACCTGCACCTGATCCCTCACCATGCCTTTCTCTCTCCCTGCCCACAGCCTGCCATTCCCCTATCGCCATGGGCACTGGAAGGACAGTCACCCATCTGCCAACCAAGGAGACCCTGGTGAGTCATGTCACCCTCTGGCTCCTCCTTCTTGAGGGTTATGCTTCTGGGCAGGGATGAGCCTTGGTCCACAAAAACCATATCAGGTCCCAGGCCTCTCTTCCCATCTCCTGGGGTTTTGTCCACCCGGAGTTGAGAGAGTACTGTCCTCAGCTTGGCATTTTTCAACCGCAGGGGACAGGATGGCTCAGGAGTGAGTTGTCCTACCCTGAGGGATCTCAGGAGACACCTGTGGTCACTTGGGATGTGGCAGCTTCAACATATTCAGTGAAGTGTGACAGAGGCCTCTGGCAGGAAGTGCTGGATGAAGGACCTTGAGAAACAGGCGGGGGGGGGGGCACTAAATGCTCCCTGGGGACTGGAGGAGGTGGGGACGATGACCCCTGTGGTGTGGGAGTGGTTTGGGGGGCTTGGGGGATGCTCTACCCTCCCAACTTTGTCCCCCACCAGGCCTCCACTGATGAGAATAAGTCTACCAAGATATGATCTGTTGGGGAGGGAAGGTGGCGATCTCTCAAAAGAGAAGGGCCAGGAGCCTGTTCCTCAACAGGTTGTGACTGGGTTCAATTTGCAGGGGAATATAGGTAAAGCTCATCAGTCATTGTCAGGCAGTAAGGATTAAACAATAGGTAACATTCAAAGAAGTAGGAGGGCTTATTCTGAGTCAGGGTCAGTTAGCTAAAGAACCATAAAACTTTGGGAAAGAAACTCATTTCATGCTTGGACCCTTATCAGAAAACTGAAGGCATTCTCAGCAAAGAAGGTTACACAGGATTTCATGGTTCTTTCTTAGGCCTGATCTCCCAGGGAACTGCCTGTTCCTGCCCAGCATTGTGTGAGGCTTAAGTCAGGTGGGGCAAGTAAGGCAGCCAAGAGATTAGGATACTGGTTGCAGACAGAATCAGAACTCAAGCTATGTCAAAGCCTAGGGGTGAGGGTCCATCACCCCCTTTTTCTATAGCCCCCAAGTCCTTCCCTGAGGGCCCTTTCATGATCATGCCTATCATAGGTTGTCCCTCCATTGAAGAATTTTAACCATCATCGAAGAGCCAGTTATCTGCCCAGGGCCAATCAGGGTGAAGCAAACAGGGGCAGAGGCAGCGCCCCTACCAGGAAGATAAGCTTTGTCTCCTTAGTGGCTTGTGGCCTGAAGGTCTCTTACTTAGCCTTAGCCTGGGGGAGTCACAACTTCTAAAACCAGGCTGGGTGGGTCCCAACAAGCAGTGAATGTCAGAGACTGTCCTTGTGATGTTTTAGTGGGTGTCTATTTGTGGTATTTTTCTCTAAACTTCCTTCTATGGAAGAAAAACTTGACAATAAAAAATGTACAAATGTAGCCCTGGCTGAAGTAGCTCAGTGGATTAGGTGCAGACAACGACCAAAGGGGCACCAGTTCGATTCCCTGTCAGGGCGCATGCCTGGGTTGGGGGCCAAGTCTCCAGTAGGGTCAAGTGAGAGGCAACCACACATTGATGTTTTTCCCCCTGTCTTTCTCCCTCTCATCCTCTCTAAAAATAAATAAATAAAATCTTTTTTAAAAAACACAGAAAAAATGTACACATATGGCTCAGTTGGTTAGAGGGTCGTCTTGATAGGCCAAGGTTGTGGGTTTGATCCCTGGTTTGGCACTTTCTAGGAGCAACCAGTGAATTCATCAGTAAGTGGAACAACATCTCTTTCCTTCTCTCTGTCAAATCGGTGAATTTTTTTTGTTTCTAAAGATTTTATTTTTATTTCATTTTTAGAGAGGGGAAGGGTGGGAGAAAGAGAGGAGAGAAACATCAACCTGTGGTTGCCTCTTCCACGCTCCCTTCTGGACACCTGGCTTGCAACCCAGCACGTGCCCTAAACTGGGAAGAGAACCAGTGACCCTTTTGTTTGCAGTCCAGTGTTCAATGCACTGAGCCAACCAACCAGGCAAAATCAGTATATTTATATGTGTGTGTGTGTGCGTGTATGTATACACACATGTGGGGTAAATTTTTTTTTAATCAACAGAAGAATATTCATTTAGTTTTAGGGAGACCGGAAGAGAGGGTGTGGAGAGAGACACACAGATGTGAAAGAGAAATTTAAACCATTTGTTCCCCACATGCTCTCCAAGCTGGTATAGATCCCTCAACTATCTGGTGTCTAGTACAGAGTTCCAACCAACTGAGCCACATGGCCTGGGCTGGGCATCAATACTTGAATTTTGTATTTCATTTTTTCAGTTATGAAAGTAGAGCAAGTGTGCTAATGTTTTAATTATTTTTCAGAGAGAGGAGAAGGAAGGGGGAAATATAGGGACAGAAACATCAATTTGCAAGCTAAATATTCATGGGACTCTGCTAGCAGCAGCCCAGTTTGGTACCTGCCCACTGCCACTCATGTGCACTGAGTCGGAATAAACAGGTCACCTTTCAGTTTTAGGCTGGTTCTCATTCCACTGAGTGACACAGTCACGGCTTTTTTATGATTTTGGTGTTTTTTTTAAACATTCATTTATCTTATTTTTGGAGTAAGGGAGGCAGAGAAATATCAGTGTGTGCTTGTCTCTTGCACATCCCCAACTGGGCATCTGGCCCACAGCTCAGGCCTGTGCCCGGAGTAACAAATGAACTGGCAACCTTTTGATTTGCAAGCAGGTGCGCAATCCACTGAGCCACACCACTTGGGACTGTGAGACTTGATTTCTAGAAATGTTTTTCACAGTTCATGGTGGGCAAATTGTTTTTATTTTATCAAGATTTTGTTTCTTTTTAGAGAGAAGGGAATGGAGGGATACAGTAGGAAAGAAACATGGATCCGAGTAAATCACTGATCAGCTGCCTCCCACAGGCACCCCAACTAGGACCACACCCTTTCCTTTGGTTGTACACACGACTGCACCCAGCTGAGTTACCCGGTCAGGGCTGCACATTTATATAAGTGGAATCAGAACACGTGGTTTTTCGTATCGGGCTGCTTTCATTAGCACTGCGTATTTGATGTACTTCTGTGTTGTAGTAGGTGTGCTCTTCAATGGCTGCATACTCTGCCATTGTGCAGGTAGACCCTGTTGTATCCACTTATCAGGGGTAACATTTGGGTTGTTCCCACTTACTGGGTGTTATTTCTCATGCTTCTGTGAACATTCATGCACAGTTTTTATTTGGTCTCATTTCCTTTGAGTTCAGGAGAGGAAATAATGGGTCCTTTGATATCAGCATATTTAACCACTTAAGGAACAATCCTCCTGTTTTCCAGTGTGGCTGCACCATGATGTCTCCACTTTGACCTTCTCTGTAATCGTTGCCTTGGTTTCCTTTTACCAACTTTGTTTAGGATTTGTGGATACTTGTTATTTCTCTGTTGTTGGCTCTTGGGGATTCAATTTCTCTTCCTTTTTTTTTTTTTTAGATTTTATTTATTTTTTTTTAGAGACAGGGGAAGGGAGGGAGAGAAACGTCGATCTGTTGTTGCCTCTCTGACACCCCCATCGGGAATCTGGCTCACAACTTAGGCATTAGCCCGGACTGGGAATTGAACCAGCAACCCTTTGTTTTGCAGGCTTGCTGTCAATCCACTGAGCCACACCAGCCAGGGCTCACTTCCCACACTTTTGCTGTAGAGTATGGGCACCCAGATGCCCGGGACAGACTCAGGCTTTCAGTCTCTCCGGTCCTGGGCTCAGTGCCTGGAGCCTGCTCAGTAAAAAACTCATTGGGCGAATCCACTCAGGCAGGGAGACTTAAGGAAGACTTTCATCAGGAGTTGTATTTCAAAAATTAAAATGAAATAAGTGCAATAATAAAGAGGGACAGGAGGAAACTTTGTTGGTCGTCGATGAGTTTGTGACCTTGATGGTAATTTCAGTAGATTGTACTTACTGAGTTGGCCAAAAAGTCCGTTATGTTTTTTCTGTAAAATAAAAGACACCTTTTTCATTTTCACCAGTAACTTTGTAGCACTGGCCTCCTCACTGCTCTGCTGTGTTGTTTAAGCCTCTGGTCTTGACCCACCAGTTCCGCCCAGAATCTTCCTCCATGAACCTAACCTGAGATCCCCTCTTCTGATTTCTGAGACACCCTTGAGAGCTGCTGCTATTCAGGCCCCTGTTATGCTGGTGTTGACCAGTTGAGGTTCCATAGAGGGGGTTTCCTTCTCACCTGTGTGAGGTCATTGTCATTACGGTTTTAGTTTGCAGCTGTCTGATGATGAATAATGTTGAGCGTTTTTTCATAGATATATTGGCCATCTTTGTGTCCTATTTGGTGAAGTGTCTGTTCAGGTTTTTTGCCCAGTTTTGAACTGTGTTGTTTGCCTTCCTGTGAACAGCACCATAGTTTATTTGTCTGTCTGTGGACCACCCAGTGTACTTAGGCACGAGAGACACTGAGTCCTTAGGGCCTTCAGACCTCTGCACCTTCCTGACCCCACATCAGGTGCATCCTCTGTGCCTTCCTGATCCTCCCAGCCCACCTTGCCACGTCTCCTGAGTGTGATGAGTGGTGTGCGCTTCCTCTTACAGGGGTCGGTGACATTCAGGGATGTGATCGTGGACTTCACCCAGGAGGAGTGGCAGCAGCTGAAGCCTGCGCAGAAGGACCTGTACAGTGATGTGATGATGGAGATCTACCTGAACCTGGTCTCGCTGGGTAAGGGGGCAGCTTCACTGAGTTACTCACCATGTGCCTGTCACTTCAGGATGACAGAGAAATAGACAAGGTGGACAGATCCAACATGTAGGACATTCAGATTACTGGAACCTAAAAATAAAGTTGACAGATGATGAAGTGGAAAGAGTATTTAGCGCATATATAATGGCCAGAGTATTATAAGTATATAAAGAACTGCTATGCATAAACGAAAAAAAGCACCAAATGAATGATAGAGAGATAGACCCGGCTTATCAGCATTCAATTCTCAGATATACAAATGCATGGAGTTACACTTGACAAAGATTTTTGAACCGTACTATTCATCAAAGAAGTACCAATTGAGCTACAGAAATACAATTTTGACCTATGAGGTACACTGGTATGAAAAGAATAGTAACCCTGCCCAGGTATGGCTCGGTTGTTTGAAGCATTTCCCAACCCAGAAGGACACGGGTTTGATTCCGTGTCAGTATACATACCTGGGTTGTGAGTTCCTACATGGCACATACCCAGGAGGAAAACCAATCAACATTTCCTGCCCTAATGAATGTTTCCCTCTTTCTCTTTCACTCTTTCCCCTGTCCCTCCCCACCCCCTTCCTCATATGTAAGACTATCCTCAGCTGTGGTCCAAAAAAAAGTAGTAATATCTTCCTGTATTATGAGGGTGCAGAGAAAGGAACTAGTTAATTTAGATGCATGATGTTGGGAAAGCTCTTTGGGAAGACAGTTTGTTCTTAACCAAATTCAAATGATTCCATTTGTGGAATATATCCTTAAAGAATCTCCTGTAAATGTGCTGAGATTTTATAGGAAGAAAATTCCAGAGAAATGCCCTAGATGCCCACCTACAAGATTGTTGAACAAGCAAAGGTGTACAATAATGTTGGGAATCATACAGGTCTTCAAAAATGGGTACTCTTAGTACTCATGGACACACAGAGATGTCCCTAACACTATGGTTCAGTAAAAACACTAACTTTCACAATTAGTGTATAGTTCCATTTCTTTACCAGCTTTCCTGGTGGTTTACCTGACCTACAATTAACTGCATATAGTTAAAGTGAATGATTTGACCCATTTTGACATTTGGATCCACCCAAGAAATCATCATCACACTGTAGATACGTCCATTAGTCCATAAAGTATTTCTTTAATTTTGCCCACCCTCCAAAGTCCAGCAACCATTGGGTTTAGTTTGCTTTTTCTAGAAAAAATTTAAAATATTTTATTTATTATTCGAGAGGGGGACAGGAAGAGATAAACATGAATGTGTGCTTGCCTCTTGTGCACCCACTACTGGGGACCCAGCCCATAATCCAGGTATGATTGGGAATTGAATCAGTGACCCTTTGGTTTGCAAGCCCCTACTCAATCCACTGAACTACACTATTCAGGGCCTATTGTAAAATTTTATATGTAGAATTATATGGTACATAACGTTTATTTTTTTATCTTAATTTCTTACCCTTCTCATCATTTCTTTGAGGTTCACTCACACCTACCATATATTTGAATCGTTCCCTTCATTTTTTTTCTTGTTTCTTTTTTATTATTTTGAGAGAAAGATGAGAATGAGTTAGAAACATCAATCAGTTGCATCCCATACAAGCCCTGAACTTGGATCCAACTGGCAATCTTTGGTGCACTCAACAACGCTCTAACTGCTGAGCTAGGCATCCAGCGCAATAGCTGACTTTTTATTGCTGAGCAATATTCTACTTCCGGGATACATTACTTGATAATGAATATTAGGATTGGTCCATTCTTGACTCAAGGGATGAGTATCAATCTCTGCATTTATGTGTCCAGTGAGGTCTTTAATGGGGTAGGGAGACAGCTGCTTACCACTCCTGCTTTCTTTGTTACCTCCTAGGAAGGAGGGCTACATGTGGCAGGATCTTCTGTTTTTCAATGTGACTTTTTGTGTAAGATCTCATGGTTTTTAAGTGTTTGGATGAACTTTAAAGGGCGTATGCAGAGTCTGGACTCAGGGCAATCCCCTAGCTTTACACAGAAATAGAGGATCCCATGGGACAAGGCACAACATGCTTGAAGCACTTGTGGTGACCGGGGAGGAATTAGTGTGCTAAGGGGAGGTGTGGGCAGTGTAGGAATTTGGGAGCTTCAGGGGCATGAGGGGAGGCAGAGGACAACCAGTACAGGCGTAGGGAATCAGTTCGTACTTTATCTTTAGTAATAACCGGCAATATTTTGAGAAGCACAGGTCTCTGTGGACATGCAGGACGAGGCCTGCAAGAAAGGAGCCAGGTGCAGTGAACCCTCCCTGGGGGTGTGGGATCCTTCAATCCACTCCTCCAAGCCTGTTTTCTTCCTCTGTGTCTTCAGGGTTTGCTCCCAGCACTGAGCTCTGCTGGCTGCCTTTGCATCCTCTCCCAATCAGGCCTTTCTTGCTGTGTACTCACCGCCCTATAACTCACTGTCTCAGGTCACATCTTCTCTTCTCCTTCTGTGCCCATAACAGGCTGCCCCCTACTCTCAGGCTGTGGGTTGTGGTATCTTGCGAACATCGTACCTCCCAGTGTGGTTAACTGCATGTGTGTCATCATCTTTTCCCCCCCCTCCCCTCAGACTTGGAGACTGAAGGGGACATGAATGAACTGGACCCAGAGAAGGACTCTTGGGAAGAAAGAACATCCATTGCGGTGGTGGAAGGACTTACGAGGAATGGAGCCCAGGGTCATGCCTGTGAAAAAGGAGGGATACAGGGGGACAGGGCGGGGCAGCTACACAGGAGCACGGGGACCTGTCTGGAGCTTTTGGATGTGTCCCAAGTGTTAGCCCCTGAATGCTGTAAATTCAATGCATTCATCCACCAGAGCCCCATGCTGGCCCCACCAAGAGAAGTGGGGATGCTCTGTTTCACCATGTGTGGGAAGAACTCTGGTACTTCCAGCCTCGGTCCTCCCTCCCAACTTTGTACAGAGAACACATGCAAGTGTGGACGCTGTGGCAAGATTCTGAGCTATAGTTCATCACTGGGGAAAAACCAACGAATCCACTCCAGGGAGAAGCCATGCATGTGTGAGGAGTGCAGCACGTCCTGCAGCCAGGAGGATAACCTCATCCTACACCAGAGGACGCACACCAGGGAGAGGCCATATGTGTGCAGGGAGTGCGGGAAGGCGTTCAGATGGAATAGTCACTTCATCAAGCATCTGAGGACGCACTCCGGGGAGATGCAGTACACATGCGGGGTTTGCGGCAAGGCCTTCAGGAAGAGAAAATACCTCATCCAGCATGAGAGGACACACACTGGGGAGAAGCCATATGTGTGCGGGGACTGTGGGAAGGCATTCAGTAAGAAATCGAGTCTCAATTTGCATCAGCGGATGCACACTGGGGAGAAGCCGTACTCGTGTGGGGACTGTGGTAAGGCCTTCACACAGAAATCGATCTTATGTGTGCATCAAAGGACACACACTGGGGAGAAGCCTTATGCATGCAGCATCTGTGGTAAAGCCTTCAAAGAGAATAGGCACCTCATCGAGCACCAGAGGTTGCACACTGGAGAGAAGCCATACGTGTGCGGGGACTGCGGCAAAGTCTTCAGCAGGAAATCGACTCATTATGCCCATCAAAGGACACACACCAAAGAGAAGCCATATGTGTGTGGAGATTGTGGCAAGGCCTTCAGGAAAAAAAAGTACCTCGTCCTACATGAAGGGACGCACACTGGGAAGAAGCCATATGTGTGCGGGGACTGTGGCAAGGCCTTCACTGCGAATGGCAGCCTCATGGTGCATCAGAGGACACACACCGGGGAGAAGCCTTATACGTGCGGTGACTGCGGCAAGGCCTTCAGCCGGAAAAGGTACCTCATCCTGCATGAGATGACGCACACTGGGGAGAAGCCGTACCCTTGTGGAGACTGCAGCAAAGCCTTCAGCCAGAAATGGAGCCTTTATGTGCATCAGAGAACACACAGTGGAGAGAAGCCGTATACGTGCAGTGTCTGCAGCAAGGCCTTCAGCCAAAAATCGAACCTCGTTGTGCATCAAAGGACGCATAGCAAGGAGAAGACAGGCACGTGAGGGGAGTGCGACAAGGCATTTAGCAAGAACTCCTTTCAGGCAGCAAAGGCACCAGACCCCGGGAAGTAGCGCTGCCAGCGCTCCATCTGAAAGGACTCCATGACACCCTCATCCCTACAGAATATCCTCACCAGACCCCTGTGGAGAAGCTTTATCAGTGCAGCCAGTGTGGAAAAGCCTTCATGAGGAACCTTTGCTCCCTGTCCAATGGAGGATTGTTTGGGAGACAAGCCCTACCACAGTGGCAAGTACAGGAAAACCTTCAGCAGGAAAATCTACCTCACATGACACATAGCAGGGAACTGGGGGATCTCAGCATCCAAACCCGACTGGTAGGTCCTGTGCCCGTGGGCCAGTGTCAGGCTTGATATTGGAGCCTACGGGTGGGATGCAAGAGAAGTCCTGATCAGACTTGTCCTAGGAATATGGGTGGTGAGAACAGGCCATGGAATTATCAACATTTGCTTCCCCAGCATTCGCCAGGCCAGGTGCAAAGCAAGCCCCCTAAAGGTACAGTACCTGAGAGGCTGCCAATGGCACTGTGTCTCTGGTCTTCATCTCCTATAGAGTAAAATGGAGGAGAGGAAGGAGAAAGGGAGATGTCGAGGTGGGCTCCATGGGGGCATTGTCACGTTGTGACACATGCCTCAATCTTGTATTTAGGTCAGGTTGTCTCATCTGTGGGTGTCCTTATTTACCCCACACCCAGCCCCCAGTTTCCCTGCAACAGGAGAAGGTGCCAAGTATTATATGAGAAGAAGAAAAATTTGTTTTGGCATGGGAACTAACAATAACGGCCTCAGAAGCCATAGTTTCTCATAAGGGTCTATTGATTTTTTTTAAAAAAACAGGTTTACATTAAGGGAGACCAGTGTCATTTTAAACAATCATAAGGTGCAATAGGTACATGTACAAGTTATCCTGCCAAAATGAGTGTGAACACTTTAGGGGAAGGGGATCCAAATACCCCACAGGACCCCCAGGAACCCAGCAAGCCTGCTCAAGGTATGAGGCCACCTGCCCCTCCCAGCCTGGCATTCCTGGCTTGGGAATGGTCAGACCAGGTGGCAGGGCAGACCTTCAGCAGCTGAGGTGGAGAAAGTGCCTGTTCTGCTGAAACACACCCTTTTGGTCCCTTCCCTGCAGGGCCATTTGTTACAGGAGAAAAATCCTCTCTCACATGACAGAGCGTCCTGACCCACCCCTTGCAACTAGAATTCCTGTGAAAATAAAGTGCCTTTCAGTCAGGCAGGGGCATTACCTAATCTATGCCTCACCCACAGGCTAGGTCATGTTTTACTTAATATCTCATTATTGATGTTGATTGCGACCTATTACCTATAATAAATAGCAAACTGTAAGAATGGTACTTTTAACAGAAAATACTTAAAGCATTTATTAATAAATGGTAAACTATTAACTATTTTGTACAGGTTGTTATTTGAGATGATTCTGTGAATGTGAGCAAATGGCTGCTGACTGGGCCCTGTGCCCTAGCGCCCTCCTGCTCATCACCAAAAGGGTACGACCTGGTGGTGATCAGTACTTAGACTGGCTCCCACTTCTGTGTGGTTGCTAGTTAAACAAGAGCATAAGATAGGGAGGACAATATGAACAGTGGAAAGCTTACATTTTTCGCATTTTGCCTTTAAAATGTCATTTCTTGTGGACAAAACCTCATGAGATCTACCACCTTTTCTTTTTATTCTCACTGGAGGGTATGTTCATTAATTTTATGGGAATAGAGAGAGAGATTTGAGAAACATTTATCCTTTGCCTTCCATACGCGCCTCGATGTGGGATCCAGTCTGCAACCAAGGTATTTATCTTGACCAGAAATTGAACCTGAAAGCTTTTGTATAGGAAAGTGCTCCAACCAACTGAGCCACCCTATCAGGGCATGAGAAGTACCCTCTTAACCCAGTTTTATTTGTACAAGATGGTGCCATTAGTTAGAGGACTATTTTGTACCGCAGTAGATCTCTAGGACCTTTTCTCCTGCATAATTTAGACTTTATGCCCATTTACGGTTAAACGAAGTTAAATCTTTTCATGTTGATGTTGTGGGGGTTTTTTTCCTGTATGACACATTTGCTCTTCAGCCTACAAGGTGCAAGTTGGCCACAGTTTTTTTGAAGTCTACGTTTTTTGGCCTCTGGTTCTTTGGTGTCCAAATAGAAGGAACCAAGCAATGAATGCATAAAAAGTAGAAATACAAATTGATTTCTCTCTCTCTCACTAAAATTGGGAAAAAAATTCAACCAATGAATGCATTAAGTAACTGGAAAAACATATCTTTCTCACTCTGTCTCAAATAATTAAAAAATTTAAAAAATGAAGTAGATTCTTCTCCTTGTGGGGTGATCCTTACTTACAAAAGTCTTTTCTTGGTGCCACACAGCCCTGCTTTTTAGGCCCCCGCTGATGGGTGGTCCAGAGGAGGGAACAACAGATCCCCTGCCTGTGGCTCGGTCTCCTGGCAGGGTCTCACCCAACAGGGTTTCCATGATTGTGGGTCACTCAGCTGCACAGACCATGGGCTGCACCCAGACAACTGATGTACTTTACTCAGCTCACTCATTTTTATTCTTAAATTAATGAGTTGCCCACATGGAGACACTGGAAAGTTTTACATTCATAAGCATCACCTTTTACTCATTTAACCCTTCAGAAAAAAAGTCATGGAATAGCTTGCATGTGCCAAAAATAGTCCTAACAGCTGGAGACTCAGCAGTGTATTAGAAACATACAGTACCCACTGTCACGGAGATGTAATTATAGAAAGCAAGGCAGGTGCCAATAAAGAAAAAGCATTTTTAATATAAAGAAATTTAGTTCATAGCATTTGAAATCAAAAGCCACCGGGCCAACAACTCCACGAAAAGTCTGAAAAGTAGAGAAGAGCTAGAGTTGTGTAGGTCTGTCTGATCAAAAGTTCAAGCCAGGGCCTGGCTGGTGTGGTTCAGTGGACTGATTGCCCACCTACGAACTGAAAGTTCAATTCTCAGTCAGGGCACATGCCTACATTGAGGTCCCAGGTCCCCATTTGGGGGCGTGTGAGAGGCAACCAATTGATGTATCTCTAGCATGTCAGTGTTTGATCTTTTTCCTTTTCTTCTCTCTATTAAATAAATAAATACATAACTAGCTAAAATCAGACCCTGAAAGCTTCCTGCTCCTTAAATAGTTGTAGAAACCACCCTCTTAGGGGAAGAGTGTCTCTTGCACTAATTAGCACAGCGTGGGTGTTTTCTGAATGTCTGTGTCTTGAGCGGTGTGAGCAGCTGTGCTTTCCCTGGTGCCCAGATCTTTGGGAAGAACAAACATCCATCCATTCATTCACCATGTCCAGAGTTGCTGGATTTTTATGCCAGGGGGTCATTCTTGAAGACGTTGCACCATCCAAACCTGCATAATACAAGGCCAACCCTAACTAGAGGTGATTGGCATGTCTCCTCACCAGCTAAAGTGACCCTAAAGTAAGAAACACTACTTCCAATTTACACAAGTGATCATATTAGACAGTAAGGAACTTTAGGACATTTTAAATTGCAAGAGTTCTCATCATTCAAAAAATGCCACTCAACTAAGATTTGAAGTGTTTATAATTCAAAGTATCATAAAATATAGTCATGCTGTATCCTGACACACGATGATATCTTTGACCCCGCCTCGCACCATAAAAACTAGAACCTTGCAATTAACTCACATATTCTGACAGCCTTCCTGCAATTTTCCACAATCCAAGTAACCATCATCATGAATCATTGCACATTTGTGCTTTGTTTTTAATTTTGGGGGGTACATTTTTTCCCACAGAATTGTTTTTGAAACTCCATGTTAATAATTTCAGTCAGGTGGTAGACATGCCCTGCCATTCCAAAGGACAAAGATGCCTCTTAAAAATGTGCAGTTTTTGCCCTCATTCCCCAAGACCTAAGAGAGTTTTGTTTACTGGCAATAGCAGGGCTCTTTTCCAGGTGGCTCTGTTCTTTGAAGTAGTAAGAGGTACAGAGCTCCTTGCATTCTGCTTAGAGAATCAATCAGGGACAGCTCCGCCCAGTCTGACCAAGACACCTCTGACACAGGTCCGGGGAGGGCATTCACACAATAAGGTGGTCTATGGGAGAAGAGGTCGGTACCATGGACAGCTCACATAGCCTAGCTCAACAGCTTGAATGAGTCTGTCTCAAAGGGGATACAGCCCGGGCCCAGTGGCTCACTTAAATGGAACATCACATGGTGAACCAAAATGTTACAGGTCACAATAGAGTGATGTTTCTCTCACATGGATTATTTTTCTCTCTATCCCTTCGTCTCTCTCTAAAATCAATACATATATCCCTCGGTGAGGATTAAAATAGAAAAAGAAGTCACTAATCACCACCTAAGGCAGCTGTAGTTTGCAATTTTGTGGTCATTGAGACTTTCAGCAAATGCTTTTTTAAAAAAGACTTTATTTATTTTTAGAGAGGGTAAGGGAGGGAGAAAGAGAGGGAGAGAAACATCAACACATTGTTGCCTTTCATGCAGCCCCCCACTGGGGACCCAGCCTGCAACCCAGCCATGTGCCCTGACTGGGAATCAACCGGTGACCCTTTGGTTCGCAGGCAGGCAGTCAGTCTGCTGTGCCACACCAGCTGGGGCAGCAACTGCTTTTGCACTTGGCTTTGTGGTTCATGGTATAAGAGTTCCCAGTCTGGAGACCTCTTTCCCACCCCAACTCCCTGTGTGAACTCCCTTGTCTGTACCAGTATCCTCATCTGGAAAGTAGCCTGGTTGCCAGGAATAAGTGGTTTTCTACATCTTAATGATACAGATATATCGCCAGGCAGGACGGGTGAGGGGAGGCAAGGACAGGAAGAGAAGGAGCCTCCTGGGGAGACATCTATCTCCCTGGGCAAAGGTGAGGCGGTGGGTGGGGTCCTGTTGCCTTGGAAACCAAGCTCCTGCTTTTCCCTTGGAGCACCCTATCCTGGAGGCAGATATCCGGCTCCAAGCAAGAGGGCAGCAGGAGTAAGTATTGCACTGAATAGGTGAAATGCTAGCAAGGTGATTAGCGGAGGGGACAGCCCTCCTACCCCGTAGTGATAACTGATTGGGGGTGAGGCCAGGGAAGACAGGCAGGTGCACCACGGAGGTCAGACTGGCCACAGCGGGGGAAGTGCAGGACCTAAGGCTAGCCTGTCAGTCTAGCTTGGGGAGAACAAGCGATTGGTCATGCTAGACCACCCCTGTCCCCAGCACACGGAAATATGTAAAGTTCATTGAGCATTCAGGCCATCCCACCCCTAAAACTAATATAAACCCAAGGTAAGCAAGGTCCTTTCTTTTGCCCACCTGGCGCACTTAGAGAGCGGTGAGTTAGAGCGACCATGTGGCCCTGGAAGCGGCCTGCCTGACCGGTTCCTGCAGTTTCCAAGAGGGAGGTTGAAACAGGACAGTGGCCGGGAGCGAGCTGAGCTGCCTGGGTGACTGCTCCTGAGCACCTGCGGTTCCTAAAAGACAGTACTTTAAATGGGAGCAGGAACGTGACACGGTCTTCTGTTTGGGTCTGGCAGAGGGCGGCTGTGTTTTTTCCTGAGGTTTTCCGGAGGGGATGGGTTTTGAGACAAAAAAATCTGCCGTTCTCTGTGACCCTGCAGCAACTGACTTAAAACGGTTTTCCTTTCTCACCAGCCTGTACCTCTAGAACTGGCCTATTTGGGGGAGGGCGGCACGGGCAGCAGAACCCCCACTTTGGTTCTGTAACAATAACATGACCAGAGCAGGAGCTGTACAACGACCGGAAGGGCTCATACGTCTCTGATCACTCTCACTTGCTTTCTTGCGTCTGTGCATGCTTTACAAATTTTCTGCAAGTCAGCATGACTATCAGGACCCTTGGCAGGATGCTGGAGGTCTGCAGAGGGTCTGACGCGTCTTTTCCGGCCTCCACCCACAAGTTGCGCCTTTTCTGCAACTTCCCTCCTCCCCATCTCCCAGCTCTCCTCCGACCCCTGTCCCTTTTCTCCTCCGCCTTGGCCCCCACTTCGTCCTCCCACCCCACACCTGCCTGGCCCGAGCCCCACTCTCTCGTCTTCCTGCCGCTTCCGGCACAACCGTAAGTCTCAGTCGTGGACTCCGCCCCCTTGACGCTAGTGCCGCGCGCGGTGGCTTCTGGGACGTGGAGCCGCAGGATCGCCTCTCCGGCTCGCAAGTGGTCAGCAGCACCAGCTGGTTCCCAGAGGGGGTTCTGGGAAGCGTGGTCTGGCCCGAGCAGGCGCATTGCGATCGGAGGTCCAGGCGGACGCCGGTCACTTTCCTGAGGTAGCCGTGTGGTGGCTCCGGCTGCGGAAGGGGCCAGGGAGGAAGTAGAGAGCTTGTGGTGTGAGGGAAGGGGCCTGAGGGTTCGGGAGGGGGTACGGATGGGTTGGGGATGTGCGGGTGAACGTGGTGCTTGTAGCTGTGTGTGTGTGTTACCCTGAGACACCCCCCCCCCCAGGCGGTCTCTGTGATTGTGTCTCCATGTCTGTCACCACGTGTGGCCTCCTGGGACTCCCCTTTGCTCGTGTGTGTGTGTGTGTGTGTGTGTGGACTGCCTGTCTTGGTCTCTCCTAGGTCCTTCTGTGTCCACATCTGTGTGCGTGTCTGCCTTTGTTTCCTCCCGTAGTGTCTCCATCCAGGGGTCCGCCCGTGTCTGGTCTTTTCCTCTGCACTTGTGTTTCTGGTGTGAGTGTGTCTGTGTGTAGGGGGTTGCGTTCCTCCTGTCCAAGCCTTCCTCTGTCGGGGTTGTTTCGGTGTTAGGGTGACTTCTGGGCCCTGGTGCAGCACTCAGAACCAGGGCTGGGGCAGAGGGGCCTGTTCTCTCTCCAGGCTGTGGCACTGGCTGTGTGCGCATGTGAGTGTTGGGCGCATGTCTTTGTGGATGTGACGTATGCACCAAGCACATGGACCCTGCATACTAGGCCAAATCATAATCCTAGCCTTATCTTCTTGGGTGCATGTCTTCTATTTTGGGGCTTCAGTTTCCTTGTCTGTGAAATGGGGTGAATGGAAATAGCTTCCAAACTGTACGGTGTCAGGAGGATTAAATCAGCAATGTTTGTGGGTCGCCTTAAATGCCATTGGCCTCTAGCATGCTTTCACTATTAAGAAGTATGTCCGTCCCTGTCTGCTGTCGTCTGCGGGGGGGGGTGTCTGTCTGCCGTTCTGCATTGTAGATTGGGCCTCTACCTGCTCTCTCATTTTGCCTTTCTCCTTCTACAGCCTGTCTGTGCCCCAGTCACCATGGGCACTGGAAGGATGGCCACCCAGCAGCTGACCACAAAGGTCCTGGTGAGTCATGTCCCCCTCTCACACCTCCTTCCTTAGGGTTAGGCTTCTGGGCAGGGATGACCCTCTCTTTGCCCCACAAACTCCCTCAGGGCCCCAGGGCTCCCTTCTGGCCTGTGATTCTCCTGAGACTGTGTCCACCCTGAGTTGGAAGAGTACTGTCCTGACACTGGCGTTTTTCTACCACAGGGGACAGGATAGCTCAGGAGTGAGCTGTCCTGCCCTGGGGTCTCTCAGGAGACACCAGTGGGCACCTGGGAAGTGGTGGCTTAAACATATTCAGTGAAATGTGACAGAGGCCCTGGGCAGTACCTGCTGGGCAAGGGGCCTTCAGAAGTGGGCAGGTGGCACTGAATGCCCAGGGGACTGGAGGGGGACTAGAGGAGGACTCCTGTGGTGAGGACCTGAGAGTTTGTGGCTGTGGCCATCATGTTTTGTGATGTTTTAGTGGGTGGCTATTTCTGGTATTTTTCTCTAAATTTCCTTCATTGGAAGAAATACTTTACAATAAAAACATACAGATGTAGCGCATTTGGTTAGAGGATTATCTTGATATGCCAAGGTTGTGGGTTTGATCCCTGGTCAGGCATGTACAGGAAGCAGTGAAGTGAACAATAAGTGGAACAACATCTTTTTCTCTTGCGCCTTCTCTCAAATCAATTGTGTGTGTATGTATGTTTCCTTGTTTGTTTAATTTTTAAAAGATTTTATTTATTTACTTCTAGAGAGAGGGGAAGGGAGGGAGAAAGAGAGGGAAACACCATTGTATGGTTGCTTTTCATGTAGCCCCCAGTGGGGACCTGGCCCACAGGCCAGGCATGTGCCCTGACTGGAAATCAAACCAGCAACTCTTTGGTTTGCAGGCCTACACTCAATCCACTGAGCCACACCAGCCAGAGCTCTTTCCTTGTTTTTATCATTACCAGAGGATGTTTACTGAGTTGCAGGGAGAGAAAAAGAGAGAGAGAAACTCAGATGTGAGAAAGAAACATCCATTGGTTAGTCCCCATACACACCCCAACTCTGGATCAGATGAACAATGTTTTGGTATACGGGATCACTCCAATCATCTGAGCCACCGGCCAAGACTAGGCATATATATTTAGCCTACACTTTGTATGATTTTTAAAATATTTTTTTAAATTATGGAAGGTGGAGCAATCGTGTAAATATTTAAGTTTTTTTTTCTTTTTAGAGAGAGTGGAACAGAAGAAGAAGGGGGAGAAACATCCTTGTGGGAGACAAACATCAATGAGTTGCCTCTTGCACGACCCCATCTGGGGACCTGGTCCGCAGGCCAGGCATGTGGCCTGCCACACCAGTCAGGTCTTTATGATTTCTCCAGGGGCGATTCTTTGTAGAGGAAGGTGATGGTGGGTGTTTTTAAGGCCTTTCAGAGGTTTTCATAGTTAGGAGTTGGGGACAGTTTATTCCCCTAGTACCGCGCAGCAAGAGCTGCCACTGTTTCACATTGTTGGTTGTTGGTGCTTGTTCTGCTCATTGAATACAAATACCAAGTGGTATAAACTATCAGTGTGGTAGGTGGCAACTGATCTCTTTCTGAGTAGCATCATTTGTGGTATTAGTGAGCTTCGATTTTTAGGAAATGTTTTTTTGCCATTTGTGCAGGAAAGGAAACTATTTTTATCCTGTTTTCCTGATCCTCAGGAAATATTGTTTTCTTGAAAGGTTTAATTTTTTTAATAGTACTTATTTTTTAAAGAGGGGGATAGAGGAAGAGAAAAGAAACATCGATATGTGAGAGAAACATAAATTGGTTGCCTCTGATATGTGCCCCCAATCACCGACTGCACCCTCAACCTTTGATTATACAGACAACTCTCCAAGCATCTGAGTCACCCGGCCAGGGCTTCACATTTCTTATCAATGGAATCACGCAGCATGTGGTTTTTTTAACTCTCTTTGCTTTCACCTAGCCTCATGTTTTTGGTGTTCATCTCTGTTGTAGCAGGTGTTATTTTTTGTGGCTGTATACTCTTTCTATTTTCTAGGTAGACCCTGTGTTTGTGCATTTACTTTGAACTATACATTTGGGTTGTTTCCACCTCTCGATTTTTATTAGTAATGCTACCATGAACATTCATAAACAGTTTTTTGTTTGAACTCCTCATTTCTCTCGAGTGTAGGAGAGGAAATTGTGGGTCCTTTCATAACTGTACATTTAATCATTTAAGGAACAATCTGACTTTTCCAATGTGGCTGCACCATGATGTCTCCACTACTACCTTCTCCGTGACCATTGCTTTGGTTTCTTCCTTTAAAAACATTGTAGAGGGTTCCCGACAGTTGTCATTTCCACATGGTTGGGATTTGGAGGTTTAATTTTTTAAATCTGTTTTAGTGTAATTACATTCTCATTTTTCTAAAACTAGAGCCTGCCATGGCTGGGTTGCTCATTTGGTTATACCATCATCCTGCACACCAATATCTTGAAGGACTAGATCCCCAGTCGGGCTTGTGCATGAGGCCAACAAATCAATGTCTGTCTGTCTGTATGTATGTCTGTCTCTCTCTCTGACACTACCTTCCTCTTGCTCTAAAATCAACAAAGATATGCTCTGGTGAGAAATTAAAAAAAATATTGAGCCTGATTTCAGCTCTTTGGAACTGTGGCGAAGAGGTTTGTGCCATTACACAAAAATCCAAAACAGAGGGAGCCCTGGGTTAGTGGCCTCAATCATGAGCTCACGGTGCACTCTGAGGGCTTTGGCGCACTTGGAGGGAAGCCCCATTTCCAGGAGAATCTCGTGACCCTTTTGAGAAGGGGTCCTGTGTCTCACTCACCACACCGTGGCTGTTCCATGTGGACCCCCCGACGCCCAGGACCTTCTCCGGTTTCAGCCTCTTCCATCCTGGGCTCGGTGCATGGAGCCTGCTTGGTAAAAATTTCATTAAGTGAGTTTATTCAGGTGGGAATACTGTGAACACGAGTTATATTTTAAAAATTTAAGTGAAATAAGTACAATAATAAAGGGGGATAGGTGTTGGATGAGTTTGTGGCCTCAATGGTTATTTCAAAAGTATGTACTTACTGGATTGACCAAAAAGTTTGTAACATTTTTTTCCATAAAGTAAAAGACATTTATCATTTCACCAGTCACTTTGTTTATTTGGATATTTTAGCATCAGCATCCTCAATGTTTTCCATCTGGCATTTAAGCCTCAGGTCTTGCTGCACATGCCCCACCTGGAATCTGCCATTGAGGACCAAACCACATGCTGTTCTGACCTGTCACCAGGGTATTGCCAGTAATGGGGCCCTTACGGGTATTTTTGTTTCACAGTGTGAAATGATATATCGTTGACGTTTTAATATGCAGCTCTCTAATGATGTGTCGTGTTGAGTACTTTTTTTCATATGTTTTTGGCCATCTGTGTGTTCTCTTTGGAGAACTATCTACTTAGGTTTTTTGCCCATTTTTGGATTGTGTTGTTTGCCCTCCTGTGAACAGCCCATAGTTTGTCCATCTGAGGACCAACCATCCAGTGTACTCAGGCACCGAGGACACGGAGTGGTCAGCCCCTTCAGAGCTCTGCACCATGTTAATGCTACGTCAGGCACATACTGTGTCTCTTCCCTGATCCTCTCGGCCCTTCTGGCCATGGCTCTTGACCTCTGTGAAGAGGGCCCTGTGGTGAGTGGTGTGCGCTTCCTCTTACAGGGGGCGGTGGCGTTCAGGGATGTGATCGTGGACTTCACCCAGGAGGAGTGGCAGCAGCTGCAGCCTGCGCAGAAGGACCTGTACAGGGACGTGATGATGGAGACCTACTGGAACCTGGTGTCACTGGGTAAGGGTACTGCATTAGTCACCATCTGCCCATCACTTCAGGATGTCACAGAAATAGAAAAGATATACAGGTCTGACATGCAGGACATTAAAAATTACTTGACAATGAGAATAAACTTAATAGGTGATTAAGTGAGGAAGATTATTTAACGGTTGGAAGATCATAACTATATCAATAGATCCTTGGAGTAAACAAGAAAAAGACCAAATGAATGATAGAGAGATGGACCTGAAATTTACAGATGTGGAAATGCATGGAATTATACTTTACAAAAGATTTTTAAACCTTACTAATAGTCGAAGTACCAGTTGAGTCACAAAAATACAATTCTTGCCCATGAGCTACACAGAGAAGAAAAAGAATAACAGCCCTGGTCAGATGTAGCTTAGCAGGTTGCAGCTTCGTTCTGTACACTGAAAGGTTGTCAGTGGATTTCCTTTCGGGATACATACCTAGGTTGTGAATTTGCTCTCTGGGTGGTCACATATGGGAGGCAACCAAAGGGCGTTTCTCTCTCTCTCTCTCTCTCCCTTTCCCCACTCTTCCTGCCCCTTCCCTTTCTCCCTCTCTAAGCATATCCTCAAGTGAGGCATAAAGAAAAGAACAGCAATAGCATCCTGTATTATGAAGGTACAGGGAAAGGGACTCTTCATTTTAGGAGCATGAAGTTGGAACAACTCATTTGGAAGACAGTTTGGTATTATCAACTAAATCTCAAAAGATGAAGGCAATGTGTGTGGTCCCCACGGTACTGGGAAGATGTTGGAGGGTTTGGTCTGACTCCTGAGCTCCTCTTCCCACGGAGTGGACAGTGGGTTGTAGAGAGTGAGGGAGGCTGCTGCATTGCGGCCGTGGTGGTGGTGCATCGGTCTGGCCTAGTTCAAGGTGTTCTTTTGTGTGGTGGCATTTGTTAATAGTCTGGGTAGTGGAAGGAAAAGGGTGAGTCAAGGATTGCTAGTCAGTTTTTTTTTTTTACTGATTAAAATATTTCCTTAATGGTTGAAAACATATATAACATAAAATTGGCTATTTAACTATTTTGTTTTTGACCGTTTAACTATTTGACGTGTACAGTTCCACGCGTGAGTTCCTTCACACTGTTGTTGAACCATCACCACCATCTACCTCCACTTCATCATCCCAAGCTCACAATCTGTCCCTTTAAAAAACAGCTTGCTGTCCCCCTCCCTGAGCCCCAGTACTTATGTCCTACTTTCTGTCTCTATCAAATGCCTCATACGAGTGGAATCATACAGTATCAGTCATTGTATGCCTGACTTATTTTGCTAAATCTCTTTGATGGGCCTTTCTTTCTTTTTATTATTTGAGATTGGAGGATCTGAAATCACAAGTCTCTCATCCAGTGCGTTAGGTATGCAATACCCGAGGGGGTGCCATGTAGGCCTCGGATTATTCCTCAGCAGAGCTCAGAGGGGGGCTGTGTATGGGGGCATCCACTTAGGAGGTGTCAGCATGGAGAAGAGAGACAAATCCAGCCTCCCATTACTCAGGGGATGGGTCTCAAACTTACGGACTGTGGGGCTATTCGGGAGCTTAACTGGGGGAAGGGAAAGAGCTGCTTATCACTCCCACTTTGTTACCTGGTAGGAAGGAAGGCGCCGTGTTGCGGGATCTTCACTTTTTTTAAAAAGATTTTATTCATTTTTAGAGAGAGAGGAAGGGAAAGAGAAAGAGAGGGAGGGACACACGGATGTGTGACACATACACTGATTAGTTGCCCTCATAGCACTCCAAATGGGGACCTGGCGGGCAACCCAGGCCTGTGCCCTGAGTGGGAATCAAACCGTGACCTTTCAGTTCGCAGGCCAGCACTCAATCCGCTGAGCCACACCAGCCAGGGCTAGATCTTCACTTTCTTAATGAGATTTTTGTGTAAGATCTCACAGTTTGTAGAATTTGGGAGGAACCCTGATGTCCATGGTCAGAGCCTGGAACTCAGGACAGCCCCCTGGATTGGAAACGGAGATTGAGGATCACATGGGACAAAGCACGAGGGGACTGGAGCAGCTGTGGTCAGCAAGGAGGGATGATTGTACAAAGAGGAGGGTGAGGAGCCAGCTGTAAGGCTGCGTCTCCCTGGGACAGCGTAGTAAGGAGGAGCTTTGCTGGGGCGTGGGGAGCCAGGGCAACCGGCACATCCACAGGAGAGTCAGCTCTTACTCGATCGTTTCTAATAACAGTTGATGCCTTAAGAAGCACAGTTGGCTGGGGGCGTGCAGGACAGTGTAGTGAATCCTCACTGGGTTTGTGGGATCCTTCTGTCCACTCCTCCAAGCCTGCCTTTCTCTTTCACTTTGGGGTCTGTCTGTGCAGCTCTGAGCTCCCCTGGCTGCCTGCCTTTGCATACACTCCCAAAGGGACCTTTCGTGCTCTCTGCTCACCTCACTACAGCATATCGTCTCAGTTCACTGCTTAACTCGTCCCTTGGTTCCCATGACAAGCTGTCCCCTGTTCTCAGGCTGCGCCTTGTGTCTTGAGAAGGTCCTCCCTCCCAGCATTTTTAACTGTGTAGTCGTCTTTTTCTTCCTCCTCTCAGACTTGGAGACTAGACCTGGCGTGAAAGAATTGGACCCACAGGAGGACAACTTGGGAGGCAGGCCATCCATTGCAGTGACTGCAGAAGGACCTACGAGAAATGGTACCCAGGGTTGCACCTATGAAGGAGCAGGAACACAGGGTCACTGGGTGGGGTGGTCACGTGGGAGCCCAGTGACCTATCTAGAGTGTTTGGACATGTACCAAGCGTTAGCCTCTGAATGTTGTGAATCTACGAAATTGGTGCACCAACACCCTATGCATGTCCCAACAAGATGGGAGGTAGAGAAAGGAGAGAGGACACACCCGTTTACCATGAGTGGGAAACACTCAGGCACTTCAAGCCTCAATCCTCCCTCCAAACACTCTGCAGAGAAGCCCTACGGGTGCCGGGACTGCAGCATGGCTTTCAGTTACCACTCGTCCCTGAAGGAGCACCAACATATCCACACCAGGAAGAAGCCTTTCTCATGCACCACGTGTGGTAAGCAGTTCACCCTGCGGTCTTCCCTCACCACCCACCAGCGCCTGCACACTGGGGAGAAGCCGTACGTGTGCTTGGACTGTGGCAAGGCCTTTACGCGGAAGAGGAGCCTCATCGTGCATCAGAGGACACACACCGGGGAGAAGCCTTACACGTGCAGGTACTGCGGCAAGGCCTTCACCCGGAACGTGTACCTCATCATACACCAGAGGACACACACTGGGGAGAAGCCGTATGTGTGCCAGGACTGTGGCAAGGCCTTCACCCAGCACAGGAGCCTCATTGTGCATCAGAGGACACACACTGGGGAGAATCCGTACACATGTGGGGAATGCGGCAAGGCCTTCAGCCAGAAGGCACACGTCATGCAGCACCAGAGGACACACACCGGAGAAAAGCCGTACAAATGTGTGGAGTGCGGAAAGGCCTTCAGCCAGAAGGCCAACATCGTCCGGCACCAGAGGACACACACCAGGGAGAAGCTTTATACGTGCAAGGACTGTGGAATGGCCTTCAGGCTAAACAGAAAACTCATTGAGCATCAGAGGACGCACGCCTGGGTGAAGCCCTATTTCTGTCGGGACTGCGGCATGGCCTTCAGTCAGAATGATTACCTCATCGCACACCAAAAGACGCACATCGGGGAGAAGCCTTACGTATGCTGGGACTGTGGCAAGGCCTTCAGGCAGAAAAGGAGCCTTATTGACCACCTGAGGACACACACTGGGGAGAAGCCGTACACGTGTGGGGACTGCGGCAAGGCCTTCAGCCGGCAGGAGTGCCTGAAAGCTCACCAGAAGATACACAGCGAGGAGAAGCTGTATGCATGTGGGGAATGTGGCAAGGCCTTTAAACATAAAGGGTACCTCACCGTACACCTGAGGACGCACACTGGGGTGAAGCCATACGTGTGTAGTACCTGTGGCAAGGCCTTCAGCCGGAACAGGAGCCTCGTCATGCATCAGAGGATACACACAGGGGAGAAACCGTACTCTTGTGCGGACTGCGGGAAGGCCTTCCGCCGGAATGATCACCTCATTATGCATCAGAGGACGCACGTGGCCAAGGAGCTGTATACCGTGGCCAGCGCAGCAAGGCCTTTAGGCAACACTTCTCGCTCAGTATGCACTGGCGAGTGCACGCCAGGAAAAAGCCCCACACATGTGGCCAGTGCAGCAAGGCCTTCAGGCTAAAATTCTCACTCAGGGAGCACCTGCACCTACCTGCACAGTGGGGCGAAGCCTTACAACTGCAGCCAGTGTGGCAAGTTCTTTAGCTTCAGCTTCTATCTCAGGAAGCACCAGCGCCTGCACACTGGGGAGTAGCCCTACCACTGCTCCATCGGCCAGAAGCATCAGAGCAGGATGCACACATAGCCGAGGAGCGGGAAATCTCAGAATCCACACCCAAGTGGCAGGTCCTGAGTCCATGGGTCAGTACTAGACTTGACATTGGAGCCCACAAGTAGGGTACCGGAGAAGTCCTACCCAGAAGGGTCATCGAGGCACTGGGGACAGGCCGTACCATGCTCACTTTTGCTTTTGTAGCATCTGCAGGGCCATGTGGAAAGCAGGCCCCTACAGGTCCTGTATCGGAGTGTGACCTGGGGCACTGTGTCTCCTCACTGAGCTGGAGAAAGCTGACCTGTGAGCTTGGACAATGCATTTAGTACCTCTAGGGCTCCCATCTCTTCAGTAGAAAAGTGGAGAAGTCGGAGTAGAAAGGAAGAGGGGTAGATAGTCTGCATGGGGACATTGTCACTTTGTCACACAAGACTGGGTTTTGTCCAGAGATCGGGATGTCACTGTCTGTGTGTTTCCTCCTTTTCCCCACACAGGGCCCCTAGTTTCCCTGCAACACCAGCTGGAAGGCCCCAAGCTCATGAGCTGTAGAAGTTAGCAGTTGGTTCACGAGGAGGAAAAAAATTTTTTTTCAGGATTAGGAAGTACCAGTACTGGCTTCAGATACCAAAGTTTATCACAGTGGCCTGCTAAATTTTTTTTAAATAAAACTTTGAATTAAGTGAGACCAGTGGTATTTTGAACAGTCATCAGGTGCAAAAGACGCAGGGACCAGTTTCCTGTCCAAATGAGTGTCAGTGCTTTGGGGGAGGGAGCGCCAATAGGACACCCAAACCTAAGGAACCTAGCAAGCCCACCCCGGGCCACCTGTGCCTGGTGGCCCTGGATTCCTGGCTTGGCAATGGTCGCACCATGTCTCATGCCTATTAGCAGAAGAGTTTTCTTTGGGGTTTGCTGGTCTTCCATGATGATGAAGAAATATTTTCAGGAAATGACATCTGCCCACAGCACACATAGTCCCCCCAGCAGCATGAAGGAGGCACGCTCGGAGTGGCAACAATGGCATCACCTAAGGATCCTTAGCAGATTGGCTACGTATATTCACTCTATCTGGGTAAGAACTGGTGAGGAAGAGCTGAAGATGCCCATAATATAAGATGCTCTGAGATACAGCATTAAATGAAAGACCAATGGACAATAGTATCTGCATTCTCCTTTGTGTTTTACTTTTTGGGGGAAGAAATACAACTTCATAGAAATTTACTGCATTTTATCATACAAAAGCCTAAGACCAGCAGGACAGTAGAAAAGTAGAAAGCTTACATTTTCAGTATTGTATTGCCTTTAAAATGGCATTTTATTTTCTTATGGGCAAAAATGTATGAGATTTACTGTCTTTTTTTTTAATCCTCACCTGAGGATATGTTTATTAATTTGAGAGAAAGGGAGAGAGAGATTGCTATGAGAAATGCATTTTGACATTTTTATTCACCCAGCAAATCATCCTTGTGATGCAGACACGTTCAATTAGCCCAGGAAGTTTTTCTTTCATTTTCTTTTGCCCATCCCCCACTCCCCAGTGACCAACCACTATGATTTATTTGGCCTATTCTAGAATTTTATATGTATGGAATCATATGCCATGTACTCTTTTTATCTTACTTCGTACACTTGGCTTTTTTTTTTTTTGAGGTTATGTCATCTGTGTGTATCCGTGGTGCTCTCTTTTTTTCTTTATTTTTATTTCTAAATCCTATCCGAGGATATGTTTATTGATTTGGAAAAAGTGTGTGAGAAACATCAATCGGTTGCCTCCCATAGAGGCTAAAACATGTGATCAAACCCACAATCTCTTGGTGCGCAGGGTGACACTCCAGTCAACCATGTCACCCAGTGAGGGCTATAGATGACTCCTTATTGCTGAGTAACATTCTACATCATGGAGAGTCCACGGTATATTTAGCCATTCACTGGATGGTAAACATATGGGTCGTGTCCAGTTGTGGACATCTTTCTGCAGACACAGTCTGACCTTTCTGTTGAGAATAGTTGGGTCATACATAGGAACATATTTAACTTTTTTAGAAACTGCCAAACTTTTTCCTGAAGTTGTGTCATTTTTTTGTCTCCACCAGTGCACTCTGGGAATTTCATTGCTCCGTGTGCTTGTCAGAACTGAACATGCTCAGTCTCTCATGGAGCCGTTCTCGTGGGTGTGCAGTCTTACCCGCCTCCAGCTTGCAGCTGGTACTGAGAACCTTTGCAGGTGCTTATTCGCCTGCCGCTGGTGTATTCTATTCAGCAAAGTGTCTGGTTCAAGTCTTTTGCCGTTTTTTTTTTAAACTGGGATGTTTGCTTCCCTATTAATTTTTCAAAGTTCTGTACATATTCTTTTGTTGTTAATTTTTGCTCTAAGTTCGTTATCAGATAGATATTTGGCAACTGCTTCTCCCATTCTGTGGGTATTCTTTTTCTTGATGTTATCATTTGGAATGCAAACGTTTTTAATGTTGATGGGGTACAGTTTATTTATTTTATTGTTCTTTGTGCTTTAGATGTTATATCTGAGGAACCATTGCATAACCAAAGGCCACAAAGATTCACGCCTGTTTATAAGTTTTAGAATTTTAGCTATTCATTATTCAGGGAGACCAATGTCATTTTAAACACTCTGGGTGCAAAAGGTAGAGGAACAGGTTGTCCTGTCAAACTGAGTGTGAACGCTTGTGTGGGGGAAGGAGGTCGGAATACCCCCACAGGAACCCCAGCAACCCAGCCAGCCAGCCCCAGGCCACCTGCCTCTCCCAGCCCTGCATTCCTGGCTTGGGAATGGTCAGACCAGAAGGCAGGACCCAGGCCCTCGGCAGCAGAGATCATGCAAGGGCACCTCTTGCAGAAACCCAGCCCTGTGGACCCCCGCCCCCCCCCCCCCCCCCAGAGCTGTTACTAGAGAAAAATCCTCTCACATCACAGGCTGTCCCTCCCACCCCACTGGCTGGAACTCTTGTAAAAACAGAATACCTTCAGCCAGAAGGGGGTAAATCCAATCTATGGCTGTATGCTTCACACACAGCCACACTCATGGTGTACTTAAGGTTTCATTTTTGATGATAGCAATCTATTACCACTATTAAATAACAGTATAAGGGCCCTGGCTGGTGTAGCTCAGTGGATTGAGTGCGGGCCTGCTGAAACAAAAGATCGAGGTTCGATTCCCAGTCAGGGCATGTGCCTGGGTTGCAGGCCAGTTCCTAGCAGGGGACACATGAGAGGCAACCATACATTGATATTTCTCTCCCTCTCTTTCTCCTTCCCTTCCCCTCTAAAGAAAGATAAATAAAATCTTTAAAAAAAGTAAATAACAATATAAGAATGTTGCTCTTAACAATAAAATAATACATAAAGGATTTTTAGGAGATTTTGTTTATTTTTAGAAGGAGGGGAAGGGAGGGAGAAATGGAGAGTAACATCAATGTTCACATTGTACAACCAAGGATACACTAATTAGTTATCTCTTGCACATCCCCAACTGGGAACCTGGCCTGCAACCCAGACACGTGCCCTGACTAGAAATTGAACCGGCGAACTTCTGGTTTGCAGGCTGGCATGGCGTTCAATCCACTGAGCCACACCGGCCAGGGCAAACATTAAAAAAAATTTTTTTTTAAGATCTTATTTATTTTTAGACAGAGGTGAAGAGAGGAGAGAAACAGCCAGCACACATCAATTGATTGTCCTTCACAGGCCCCCAACTGGAAACCCATCGGGCCACAAGCTGGTGCTTAATCCACTGAGCCATATCAGCCAGGGTGCCATGCTGTATTCTTATAAAAAGAGTAATATCCTTTGACTCCTCCCTACATAAAAACCAAAACTTTGCCAATAACTCATATACCCCTACATAGAACTACAATTTTCCCCAAGCCAAGGACACCATCATGAATTCACAAACATGAATTCTTGCATGTTTGTCTTGATTTTCATTTTGGGGGGGTACATTTTTTTCCCCCACAGAAATGTGTTTGAAACTCCGTGTTAATTTCAGTCAGGTTGTACCCAGGCCCTGCTACCCTAAAAGACAAAGCTGCCTGTTAAAAATGACTGCAGTATTTGCCCTTATCTGCTTTCATCCCACACTCCCCTCGGCCCAAAGAGCTTTGTTTCCAGACAATAGCAGGGATCCATCCAGGCAGATCTGTTCTTTGAAGCAGAGGTAGGGAGAGCTCTGTGTTCTGCCTAGATCAGGCACAGCTCCAGCGGTCTGACTCATCAGGGACAGGTTTCCCAATGATGTTCCGCACAACGGCCTGGTCTATGGGAAAAGGGTTCAGAACCACAGACAACTCAGCTGGCCAGTCTCCATAACTTGAACAGGTCTATATGAAAGAACGGTTCAGCCCTGTCCTGGTAGCTCACTTAGACGGAGCATCCCCTTGTGCACCAAAAGGTGGACTGCAATAGATCAATGTTGCTTTCTCACATCAATTTCTCTCTTCCTTCCTCTCTCACCAAAATCAATGAGCATATCTTTGGTTGAGGAGGAGAAAAGGAAGAAAAAACATCATTAATCACAACCTAAGGTGGCTGCAGTTTTCCTTTTGATGGTCACCGCGACATTCAGCAAATGCTTTTGCACTTGGGTTGTAGTTATTGGGTGTAAGAATGCCCCAGCTTGGAGACCTCTTTCCCACCCCAACTCCTTCCCTTTCCTCTGCTGTGACCTCCCTTGTCTGTACTAATGTCTTCATGTGGAGAGTAGCTTGATTGCCAGGAATAAATGATTTCCTACATCTTAATGATAGATAGCCAGGCAGGACCACTGAGAGGAGGCAAGGGCAGGAATGGGAGGGGCCACCTGAGGAAATCTCCATCTTTCCTGGGCCAAGGTTAGGCTGCAGGAAGGGTGGAATTGCCTTTGGTATCTGAGCACCTGCTTGAAAGGTGAAGCATCCTATCCTGGAGGCAGATACCCTGCCTGGGGCAAGAGGGCAGCAGAAGGAACTTAAGTATTGCACTGAGTAGGCAAAATTCTAGCAAGATGAATGGATAGGGGGGAAAAATCTAAACTCTCTTGGTACCTGATTGGGGAGGGGACCATGGGAAGCTGAGCATGTGCACCATATAGGTCAGAATGGCAGAAGGGGAGAGGTGCTGGACCAAAGACTAGCTGTCAGTCTAGCCAGGGGAGAGAAAGAGATTGGTCATGGGTGAACCACCCCCTCTTCAGTGCGGAAGTTTGCAAAGTTCGTTAGCCATTCAGACCATCCATCCTACACCGGAAACTAACATAAACCTAGGGACCCGAGGGGGATGCTCTCTTGCCCACCTGGAGAACTTACTAGCGGATGAGTTTTAAAGGAACCTTGTGAACAGGGAAGCAGTCTAGCCAACTTCAGCCCCAGCGGTTTCCACAAGGGAGCCTGAATCAGGATAGTAGCCAGGAGCAAGCTGAGCCGCCTAGGTGACTGCTCAGCGGCACCCGCAGTTCCTCAAAGACTATACTTTTTTTTTCTAGTATATTTTATTGATTATGCCATTACAGTTGTCCCATCCCCCCCCTTCATTGCCCTCCACCCTGCACACCTCCTCCCCAAAAGACTATACTTTCAATGGGAGCAGGAACTCTGGAGTTCTCCTCGTTCTTCCGGAGAGAATGAGTTTTGAGACAAGAGTTTGCCGTTCTCCCCGACCCTGAAGCATCTGAATGAAAAACTCCTTGCCCTTCTCACCCGCCTCTGACTCTAGAGCTTGCCTATTGGGGACGACTGGCAGCGGGACCCACACTTTGTTTCCGTAAGAATAATATGCCCAGAACAGGGACTAGCACATAATGGGAAAGGCTGATACTTTCTGGTTACGATCCTTTACTTTCTTTTCTCTGCACGTTTTAAAACTTTGTGCAAGTCCCCGCAACTATCAGAACCCCGTGCCTCAACACAGGATGTCTGCCAAGAGGCTACAGCATCTTTTCCGACCTCCATCCATGTCCCGCCTTTTCAGCAATTTTCCTCCCCCTCCCTCCTCTCCAGCTCCCTCTGCTCCCCATCCGCAACCCCACCGCCCTGCACCCGTGGCTTCCTCTCTCCCCACACCCTGGGCATCCATTTCCTGGGCTCACCCCGCACTTCCCACCTCAGGGTCCCCCTCTCGCTCCCCTCTCCACTGTGTCACCTTCCTCCTCATAACCCACTAACCCCACCTTCTTGACCGAGGTGCCTCGGGGGCTTCTGGGACGTGGAACGTAGCTAGCCCGCCTGTCCGGTTAAAGTCCAGTTCAAGTCAGGTCTGCAGGGCCAGCTCGAAGCGGAGGCGGGAGCAGAAAACACAGCAGCGCGCAGGGTTCTGGGAAGTGTAGTCCGCCCCTCCGCGCAGGCACAGTACGACCCTGAGGCTTGGCGGAAGCCGATCACTTTCCTCAAAGTGTAGAGTCCAGAATCTGGCTGCGGACGAGTCTGGAGCGGAAGGAGGCAGCCTGCTGGTCCGGGGATGGGGCTTGTTACTCGGGAGGGGGTGCGGATCGGGGCCTGTTCCTGTGGGTGAAGGTGATGCCCGTGGCTGTGTTTGAGTGTTTGTTGGGCTGAGAAACCCGGCTCTTCACTGCGAATGTGTCTCCGCGCTTGTCACCGCGTATGTCCGGGTGGCCTCCTGTGTCTCCCCTTTGATTGTGGGTAGGTCGGCTGCCTGTATCGGTTTCTGCGGGATACCTCAGGGTGCACGGCTGTGTGTGTGTCTGCCTTTGTTTCCCTCCGCGGTGTCAGCAAGGACGCCATCCAGGTGTCCACCTGTGTCTGGTCTCTTCCTCTGCACCTGTCTGTGTGTCTGGTGCGAGTGTGTCTGTGCGTGTGAGGGTCTGTCTCTCCTGTTCAGGCCTTCCCCTGTCTGTGTGCACCTGCACCTCTGTCTCTGGGCATTGCTGACATGTGCGAGTGGGTGCGTCCGGGGTGCCCCCCATCCCTCCAGAGCGTGGGAAAGCCAGCGCTCCTGGACAGGCAGGCCTGGCGGAGCTGGTCCCGGGAGGGTAGGACATGTGTGATAGCATGGAGTGGGGCTAAGGAACAAGGTCAGAGACCCTACCTTATGCTGACCAGGGTGGATTTGTTAAGGCAGGGCATGTTGAGTGCTCAGGGTATCGTTCTGGGCATTTCATAGGCCTGCCAGTAACTCTGAGGTAAGGACTCTCGCCAAGCCCATTTTGCAGATGGGGAAACTGAGGCTCAGAGACTGTAAGTGACTCACCCAGCTGGACACCCAGGCATCTGGGTTGCAAAACCCCCACACTAACCACTCCACAGATCACAAATCCTTGTTTCCCTTAGAAACATTGGACGGCAGGAAATGCCAGAAAGCTTGGACAGGGGAGCAGGAGTAGCTGCCACATCTGGCTCTGCAGACACAGATCGGAGGCCACGCTGGGTTCAGAGGTCACCAGTCCTGTGCACATGCCACTTCCAGGACCACTGTGCCTTCATGGCCTCCTTTTAAATAAAGTAAAAAATTAAAGTTGTGATTGCATTGCTGAAAGGGTAAAAAAAAGTCTAGGGTAGATTAGATTCATGTTTTCTCTTATAACGTTAAAAGAAATGATGATATTTTCAAGATCCTGTAGGGGTGTCGGGACCAGGGCCCACTGTGCTTCCTGGGTAAATTGGCTCTGGGGGGCTTCATTGTCCTTCAATAGGAGCCTGTGTTGTTGCCCTCAAGGTGCAAGGATTGGAGTTAGAAACCACAAGTCCAGAAGGAATACATTGGTAAAAATTAAATTCTGTTAAAAAAATCATGAAATCACTGCACCCAAGGGCATAACTCCTGCTTCTGGGAGGCAAACATGGAATTTCAGCCTGGATGCCCAGCATCTATCCACCCATCTAGTATTGGTTGGTTGGTTGGAGTTTATTTCTAGGAACAGTGCTACAATAAACATCATTTATATTTTTATTGATTTGAGAGAGAGAGGAGCATTGATCAGATTCCTCCCACTTATACTCCGACCTGGGGTCAGGGGATGAAACCTGCAACCCAGACCCAGTCCACGACCAGGGATCGACCCTGACCTTTTGTGTTCAGGACGATGCTCCCACCAATGCAGTCACACAGCTCCATGCTCCCTCATGTGACTGATCTGTGAGCCTCACAGTAACCCCAGGAGATCTGGAGGAGACCTGGAGGATTGTTTTGGTGTTGGGGTGTGTTCTCAGCATGGGGCAGGCAGTTGGACCTGTGTGGGGGCAGAGAGACCTGTTCTTCTCTCCAGGCTATGGGACTGACTGTGTGCGACTGCATGTGTGTTGGTGGAGCGTCAGCGTGTGTGTGTGTGTGTGTGTGTGTGTGTGCCAGGTGCACCAAGCACATGGACCCTGATGTACTCAGCCCAATCCTAATCCCACCCTTATCTTCTTGTGGGCATGACTTGCCTTTTGGGCCTCAGTTTCCTCATCTCTAAAATGGGGTGAGTGGAAATAGCCCCCACCTTGTAGGATGTCATGAAGATTAAATCAGGAACTTTTGTCCAGAGCCTTGGACGACATAGGCCCCCCCAGTGTGATCACTATTAACGTGTGTGTGTCCCTGTCTGCCTGTCTCCTAGGTGGCGTATCTGTTTGTCCTGTCTGCACTGTGGGGCGGGCCTTCACCTGATCTCTCAGGGTGCCTTTCTCTTTCTCCCCCTGCACACAGCCTGCTCTGCCCCTGGTCACCATGGGCACTGGAAGGATGGCCACCCAGCCGCTGACCACGAAGGCCCTGGTGAGTCATGTCACCGTGTCCCACCGCCTTCCTTAGGGTCAGGCTTCTGGGCAGGATGACCGTTTGCCCTGCCAAATGCCCTCGGGGCCCATACCCCTGTCTGGGTCTCATGGGGTTGTGTCCACCCTGAGCTGGGAGAGCACTGTCCCGACACTGTTGATTTTCTACTGCAGGGGACAGAATGGCTCAGGAGTGAGCTGTCCTACCTGGGGGCTCTCAGGAGACACCAGTGAGCACCTGGGAAGTGGTGGCTTAAACACAGTCAGTGAAGTGTGACAGAGGCCCTGGGCAGGACGTGCTGAATGAGGGACCTTCAGAAGTGGGCAGACAGCACTGAATGCCCAGGGGACTGGAGGGGGCTGGGAGGAGGACGCCTGTGGTGAGGGACCCGTGAATGCCCCTGGTTGTGGACGTGATGTTTTACAGTGTTTCAGTGGGCGGCTATGTGTGGTATTTTTCTCTAAATTTCCTTCTGTGGGAAAAATACATCATAGTAAAAGCATAGAGAGGCAGCTCAGTCGGTTAGAGAATCAACTTGATGTGACAAGGTTGTGCGTTCTTGGTCAGGGCACTTACAGGAAGCAACAAATTCTGCAATAAGTGGAACACCATCTCTCTCTCGCTCCTCTCAAATTAATACTTTTAAAAACATTTAATTAATATATTTTTAGAGGGAGTGGAAGGGAGAAAGAGAGGTAGAGAAATATCAGTGTGTGAGAGAAACATCGATGTGTTGCCTCTCAGCCTGCAACCCAGGCATGTGCCCTGACTGGCGATCAAACGGGCAACCCTTCGGTTCACAGGCCAGTGCTCAATCCACTGAGCCACACCAGCCAGGGCACAAATCAACAAACTTATATTCTTACGTATGTATGTATCTGTATATATGTTTGGAGGGAAATCTTTTTTGTTTTATATCATCACCAGAGGATATGTTCACTGAACTGCAAGGAGAGAGCTAGAGAGCCACAGAGATTGTGAGAGAGAAACATCCATCTGTAGCCTCCCACGCGCGCCCCAGCCCCAGATCAAACCCACAACCTTTTGGTGTGGGAGACAGCACTCCAACCCACTAAGCCACCCAGCCACGGCTGCGCATAAATCTTTGCCCTGCATTTTGTTTGATATTTTTTAAAATTTCTTTTTAATTGGGGAAGGGGAGGAACTGTGTAAAGATTTTATTTTTTTAATTTTAATTAGAGATTTTATTTATCTTTACAGGGGAAGGGAAGGAGAGAGGGAGAGAAATATTAATGTATGGTTGCCTCTCATGCATCCCCTGCTGGGAACTGGCCTGCAACCCAGGCATGTGCCCTGACTGGGAATCAAACAGCAATTGTTTGGTTCCCAGGCCTGTGCTCAATCCACTGAGCTACACCAGCCAAGGCAGATTTAATTTTTTTAGAGAGACGGGAAGGGTTAGAGAAATAGAAGGACAGAAACAATGTTGTGGGAGACAAACGTGGCTGGGTTGCCTCTTGCATGACCCCAAATGGGGACCTGAACCCCAAACCAGATGTGTGCCCCGACTGGGAATGGAACAGGAGACCTTATGGTTTGCAGACCAGCGCCCAATCCACTGAATCCCATTAGCCAGGTCTTTATGATTTCTTTGCGGGTGATTCCTTACAGAGGAACGTTGGTGTGGGTATTTTTAAGGCCTGGAAGAGTCTTCACATTTCTGGGTCGGGACCATTTATTCTCCTACCAGGTGCAGCAGGGGCTGCCACTGTTTCACATTGGTGTTTGTTAGGTGCTTATTCTGCTCAATGACTATAAATAACAAGTGGCATAAACTATACATATGATAGGCGATAACAGATGTCACGTGACCTCTTTCTGAGTAGCATCATTTGTGATATTAGTGAGGTTCCATCTTTAGAAGATGTTTACTTGCCATTTATGCAGGAGGGCAAAGTGTTTATCCTGTGTGTTGCTGGCCCTAAGGAATCTTAATATTCTTAAAGGTTTTAATTTTTTTAAAGTTTATTTATTTTTAGAGAGAAGGGAAGAGAGGGAGAGAAATTTTGATGTTTGAGAGAAACATTGACTGATTTCCTCCCATATGCGCCCCAGTACGGGACCGCACCCTCAGTCTTTGGTTGTACAGATACTGCTCCAACTACCTGAGCTACCTGGCCAGAGCTGGACATTTCTTATCAATGGAATCATACATATGGTTTTTGTATCTGTCTGCTTTCCCTGAGCATCATGTTTTTAATGTTCCTCTCTGTTGCAGCAGGCATCCTTTTTCATGGCTGTATGCTATTCCACTGAACAGGTAGACCCTGTGTGTATGGATTTATCAGGTGTACATTTGGGTTGTTTCCACTTTATGGTTGTTATTGGTAATACTGCTATGAACATTTCATGTGTAGATTTTTGTTTGAACCTCTCATTTCTCTTGAGTATATGAGAGGAAACTAAGATCCTTTCATAACTGTATTTAACCATTTAGAGAACGATCCGGTTTTCCATCACAGCTGCACCACGATGTCTCCACTGTTACTGTCTCTGTGATGGTTGCCCTGGTTTCCTCCTTCAGCAACATTGTACAGGATTCCCAACGGTTGTCATTTATGTGGTTGGAATTTGGAGGTTCAGCTGTTTTTCAAGTCTCTTTTAGTGTAATTACTTTCTCATTTTTCCAAAAATGGAATCTTGCCTGGCTTGTTGGCTCAGTTGGTTGTAGCATTGTCCTGCACACTGAAATGTTGTGAAATGGATCCCCGGTCAGGGCACATGCATGAGGCCAACGGGTCGATGTCTCTCTCTCTCTCTGACACAACCTTTCTCTCACTCTAAAGTCAATAAAGATATCTTTCAGTGAGAAATAAAAGGAAAAAATGGAGCCTGATTTCAGCTCTTTGGAAGTGGGTAAGTTTTTTTCTGTGGCAAAGTGGTTTGTGCCATTAGACAAGAATCCAAAATAGTTGGAGCCTGGAAATGAAGGACCTCAGTTATGTGCCTGCAGAGCACTCTGAAGGCTTTGGCGCACTCAAAGGGAAGCCCCATTTCTAGGAGAATCTCCCGAGCCTTCTGACGAGGGGCCCTGTGTCTCACCTCCACACCCTTATGTTCCGTGTGGGCTCCCAGATGCCCAGGATCTTCTCTGGTTGTCAGCTCATCCAGCCGGAGCTCAGTGCATGGAGCCTGCTCAGTAAAAATTTCATTAAGTGAATTAATTCAGGCTGGGAGACTTGGAGTATCAGTTATATTTAAAAATTAAAATGATGCCCTGGCTGGTGCGGCTCAGTGGATTGAGTGCCTGCCTGCCAGCCAAAGGGTCACCAGTTTGATTCCCAGTCAGGGCACATGCCTGGGCTGTGGGCTGGGGCCCCAGCGGGGGTCACTCCAGGGGCAACCACACATTCATTTCTCTCCCTCTTTCTCCCTGCCTTCCCCTCTCTAAAAATAAAAATAAATATAAATAAATTGATCTAAAATTTTTTTTAAGAAATTAAAATGATTCCCAGCAGGGGACGCACTAGAGGCAACCATACATTGATGTTTCTCTCCCTCTCTCCTTCCCCTCTAAAGACAAATAAATAAATAAATATTTAAAAAAAAAAGAAATTAAAATGAAATAAGAACCAAAAAATGGAAAAAAAGAAATAAGTACAATAATAAAGGGGGCAGGAGGAAAGTGGGAGGTGGTGGATGGGCACATGGCCTCACTGGTCATTTCCAAGGTGTGTACTTATTGGGTTGGCCAAAATGTTCCCTACGTTTTTTTCATAAAGTAAAAGACGTTTTTCGTTTTCAGCAGTAACTGTTGATTTGGATATTTTGGCATCAGCATTCTCAGGACTCTGCTGTGTAGTCCTCAGGTCTTGACTCACCTGCCCCCATTTAGAATCTCCCTCCATGTACCCAAGCACAGACCACGGCTTCTAATTTCCCGGACACCCTCCAGCACTGCTGCTGCTCAGGGCTCCTGTCACGATGGTATTGCCGGTTGTGGGTCTTTTTCGGGTGTTTTTATTTGACAGGTGTGAGGTGCTATCTCACTGAGGTTTTAATTTGCAACTCTCTGATGATGAATGACGTTGAGTATTTTTTCATGTTTGTTGGCCCTCTGTATGTTGTCTTTGGAGAATTGTGTATTCAGGCCCTTCGCCCTTTGTTTACTTGGGTTGTTTGTCTCCCTGGTGAACAGCCCCATAGTTTATTTGTTCCTCCAAGGACCATCCAGTGACTTAGGCACCAAGGACACTGAATGGTCAGCCCCTTCAGAGCTCTGCACCTTGTTGACATGTCAAGTACATCCTGTGTGCCTTCCTGATCCTCTCAGCCTTTCTGGCGGCGTCTCCTGACCTCTGTGAGTGAGTGGTGTGCGCTTCCTCTTACAGGGGTCGGTGACATTCAGGGATGTGATCGTGGACTTCACCCAGGAGGAGTGGCAGCAGCTGCAGCCTGCGCAGAAGGACCTGTACAGGGACGTGATGATGGAGACCTACTGGAACCTGGTCTCGCTGGGTAAGGGGGCAGCTTCACTGAGTTACTCACCATGCGCCTGTCACTTCAGGATGACACAGAAATAGAGAAGGTGGACACATGTGACAATAGAATATTCAAATTTCTCAAAGTAAAAATAAAGCTGATAGGTGATAAAATGGGGAAGAGTATTTACTGCCTGTATAACATTGAGAGGCTTATAAATATATAAATCGCTCCTTGGAATAAATGAGAAAAGGACCAAATGAAAATAGATGATCCAGCTTATGAACATGCAGTTCACAGATGCAGAAATTCACAGGTTTACACTTTACAAAAGATTTGTACACCTTACTAATAGTCAAGGAAATACGGTTGAGTCACAGAAATACAATTCTTGCCCATGAGGTACACACAGATGAAAAAGAATGTGAGATGAGGCCAGGTGTGGCTCAGTTGGTCGCAGCTTCACCCTGTGCATCAAAAGTTGTGGGTTTGATTTCCTGTCAAGATACATACTTAGGTTGTGAGTTTGCCCTCCAGGCGGGGCACATCTGTTAGGTAACTGATTGATGTTTCTGTCTGTCTCTCTCCCCCCCGCATCTTCCTGCCCACTTCCCTTCTTCCTCTCTAGGCGAGGCATAAAAAAAAGTAAGAGCATCTTGTATTTTGAGGGTGCAGGGAAAGGGACTCTTCATTTTAGGAGCATAAAGTTGTGACGACAGTGCGGTGTCATTAATCAAATTTCAAATGCTGTTGCCTCTGGTCCTCAGGGTACTGGGAAAGTGTTGGAGGGTTTGCTCTGACTCCTGAGCTCTTCTCTCGGAGTGGACAGTGGGTTGCAGAGAGTGGGGGAGGCTGCTGCATTGTGGCCATGATGGTGCATCGGTCTGGTCCAGTTCAAGGTGTCCTCTTGTGTGACGGCATCTGTTAACAGTCAGGGCGGTGGGAGGGAAGGGGTGAGCCAAGGATGACTAGTGAATCTTTTTTTTAAAGATGTTATTTATTCATTCATTTATTCATGTATTTATTTTTAGACAGAGGGGAAGGGAGGGAGAGAGAGAAACATCAATGTGTGGTTGCCTCTCGTACACCCCCAACTGGGGACCCGGCCTGCTACCTAGGCATGTGCTCTGATTGGGAATCATATCAGCGACCCTTTGGTTCCCAGGCCAGCACTCAATCCACTGAGCCACACCAGCCAGGGCTGAATCATTTTTAAAATTTATTATAAATATATTTCTGGCCCTGGCTGGTGTAGCTCAGTGGATTGAGCACGGGCCTGCAAACCAAAAGATCGCGGTTCGATTTCCAGTCAGGGCACATGCCTAGGTTGCAGGCCAGTTCCTGTAAAGATAAATAAATAAAAAAAAATTTTTTTTAAATGTTTAAAAATAAAATTTATTTATTTATTTATTTTCTTAATGGTTGAAAACACACATAACATAAAATTAACTATTTAACTATTTTGTTTCTGACTGTTTAACTATATTGACATGTACAGTTCCATGGCATGGAATACCTTCACATTATTGTTTAACCATCACCACCATCCATTTCCAGAATTCTTAATCATCACCAACTAACCATCTGTCACCTCTGACGAGCAGATCCCCGTCCCCGTCCCCGAGCCCTGGTACCCATGTCCTACTACTCTCTCTCAATTTGATGGTTGTAGTTGTTGCCTCCTGTGAGTGGAATCATATGATATCGGTCATGTCCAAAACACTACTGGACGCTTAGCTTGCTTTGCTAAGTCTTTTTGATAGAACTCTTTTTCTTTTTATTATTTGGGACTGGCGGTTCCGAAAGCACAAGTCTCTCATCCGATGTGTTAGGTTGTGATATCTGAGAGGGGCACCCTGTAGGCCGTGGATTATTCCTCAGCAGAGCTCGGGGCGGGGGGGGGGGGGTACAGACAGGGACATGCATTTAGGAGATGTCAGCATGGAGAAGGGACTGAAATTTGGACTCCCAGTACTCAGGGGGTGGGTCTCTAGCTCAGGGTTTATGGGCCAGAGAGGGGGCTTAAAGGGCCATCAGACAAGGGCCATTGGAGCCTGGAAATGAAGGACCTCAGTCATGTGCCTGCAGAGCACTCTGAAGGCTTTGGTGCACTCAAAGGGAAGCCCCATTTCTAGGAGAATCTCCCGAGCCTTCTGACGAGGGGCCCTGTGTCTCATCTCTACACCCTTATGTTCCGTGTGGGCCCCCAGACGCCCAGGATCTTCTCAGGTTGTCAGCTCATCCAGCTGGAGCTCAGTGCATGGAGCCTGCTCAGTAAAAATTTCATTAAGTGAGTTGATTCAGGCTGGGAGACTCTGAGTGTCAGTTATATTTAAAAATTAAAATGATGCCCTGGCTGGTGTGGCTCAGTGGATTGAGTGCCTGCCTGCCAGCCAAAGGGTCACCAGTTTCATTCCCAGTCAGGGCACAGGCCTGGGCTGTGGGCTGGGGCCCCAGTAGGGGGCGCACCAGGGGTAGCCACACATTCGTTTCTCCCCCTCTTTCTCCCTGCCTGCAAAGGAGACAGCTGCTTACTATTGCCACTTTCTTGTTACCTCCTGTGAAGGAGGGCTCTGTGTGGCAGGGTCTTCCCTTATTTTGTTAAAGATTTTATTTATTTCCTTTTAGAGAGAGGGGAAGGGAGGGAGAAAGGGAGAGAAACATCCATGTGTGAGAGACATGTGGATCAGTTGCCTATCACAGCCCCCGACTAGGGACCTGGCCTGCAATCCAGGCATGTGCCCTGACTGGGAATTGAATCAGCGACCTTTCGGTTCACAGTCTGGTGCTCAGTCCACTGAGCCACACCAGCCAGGGAAGGTTCTTTGCTTTTTTAGTGAGATTTTTGTGTAAGATCTCACAGTTTTTGGAATTTGGAAGGAACCCTGATGTCCATGTGCAGAGTCCAGAACACAGGACAGCCCCCTAGGCTTGGAAAAGAGATGAGGAATTCACAGGACACATCGTGAGGGGACTGGAGCAGCTGTGGTCAACAAGGAGGGACGAGTGTGCAAAGAGGAGAGCGAGGGACCAGCAGCCAGGGCTGGGCCACCCCTGGACAACGTAGGAAGGCAGGAGCTTGGCTGGGGAGTGGGCAGACAGAGGACAACGAGAAGCCACATATGAGTCAGTTCTTACTTTATCATTTCTAATTAAGTCAATGCTTTGAGAAGCACAGTTGGATGGGGACATGCAGGACGAGGCCCGGAAGCCAACGGCCGGTGCAATGAACCCTCACTGCGCTTGTGGGGTCCTTTGATCTGTTCCTCTGGGCCCACCTTCCTCTTTCTCTTCAGGGTCTGTCCGCCCAGCTCTGAGCTCCCCTGGCAGCCTTTCCACCCACTCCCAAGGGGACCCTTCTCTCTCTGCTCACCTCACTGCAGTTCACTGTCTCAGCTCACTGCTTCCCATCTCCCTTGGTTCCCAGAGCAGGCTGTCCCCTGCTCTCAGGCTGTGCCTTGTCATGTCTTCAGAAGGTCCTCCCTCCCAGCTTTGTTAACTCCACGTGTGTCCTCATCTCTTTCCCCCTCCCCTCAGATTTGGAGACTAGACCTGAAAGGAAAGAATCAGACCCACAGGAGGACAACTGGAAAGGCAGACCATCCACTACGGTGGTTGCAGAAGGAGCCACAAGGAATGGTGCCTGGGGTTGCGTCTGGGAAGGAGCAGCGGGGACACAGGGTGACTGGATAGGGTGGCGACAGGGGAGCCCGTGTACCTGTTGGGGGTGTTTGGACATGTCTCAGGCATTAGCCCCTGAATGTTGTGGATTTAAGGCATTCGACCAAAGCCCCATGCCAGCCCCAATGAGATCGGAAGGACTGAGAGGAGCAGGGACGCACCTGTTCACCATGTGTAGGAAGGACTCGGGTACTTCAAGCCTCGGTCCTCCCTCCAAACTCCATGCAGAGAAGCCCTATGAGTGCGGACAGTGTGGCAAGGCTTTCAGCTATAAGTCGTCCCTGAGCGAGCACCAACGAATCCACACTGGGGAGAAGCCTTTCTCATGCGCCACGTGCGGTAAGCAGTTCACCCTGCGGTCTTCCCTCACCACCCACCAGCGCCTGCACACCGGGGAGAAGCCGTACGTGTGTGGTGCCTGCAGCAAGGCCTTCAGCCAGAAGGCTCACCTCATGCAGCACCAGAGGACGCACACCGGGGAGAGTCCGTACACATGTGGGGACTGTGGCAAGGCCTTCAGCCAGAAGGCGCACGTCATACAGCACCAGAGGACACACACTGGAGAGAAGCCGTATGCATGCGGGGCCTGTGGAAAGGTGTTTAGCCAGAAAGGGAACATCATCCGGCACCAGAGGACGCACACTGGAGAGAAGCCGTATGTGTGCAAGGACTGTGGAATGGCCTTCAGGCTGAACAGGAAACTCATTGAGCATCAGAGTACGCACACTGGGGTGAAGCCCTATTTCTGTTGGGACTGCGGCATGGCCTTCAGTCGCAATGATTACCTCATCGCACACCAAAGGACGCACACCGGGGAGAAGCCTTACGTGTGCGGAGACTGTGGCAAGGCCTTCATGCACAACAGGAGCCTTATTGCCCACCAGAGGACGCACACCGGGGAGAAACCATATGCGTGCAGGGACTGCGGCAAGGCCTTCAGCCGGCAGGAGTGCCTGAAAGCTCACCAGAGGACACACACCGGGGAGAAGCTGTATGCGTGCAGAGATTGTGGCAAGGCCTTCAGACATAAGGGGAACCTCAGCCTGCACCAGAGGACTCATACAGGGGTGAAGGCGTATGTGTGCAGCACCTGCGGCAAGGCGTTCAGCCGCAACAGGAGCCTCGTTGTCCACCAGAGGATGCACACTGGGGAGAAGCCGTACGCATGCACAGACTGTGAAAAGGCCTTCAGTCGGAGTGAGCACCTCATGGTGCATCAGCGGACACACACGGGCGAGAAGCCGTATATGTGTGGCCAGTGCGGCAAGGACTTCACGCAGAACTACTCTCTCAGGGAGCACCAGCGCGTGCACACCGGGGAGAAGCCCTACACGTGTGACCAGTGTGGCAAGGCCTTCAGGCAAAACTCCTCACTCAGGGAGCACCAGCATGTGCACACCAGGGAGAAGCCCTATGCGTGTGACCAGTGTGGCAAGGCCTTCAGGCAGAATTCGTCGCTCAGGGACCACAGGCGCGTGCACTCCGGTGAGAAGCCCTACAACTGCAGCCAGTGCGGCAAGTTCTTCAGCCTCAAATCCTCTCTCAGGAAGCACCAGCGTGTTCACACGGGGGAGTAGCCCTACCAGTGCTCCATCAGCTAGAAGCCCCGGAGGAGGATGCACACGTAGGGGAAAGGCAGGAGATCTCAGTATCCACACTCGACTGGCTGGTCTTGAGCCCACGAGTCAGTACCAGGCTTGACACAGTATGCAAGAGAAGTCCTGCCCAGGCGAGTCACAGAAAATGTGGGCTCTGGGGACAGGCCACACCATGCTCACCATTTGATCCTACTGCATCTGCAGGGCCCTGTGGAATGCAAGCCCCCCAGCAGGTCTAGTATCTGGGAGCATGGCCAGGGGCACTGTGGCTCCAGACGGAGCTGGAGTAAACCGTCCCATGAGCTTGGACATGCGTTTAGTCTCTGTGTCTTCACCTCAACAGAAAAAGGAGGAGCGGGAGGAGGAAAGAACAGGGGGAGGTGAGCTTCCTGGGGAATCTGCCAGTTCGTCACTCGCGCCTGAATCTAAATGGATCAGGTCGTGCCCATCTCTGTGTTTGTTCGTTTGCCTCACACACGGCCCCTAGTTTCCCTGCAACACCGAGTGGAAGCCCCAAGCTCATGAGCTGTAGAAGTTAGCAGGTGGGTCCGGAGGAGAAATGAGTATTTTTTACAGGATGAGGAAATAACACTAGTCACCTCAGATACCACTTTCTCATGGTAGTCTGTTACAAAAATTATTTTTAAACTAAATTAAGTGAGAGTAATGTCATTTAAAACAATCATCTGGTGCAAAAGATGCAGGGACCAGTGTCCTGTTCAAATGAGTGTCAGCACTTGGGGGGAGGGAAATACCCCACAGGACCCCCCAGAAGCCAGGAAACCTACCAAAGGCCACTACCCCTCGCATCCCTGGATTCCTGGCTTGGGAATGGTCACACAATTTCTTATACTAGTTATCAGAACAGGTTTGCCTGGGGTTTGCCAGTCTCCCATGACCAGAGAAATATTAGCAGAAAATTACATCTGTCCATCCATACCACATACACCCCGCCGTCACTAGCACCAGGGGACTTGAAGGATTTCCCATCTCCTTCATCATGGATGCTCATTTCCCCAGTAAACATTCCCCATGGCGTGAAATTTCATCAGGGGAATTTTTCTTTGGTGCAACTTTCTTTATAAAGCTGTGTAGAAGAAAGGGAATGTGTCCTCGCAGGTGGTCACCTGTTTTCCAGAGGGGCTGAGAGGTGACAAGAAGTGAAGAAGGACGGTGAGAGTGAAGTTGGCCTTTTTCCTCTGTTGAATGCCATGTAGCACAGGGACATTCATGTGACAGTGACTGCTGTGACTGATGGGGGTATAGGGGGTTTTGGGTCAAGAAAGAGGCTGAGTTTTGTTTTTTTTTCTGAGTAGTGAGGGGAGAGGCTGTTAGAAGAAATAAGAAAGTGGATGCCTAGTACGTGACCTAGAATTTCTGCATCCTCTGGTAAGCAGGAATCTCAAGAGACAAGAGGCTTCAGGTGAACAGCCAGTCACTCGAGTATCCGAGCACCTCCTCCCTGCCAGGCACTGTTGCAGGCGCTGGGAGTCCAGCAGTGAGCGAACCCAGCCTGTTGTCTCACGGAGCCCCCGCTGCTCATTTCTGAGCCACATCAGAGGTGACGAGGTAGAAAGTGAAGGGCAAGGCTGTTTCAGCTCTGCCAGTCAGGGAGGGTCTCTCTCAGGAGGGACATATTGGGGCACACTCCCAGTGACTAAACAGAAGAAAGCTGTCCCCTGCTCTCAGGCAGTGCCCTGTGGTGTCTTGGGAAGGTCCTTTGTCCCAGTGTTGTTACCTCTCTGTGTGCTGTCAGCAGTTTCCCCCTCCCCTCACACTTGGAGACAGGAGCTGATGTAAAAATCAGACCCACAGGACAATATTCGGGAATACAGAGCACCTCTCGTAGGGCTGGTGGAAGTGCCAAGGAGGAAGGGTCCCCAGGATTGTTTCTGTGAAGGAGCAGGGACATGGGGAGTTGGTGCAGTGGCAATGCTGGAGACCAGCCACTAGTCACTGGTGGTTGTACTTTAGACCCCAAATATTATGAATTTAAGGCATCTGAACGCCAAAGCCACTTGCCAGACCCAAGATGGGAAGGACTGCGTGGGATAAGTACACAGCCATTCACCAGGCATGGGACATCTCAGGTGCTTTAAGGCTCATCCTCTAAATTCCTTGCAGAGGAAAACCTTTGGGTGCACGGAGTGTAGTAGGCTTATGGCTGTACCTTGTGCCTGAAGAAGCACTAAATAATCCACATGGGGAGAAGCTCTTCCCGAGCACCGCGTGTGGGAACTGTTCACCCAGCAGTCCTGCCCCACCACCCGCCAGCTTGTGCACACCCAGAAGAAGCCATGTGCCTGCTTAGACTGGGGTAAAGCCTTTGGGCAGAGCTCCATCTCACGGAGCACTGGCGAGTGCACACCACACAGAAGCTTTCTGAGCTCAGCCAATGTGGTGAGGCCTTTAGCAGCACCTGTCCCTCACGTGGCACAGGTGCGTGCACAGCGGGGAGAAGCCCTATAGACGCAGCAATGGCTTGTCAGGAACTTCTCACTCACCCTCCACCAGAGGACCCACATGGGGGAGTAGCAAGTGGGCAGAAAGCTTTATCAGGAGCCTCAACCCCATGCAACACCAGAGGAGGATGCATCTGCACCAGGGAGGAGGCCCTGGGACCTCAGAACCCTCACTTGTCCCGAGCCCATTAGCGGTGCCAGAAATGACATGGGAGCCCACAGGTAGGACTTAAGAGAAGTCCTGCCCAAGCATGTCTTAGGAATGTGGCCCCTGGGGACAGGCCACACAGTGCACGTGAGCAGCTTTTGTAGCACTGGAAGTGCTGCATGAAACATAAGCCCCTGCTACTGTTCTGGTATCTGAGAGTGTGGCCAGGGGGTCTGTGGCTGCAGGCCCAGATCCCGTATACTGTTGTAGGAGCTTGGACAACACAGTGTTTCTGGTCTCTACCTCCTGGACGTAAAGTGGAGGAGAGGAAGGAGAAAGGAGAGGAGATAGCGGCCTCCATGGGAACATTGTCACTTTATCACACTTGCCTGGATATAGTCCAGAGTCTGGATTGTCACCATCTGTGGGTGTCCTCATTTTCCCCACACCCAGCCCCCAGTTTCCCTGGAACAGTAGAAGGTGCCAAGTGGTTAATAAGGTTTTTCTTTTTTCAGCTTTAGGAAGTAACAATAATCGCATCAGATGCCAGAGTTTCTCATAGTTGTCTATTAATTTGTTTAAAAAGATTCTTAAATTTATTGTTAGAAAGAGAGAATGGAAGGAGAAAGAGAGGGAGAGAAATGTCAGTTCGCTGCCTCTCCCAGGCTCCCAATTGGGACCTCGCCCCCAACCTGGGCATGTGCCCTGACTGGGAATGGAACCCGTGACCCTTGGTTTGCAGGCCCGCACTCAACCCACTGAACCACAGCAGCCAGGACAAACTTGCCATAAGTCAGCACGTCTATCAGGGACCCTGGGTGGACACGAGCTGTCGGCAGACTGGCTACAGCTTCTTGTCCCACCTGAACCCATCTTGTCCCACCTGAACCCACAGGCGGACTTTTGTAGAATTTCCCTCCCCCCTTCCCCAGTTCGCCCTCCCCATCTCCCCATCTCCCCGCTCCGTCTCCCTTTCCTCATTCTCTTCTGTGGTCCCCACTCCCTCCACCCTTCCAATCCCTCCGGTCTGGCCCCGGTACTCGCTCTGTATTCTTGCCGCCTTACGAGCCCTTGCGCCACCACCCATCTAATTCCACACGCCCCGCCTTCCTGACCCCGCTGCCGAAGGGACTTCTGGGACATGGTACCACGTGCAACCAACACCGGTTCGATCCGGTGGGCAGCCGGCGCTCCGTGGCTGGACAGTTGGAGGCAGTGGTGGCGCGCGCACTTCTGGGAAGTGTAGTCCACCCCCTGTGCGCAGACTCAGTGGTGACGCCAGGGGTGGGCGGTCTGGCGGGCGCCATTTATTTTTTTCACGGAGACGCACGTGTCAGGCTGGTGACGTCTTGAGTGGGTAGGGCACAGGGATGCGAGTCCTGGAAGGGGCGTGTGGAATCCGAAGAGAGTGCTGATCGGGGTGGGGTCGTGCTGGTGAAGGTGACGCTGGTCGGTGTGTGTGTGTGTGAGAGTGTGAGTGAGTGAGTGAGTGAGTGAGTGTGTGTGTGTGTGTGTGTGTGTGTGTGTGTGTGTGTGTTGGGCTGAGACTCCCGGGCCGTCTCTGAGTGGCTCTGTGTTTGTCACCGCGTGTGTGGGGTGGTCTCCTGTGTCTCCCCTTGGCTTGTGGGTGTGTCGGCTGTGGGCGTGTCGGCTGTGGGCGTGTCGGCTGCCTGTCTTGGCCTCTCTGGCGTCCCTCTGTGTTCACGAAAGTATACGTGTCTGCCTTTGTTTTTGCCCGCGGTGTCTCAGCGCGAGGGCGCCATCCAGGTGTCCACCTGTGTATGGTCCCTTCCTGTGCATCTGTGTGTTTGGTGTGAGTGTGTCAGTGCGTGTGGGGTCCGTCTCTCCTGCCCGAGCCTTCCCCTGTGTGCACCTGCGTCTCTGTTTCTGGGCGTTGCAGACATTTGTGAGTGGGTGCGTCGGGGGTGCCCTCCCAGAGCGTGGGAAAGACGGTCCTGCTGGACAGGCGGCCTGGAGGAGCTGCCTGCCTGCGGGCCCCAGAGCCTCCCCTGCCCTGGGAGGGCAGGATGGGTGTAGTAGCCAGGCGTGGGGTCAAGAAAGAGGGTCAGAGACCCTATCCCATGCTGATCTGGTTGGTTTTGTTCAGGGAGGGTGTGTTGGGTGCTCAGGGCATCCTTCTGGGCATTTTAAAAGCCTCCCGGTGACACTGAGGTAGGGACCCTCATCATTCCCATTTTGCAAATGGGGAAACTGATGCTCGGAGACTT